TCTTCACACTAGAAGAATAGAACTGCCTCTGAAGTCGATCCGTTGCTAAAACGAGAACCAAGCGGACAACCTAGTAACAAGCGGAACAACCCAGTAACAACCAGGAACAAGCGGATACAACCCAGTAAACCCAGGAACAAAAGCAGAACAACCTCAATACAAGCGGAGAATTGAAGTTTATTAGTTTGTAAATAACACATGGGGGTCTAGTTTTATAAGCCAACTCTCTAAAGTTCGTGTGGGCAGCACGTGGACTATCAAGAAGGCCGCAAACACTTCCCGTTTAACTGTAATTTTTTTGTTTTTGGGGGCCAGTTCCTACCATTTTCCCTCTTTTCACACATAGTTCTGATGGATCAGAAAACCTGTCGTGGTGTTGGTTTTACTCGAATTCTCAAAACACCGACATAGCAAGGCGAAGGCTGGTAACCAAAAAGCCAAAATTGAGGTGCGAAAAATTGATGTGGGGATAATAATTTAGAATAATTAATGGCAACCGAAGGCGAAAAGGATCGGGGCGTTGTCAACACTCGGCGAGATTGAGTATCCAATGAGAAAATTCAGTAAAATTCCAATAAACTAAACAACAAATGTTGCCAAGTTTTGTACGAGAAATAATCAGACAAGGTAAAAAAATGGAAATTCTCCTGTGAACTGAACGAACACTCCTTTCAGGCATAGATTTTCTCATATACTTTTGATTTACACTATTCATATGTCGCAATTTTTTATGTTCAAATAACAGTCACAACAAAAATGAAAACAATAGAATTGATTCTATAACCTACATTTTCAGTAGAGATATCTTCCGATTCTTGTAGTTAATAACAATCTTAAAAAGTACTCTATTGGGTATGAAGATAAGATTTTTAAATTAATAAAACGAGGAGGGGTCTCTTCATTTTCAACTTCCGAGTAAGCTTTATGTGATTTGCAGTTTAAACATCTCTATACGGCAATATCTGGCATTTAGACCCCTTCCACCCTTAGAAATTTTTTTATGCTGATTAATGCCTTCACGGAGGCCCTTAGACATAGGGGTAAATTTATTGAAAATAGCAAATTTGAAGAAACTCGGAGAGAGTGTTTTTTTTTATTTTTAGCGTGCCACGTTCGACTAGAAACTCAGATAGACTTACCGTAAATCCTCGAATTAGCCCCTGGGGGCTTATTTATTTTTGATATTTTTGGATGGTGCTTATTCGAGGGGGGGGGGGGTTTAAACGAGGGGGACTTATGAAATTATTGTAGACATCAAGAAGACATATTATTAGCAGATATCGGTTATTTTAGTAGGAATTTCTTTATTAGTTACTACCAAAAGTATGAATTTGTTGTGGTAATTCAATAAAACGCAAGGCAACCTCAGATGGCAAAAATTATCAAATTTAGGGGTCCAATTCGAGAATTTACGGTAGCATCGGGGGCTTATTCGAGAGGGGGGGATTATTGATAATTTGCAGTGCTAGAGTGGGGGCTTATTCGAGGGGGGCTTTTTCGAGGGGGGGGATTTGAGGATTTACAGTAAGTATATAGACACACACAGGAAGGCCAGAGGACGGGGATGCAGGGCACACACAACAGGGGCACCATTATTCTCAGGCTCTGGCACCCAGGGTACTAACAGTGTTGCTTTCCTTCATCAATGCATGAATTTAGAAAATGAACTATTGATTATGATTGCTGTGCTATGCTGTTTAGTCAAAAGAAATGGCAAGTAAAGGAAGGGTCATACCCCGCGAGGGTACTCCCATTAAGGCCTGACAGGGGGTGCAGTCAGGGTCAAAGAGAGCCAAAGCTAAAATGCTATGAATTATCTCAAATGGTAGTCTTTTTTTTACAATAACCCAAAAATGGTAGCATAAAAATCAAAATTGTGTCATTTGGTACCATCCAGGGATAAAAATGTTTGTCAATTCAGAAAATATCACCTAAAATTACAGAAATTCATTTCACAAAAATTTGTCAAATCAGAATTCATTTGGGAAAGATAATTGGAGGGGGGGGCAACCACCCAGAGGTGTCTGCTAATATTGGGCCATTAGGTAGCCTGGATAAAACCCTCAAACAGACCAGACCCCTGTTAGGCCTTAATGGTAGTATCCCCCCTTTTTGTCATAGACAAAGCAAGTGAAGGAAGAGTTTTTGCCATTTTGACATAAATATTTCCGAACAATGTGGGCTTTTGATAATTTTAGACTAAGTACCAATTTTCTTTCTCCAAAACATTTTGAGCCTAGTTTTGTATTCCTGACTTTTTCTTTCAGCATTTTGCTGTCTTCTTGGACAAGCATGTGCATTCAAGTCTTTTGAAGTAACAAGTACGTCTTCAACTTCATTGAAGTTGACATGGAGCAATATTTTCCTTAATGACAGCAAGCCGAATGCTACATATCTGATCACTTTTGGGACTGTCAGCAACTGCTCGTTGTCAGCTGAAACATCGGAAAGCAGAAATGTTTCATTTTCCACACAGGAAAGTACCCTGGAATACAATCTTACAAATTTAAAGAAATGGACAAGTTACAGTGTACAGATTTCAGCCTTGCTCGAGAATGGCACTAATTTTAAACAGACAGCTCCTTTATGCTCAACAACAAAAGAGAATGGTGAGTGTACTGAGTATTCTGATTGGGAGTCTCATAATGTAAAATAACTGATTATCATGTTGTGGGTATTACCGTAAAAGCTCTATTAAGCTCCAGGAGGTCATTATTTTGCATTCCTAGATGGATGGGGCTTAAAAGAGAGGGGGACTCATTAATTATTCAAGGCAAAACATGTTTTAAAAAGTTCATTATGAGTATCAATATGAGTATCATCTTGACTTCTAAGGTGCACAAGGAAATCTTCAAATTGGCTGTTTTAATGCGCATAATCTTATCGTCAAGTTTCAGTTTTGAGAATGAGTGAGATTTTTTAAAAGGCAGGGAAATGTTTGGTCCAGAACAAATCCTGATTGCCACACAACCAAAAGTAGGGTCCTGGGGTGTAGCCCCCGAGCAAGCAAGCGGAGGAGCATCGTAGTGTAACTGCAATCCCAAATTTCATTCTCGAGAAAAAGTTACTCCGCTCTGACAACTCCGATTGCAATCTGCTCAATTGAAACTCTAAGGGATATTATGCTCCTTTTTACATTTTCAATCAATTCACAATGTGTCATAGTCGCAAAAAAGCTAACCTGATATTTGTGTAGGCTTGCCAATAAATGTAACAATAAATGTAACTTTACCAACCTGTGTGAATTCGTTGTTATCTAGTCATCTTATTATCTAGTTGCAGTTATTGTGCTAACATGCCTTGTTAGGAAAGAGGGATTTTGCTAGGATTTGGAATGAAATTGAAAATTTAAGTAAACCAAGAAGTTTGTTGCAAAATGCTTGAGGATTCTGCTATGATGTGTGTGAGTGTGAGAAAGGACCGAAATGCGTGTGTCTCACCCAAAATGTGTGTGACTTGGTAGGTCTGCTTCATCACACCCATTAAGAGACCCACTCAATGTGCATGTTTTCTTTGTTTGACATCAGGGTTTAAATTGGGGAGCTTAATAGAGAAAGGAGGCTTTTTTAAATTTTGCCCTCTAGTAAAAGGGGCTTTATAGAAAGGGAGCTTAGCACAGAGGTTTTATGGTAGGTAGCAAAACTGTTTAATGTATGTTTTAGTCAAAACATAACACAACTGGCTGTTTTGTTCTGTTCTCAAGAATATCAGAATATCAGTATTGTTTAAGTTCTCAAGAGTATCAGTCCATCAATCAAGTTTTGAACCGGCTGTGTCCACTTTAAAGCAGGTGGCCAGATTTACTTATGCTCTGAAAAAATTGGTTTCACTCTTTTACGCCATTCCTCTCTATATTGAGCATCTTCTTTCAGTAGATCATGTTTCTTCATTTATTCTTCCACTCGCTTTTTCCAAGTCTTTTGGGTCTTCCTTTCTTTCTCAGACCATCAACTTCCAAAGCAGAGCCTTTTTGAGAACATCATTTTCTTGTCTCCTTGGGACATGTTCATACCACCACACTCCATTTGCTTTTACTAGCTTATCCACTGTTTCTTTCAAGCCCAGCATTTCCATCAGTTCAATCATATTTTCTAATCAATCTTTTTCACCCCACATATCTTCCTTGCCATGGCTCTCTCAGCCATTCTTGCTTCACTATCATGTAACCTAGCTGATCTTACACATGTGTTATAGATCCTTCCATTAATCTTTAGAGAAAACTTTCTTCCAAGATATAATTCACTGCACTTTCTGCATTTTTCCCATCCACATCTTATTCTTGCTTTCACTGCAACTTTGCTGACACACAACCTGTCACCTAGGTAGCTAACTTCCCACTGTTACCACATTGTCCCATAATTCTTTGATAGGCTCTATTTCCCCTTTCCTGATTTTCACACATCGAACACATACATAATGCTTTGCCAGAGCTACACTCCTGGCAAAAAATAGCTGAGACAAATGAAGTAAAAAGAAATTCCCGTGCTATATCTTCATATAATGTGCCCTGGTGACCTAAACCCCCCTCCCCCTGTGGTCAATTTTGTTTAGGATGGTTACAGAATAAGTGGGGATTACAACATTAGTTACCAATCAAATCACAACATTGATTCGGGGGGAGAGGGGGTGGGTGATTTGTAAGTAGCTTCTTTTTTTGCAAGTGTCTCAGCATTTTTTGCCAAGATTGTAGTTGCAACAAGAAAATCAAAGGTTCTGGATGCTTTGGTTTCTTCTAGATCTGCTATAAAAATAATAAATATCTTTAAATTCTTCTTTTTCTCCCTTTTTTTTCCTTTTTAAGCAGTTGACAAAATACCTCATTGTTGAAGCGCTTGGCCAGTGTTTGTGTAATAGAGGGTGCACAACATTTTAAAAGTCTTCTTTGGGTGATATGAAAAGTATTAGTGTCCACAGAATCTGTTTCTTACATTTAAGTAGGCCAAAATCAACTGCGTATTAGGTGTAAACATTTTTATTTATATTTCAATTGTTTTCTTTAATGTAATAGAACGTTTATGCCTTGTTGAATTGTGGCAAGAATGATATTTCAGACTTGACTATTTAATGAAAATGATCGATTTTACCATTCAAGAAAAATGTTTTTTGTAACAGCATATATTACTGAGTTGTTTCTTTCCTTCAGCTCCAACTGGTTCTCCAAAGATTGTCAGCTTACAGCCTCGTTCCTCATCAAGTTTGTCAGTAACGTGGAATGCTCCAGATGCAAATGTTACTCATGGCATTGTCAGAAACTACACCATAAATTATAGACGAGTCAATTGCAGTGAAAACAACCTGGTTCCCGCTGGGAACTCGTCTTGGAATACTACAGAAACAGAAACTAATGCAACTGAGTGGATTCTGACAAATTTGACGTATTGGTCTTGCTATGAGGTGCGTGTTGCAGCAGTCACTGTTGCCGTTGGTGTGTTCAGTGAAACGAGGACGATGAGAACTCTGGAGAATGGTAAGTACTTGCTTGTTTGTTGTAAATTTCATTTTGACTTGCCAATTTGGTCACAAATGTGTTTCATTGTACTTTAATGTAATAGAACGTTTATGCCTTGTTGAATTGTGGCAAGAATGATATTTCAGACTTGACTATTTAATGAAAATGATCGATTTTACCATTCAAAAAAAATGTTTTTTGTAACAGCATATATTACTGAGTTGTTTCTTTCCTTCAGCTCCAACTGGTTCTCCAAAGATTGTCAGCTTACAGCCTCGTTCCTCATCAAGTTTGTCAGTAACGTGGATTGCTCCAGATGCAAATGTTACTCATGGCATTGTCAGAAACTACACCATAAATTATAGACGAGTCAATTGCAGTGAAAACAACCTGGTTCCCGCTGGGAACTCGTCTTGGAATACTACAGAAACAGAAACTAATGCAACTGAGTGGATTCTGACAAATTTGACGTATTGGTCTTGCTATGAGGTGCGTGTTGCAGCAGTCACTGTTGCCGTTGGTGTGTTCAGTGAAACGAGGACGATGAGAACTCTGGAAAATGGTAAGTACTTTGCTTGTTTGTTGTAAATTTCATTTTGACTTGTCAATTTGGTCACAAATGTGTTTCATTGTACTTTAATGTAATAGAACGTTTATGCCTTGTTGAATTGTGGCGAGAATGATATTTCAGACTTGACTATTTAATGAAAATGATCGATTTTACCATTCAAGAAAAATGTTTTTTGTAACAGCATATATTACTGAGTTGTTTCTTTCCTTCAGCTCCAACTGGTTCTCCAAAGATTGTCAGCTTACAGCCTCGTTCCTCATCAAGTTTGTTTGTAATGTGGAAAGCTCCACGTTCAAATGTTACTCATGGCATTGTCAGAAACTACACCATAAATTATAGACGAGTCAATTGCAGTGAAAACAACCTGGTTCCCGCTGGGAACTCGTCTTGGAATACTACAGAAACAGAAACTAATGCAACTGAGTGGATTCTGACAAATTTGACGTATTGGTCTTGCTATGAGGTGCGTGTTGCAGCAGTCACTGTTGCCGTTGGTGTGTTCAGTGAAACGAGGACGATGAGAACTCTGGAGAATGGTAAGTACTTGCTTGTTTGTTGTAAATTTCATTTTGACTTGCCAATTTGGTCACAAATGTGTTTCATTGTACTTTAATGTAATAGAACGTTTATGCCTTGTTGAATTGTGGCAAGAATGATATTTCAGACTTGACTATTTAATGAAAATGATCGATTTTGACCATTCAAGAAAAATGTTTTTTGTAACAGCATATATTACTGAGTTGTTTCTTTCCTTCAGCTCCAACTGGTTCTCCAAAGATTGTCAGCTTACAGCCTCGTTCCTCATCAAGTTTGTCAGTAACGTGGATTGCTCCAGATGCAAATGTTACTCATGGCATTGTCAGAAACTACACCATAAATTATAGACGAGTCAATTGCAGTGAAAACAACCTGGTTCCCGCTGGGAACTCGTCTTGGAATACTACAGAAACAGAAACTAATGCAACTGAGTGGATTCTGACAAATTTGACGTATTGGTCTTGCTATGAGGTGCGTGTTGCAGCAGTCACTGTTGCCGTTGGTGTGTTCAGTGAAACGAGGACGATGAGAACTCTGGAGAATGGTAAGTACTTGCTTGTTTGTTGTAAATTTCATTTTGACTTGCCAATTTGGTCACAAATGTGTTTCATTGTACTTTAATGTAATAGAACGTTTATGCCTTGTTGAATTGTGGCAAGAATGATATTTCAGACTTGACTATTTAATGAAAATGATCGATTTTACCATTCAAGAAAAATGTTTTTTGTAACAGCATATATTACTGAGTTGTTTCTTTCCTTCAGCTCCAACTGGTTCTCCAAAGATAGTCAGCTTACAGCCTCGTTCCTCATCAAGTTTGTCAGTAACGTGGAATGCTCCAGATGCAAATGTTACTCATGGCATTGTCAGAAACTACACCATAAATTATAGACGAGTCAATTGCAGTGAAAACAACCTGGTTCCCGCTGGGAACTCGTCTTGGAATACTACAGAAACAGAAACTAATGCAACTGAGTGGATTCTGACAAATTTGACGTATTGGTCTTGCTATGAGGTGCGTGTTGCAGCAGTCACTGTTGCCGTTGGTGTGTTCAGTGAAACGAGGACGATGAGAACTCTGGAGAATGGTAAGTACTTGCTTGTTTGTTGTAAATTTCATTTTGACTTGCCAATTTGGTCACAAATGTGTTTCATTGTACTTTAATGTAATAGAACGTTTATGCCTTGTTGAATTGTGGCAAGAATGATATTTCAGACTTGACTATTTAATGAAAATGATCGATTTTACCATTCAAGAAAAATGTTTTTTGTAACAGCATATATTACTGAGTTGTTTCTTTCCTTCAGCTCCAACTGGTTCTCCAAAGATTGTCAGCTTACAGCCTCGTTCCTCATCAAGTTTGTCAGTAACGTGGAATGCTCCAGATGCAAATGTTACTCATGGCATTGTCAGGAACTACACCATAAATTATAGACGAGTCAATTGCAGTGAAAACAACCTGGTTCCCGCTGGGAACTCGTCTTGGAATACTACAGAAACAGAAACTAATGCAACTGAGTGGATTCTGACAAATTTGACGTATTGGTCTTGCTATGAGGTGCGTGTTGCAGCAGTCACTGTTGCCGTTGGTGATTTCAGTGAAACGAGGACGATGAGAACTCTGGAAAATGGTATTTTGTCTATCCATGTTTTGTTTTTATTCTGATGTGATTTTACGCTAGAGGTTCATATGTCTTTGATGTATTTCCATACTACTTTGAAATCCTTTCTTTGCTTTGCTTGAAAAGAGTTTATTTTGTCTTTTTATGATTTAGGAGTGTCACTTAGGATCTAACTTTATTTTTTCCATTAAGCTATGTCCTTGTGTTTCAGGGATGATTTGTTTTTTCAGTATTTTTATGTGTCCATTGTTTGTTTGCCTATGATGATTTGCTGTATTTTTCAACTGCTTATCTACTTTCAACCTATCATCTAGTTGGTAGGCCATAATGTTTTGGTAAGGCAAGGTTAGAGTCTTTTTTCTTCAATGTTTTTTTGATACATAATAGTTAATAGTTAATCAACATCTTGAGGCTATTATGGTCCTCTGTAGCTCCCACGTCTCCTGTGACTATCACCAAATTCACTTCTGCAAGCTCAACATCATTGCGGCTCGAATGGACACCTCCTGCTCCTGATTCTCGGCATGGGATAATTCAGAAATATGATTTATTCCTTGCAAAAGGAAATTGCATCCGCCTTCCTACACAGCACCCAGCAACGACTTCTTCCACGACATCACTTTCAACGAAAGGCGAAGGTACAAAAACTGAAGCGGCTCCAACAGCGCCAAAACGATCAAAAAGATCCAGCTTAGAGTCAGACAACTGTGTCTTCACAAATTATTCCACGATTAAAACCGTACACGACTTTACAGCTTTAGAAAAGTATGCAAATTACTCGGTGTACATTAAATGCTGGACTGTCGGCCCAAGTGATATCAGTGAAATTAAGGTCGCAAGAACGAATCAGGACAGTAAGTTCTATATTGAACATTTAATCAATTTTTAAGTCAGTTATCAATTAATTATGATGTTTATTGAGAAAAATTACCAATGAATGTTGGATTTTTATCTTGCGTAACAAAGAAAGTTTTTTATTGTTACATAATGTGCGATTTTCTTGGTTAGCTCTGGGATCTCAGATTATTTCTTCCATACCTTCCACAATCTTAACGATTTTTATATAAATAATTATGGTTACTGATGCTCGGACATTTCACAGCGGACTTGTAGTCTTAATTAATTAAAAGTTGTATTTCGTTTTGCTTGAGACTTTATGTTATTTTTGCAAAGAAATCTTATTAACCTACCATATACCCCCCTAACTTCACCTTACGTTTTCAAACCATTGCTTTAGCGTCGTTCTTCTATGGGATAGTTTGTACAATGATGCTTTCACTTCCCTCTCTTTGAACTTTGTTACTCTTTTCAGCCCCTGGGATACCACAGAGCTTTACATGTGACAATACGTCTAAGGGAACAATAGAACTGACATGGGAAAAGCCTGCTGAACCTAATGGTATCATAATTAGTTATGAATTGACATGGAATCCACCAAAAGGTTTTGGATCTAATAGCACGGCCGCTGATGTTTTTTCGCGAAGCATACCTGGTTTAGGTAAGTGCTATTTTTGCTAATGATTATGGATGTAGCTGTAATTTGAGTTGAAAAATGTTTGAATAGATTTCAGTTCAAAGAGGGCGAGTTTAGTAATAGAGTCTTCGCAGTGACTTTTCGTGAAACAACGTTCCAAATCAATGTTCAAGGATACTATACACTTAACATTTTAAAATCATATGATGTACGTTGATCACCCGTTCAAGTGTTGCTCACTCTTTTTCAGTATTGTTCACTCTTTTACAGTTTTGTTTACTTCTTTACAAAGCTTAACAGAAGTTGACAACTATTAAGTGAAAAACTGTATGCGTTTTAAAAGACTTTGGGGCTTTTTTAAAGATCATGATCACAGCATTATAGTTATAACATTGTGGATTTTCTTTTCAGATGCCTACACTGAATATAATTTCACACTTCGAGCAAAAACATCGATTGGTCCTGGAGTTCCAATATCCTGCATCGCAACAACAACTGATGAAGGTAAACATTTTCATTTTAATTCTTAAAGCCCTTGAAGTCTAAGCATTTTGCCCCTTTCAAAAAATTTTCTAACTTTTGAGGTGGTTAAGACGCTCCCATTCCCTTTGTTTAGTGGTTTAGAAAATTGCACTTCCCAACAAATAAACAAGTATCTACAAGGGTTAACATTTTGAAAGATTTTAGAACGTATTGTCAAACAGTCACAGAGCCAAGACAGTTTACACAAGAGTATCTAGTTTAGGCATATTTCAAGTGATTCTGTGGTTGCAAGTTTTCACATAAACCTGATTTTTTCCCTTATTTCAAAGTGCCTGGTAAACCTGAAGGGCTTAGATCAACTGTTTTGTCTGCTTGGAGTATCCAGTTGAAATGGAAGGAACCTTCTGTTAAAAATGGAATAATTTGGTGGTATGACATCCAGGTTCGAAAAAATGGATTTCAAATTAAAGCAATTGAGACAGAACGCACGGTTATCACGATAGATGGTCTGGAACCGTTCACTGAGTATGCATTTCACGTCAAAACGCGGGGTTCTGCAGATTATAGCGATGCTGCTATCGTCAGCAACAAAACATCACCTTCAAGTAAGCTGCTATGTTTTTTAATCATTCTGATAAACACTGAACAAAATTCATTTGATATGGTCGTTTTGTTTAGTGAAAACTAAGATTGTTGTGGCTTCTCCTTATTTTTTAAACAATGTTAACTACTAGAGATAGCTACATCCTACGATTGAATTCATCTATTGTCATCTATTGTGGATGTATCACCAAACATCATTTCAAGAGTTACCGTAACAACCCGCATATAAGAAACACATTTTTTCGGGTCAGACTGTACAGTTTTATATAAAATGAATAAATTCTGCAAAAAGCTTATGAAAAGTTTCTTATAAGCATGAAGTTCTTTTAGGATGGGGGAAATATCAGGACAGACCTGGCAACTGATATACAATAAACGTTTTCGACAGAATGTATTTTTATAGAACAGTGTTTCAAATTCAATAAGTCAAAAGTTAATTTTTTCTGGAAATCTGCTTCTTACATTGATTTTATTTCATATATTTTTCTTCTAAATAAGCGCTGATTAAAAAAACTGGACAAAATACAGGCTCACAGTTTCTTGTATTTTGGTAGATCAATTTGAAGTTTATAGTTTATAGTTTTTGGTAATTTTGATTGAAGGAAGTATATCTGTATAGATTGCAGTTGAGTGAATGATCGCTAAAAAGCACAAAGTCCCGACACATGTCGCTAGCCATTTAGAGTCCCCATTGGTGGGACTACACAATAGCCTATTGTTACGTATCCAATCAGCAACCTAAGGCTAATAACCAATCAGCAACGATCATAGTGCCTTTAAACTACTGATAAAAAGCTGGCATGAATTCACCTGTTCTGTGATTTGATTTCTTGGCTTCTTTTGTCCAAGCTAAAACTCCCTCGAAGCATGCTACTTCTACAAACATCCATCTTTAAAGCGATTGCAGGGTAGTGCACAAATGTGAAATGGAGAAGAGTGGCCGAAGTTTATTGCTAAAGGTTTATTTTTTGGGTATGATACCCGGGGATTTTTCCAACCCTTCCTTTATATGATGTCACCAGATCATTGTATTTAATAAAAAGAAAGTCGTTCAAGTTCTCACCACGCTACTTCTTCACCGGTCTTGGTTGTGTATTCTCGCAGATAATTGGTAGTGAATAGGTAATTTGCAGTGTCTTTGATATGCTATTGAAGATAAATATATATATTCGTCTTTGTAGCTTTATTGCATTCTAGGGATACATGTGATGGGCTTTCTTTTAATTAGAATTATAAGATAAATATAAAGGCGGCTTAAACTTTAGGTTGAAAATGGATATCAAATATAAATCAAATTTACAATACCACGTGACAGTTGTGTCTTGGCTGAGTCCACCGCTCACTTTAAGACTGTTGCTTTTGTGAACAACTATTTTTATACATTCATGGAGAAGAAGTCCTTAGATTTTTCTTCTTTGGTGAATTGAAGTTTATTTTTATTTTGGATGAATTAATTATCGTCCAGTCACTCAACTATATGAATAAAGTCGTCAAGACATTTGTTTACGTTCTGCAAATTGTCGTGTTTTTAAAACGATGCTGGTATTTGGTATGCTATTATCGAATTGGATTGACAGTTAACTTTTAAAGTGTGTCTATACACCCGCTTTGTGGCTTTAACTGTTCATCTTAAAAAAATCTTTTAAGGAACATTTAAATCAGCTATTTTTTTAAACAGGCCCTCCGCCAATAACAGGGACAGTACCTGTGGTTACCGGATCAAGCAGTGACACGAAAACAAGCTACCCAGTTTTCCTACGCGAATTTTCAAATCAAAATGGTGTGATTAAGTGAGTACCATTAAGAGCCTTGCTGAAATTTTTGTTCTGTCTTAAACTGCATTGGCTCAACTGGCTGCTACAGTCATGTTCTAACGATAAGGCTTGCTGACAATGTTGATTGTTGAGTTTTCGTTTATTATTCTATAAATGAAATACAGAGTTTCCAAAGTTGATTATTGTTCCTATAAAATTTTTTTCATAATTTGCAGAAATCGATTGAAAAGGTGTGAATGGGCCATTCAGAACTTAAAAAATACCAGTTTTAAAGAAAGTAGTAGAGCATTTGAATTTCCCCAAAAAAATTTTACTTTCAGTTATGCCCCATGCATATGTGCAAAGCCAAAAAAATTTAGCCTCGAGCCAGCGTCATGACTCAAATAGAAATCATCCTCGGTTTACACCAAAAAAAAATATTTATAAAGAAGTAACATAAGATAGTCGGCTTACTGAGACTCGACTGTGGTGTGTGCGAGCAAATTTTGTCAGGAAAGGTTATTGAAGCAGTTATGATTCACAGCAAAGAGGTACATTATATTTTTGGAGAATTATTTCATCACTCGGGAGAAACGATCATTTATCAACAACTTCGAGACATTATTGTATTAAAATACGCACATTTATGTTTTCTATTTATTTCAGGTATTATATGATTTTTGTGTTCATTGGCAAAGCACCAAAAATTGACACTTCGAAATTCACTGCAAAGAACTATAATGTGCATGTACATGGTAAAGATGCCTACGTGGCTGCATATTTGCAAAAGCTACCCCAAGACGGAATATTTATAATTGGTGATGGTACAACGACTGAGAAGAAAGATCCATCTAAGAGAAAGCGCAGAAGCACGACAAGTTTTACAAACTCACCCCTAGAACCATCACGAGAGTATTCTTGGTTTCAACGTGGATGTATCTCAGACGTTTGTATTTTGCTTTCTCTCAAACACCTTGTACATCAACCATTTTAGAATCCCACGTGCTCTTGCATTGATTTAATGAATGGTGTCTTTTTTCTTGAACATTGAAAAATGGGATCAAACGGGAAAATTGCTTCATTAGGACTTTCAAAAAAGGGTTCCTTTTCTCTTTGGGAAATTTGGGCGCTATAGCACCCATTTTAAGGGATATACTGCCCCTTTTTCAGGTGAGAAATAGCACCACCCGTTACACCTTTTGTCTCATTACAATGTTTTAAAGACCTTGAAATTAATTTTTGTCGAAAAATCAAAATTTGCAATAATTCAATAACTCATTTGCAATCACCTGGTAGCAAGCATCACTTCGCGCAGCTCTTCAAGGGTATTTGAGAGTGATTTCAGCAAATTAGTTTAGCGTTCTGATAAAGGCCTTTGATTATTTACATCATTGTTCACTTGATATCATAGTATTTTTCATCTACAGCAACTTTGCAGAGATACGGGATGGCAAGAATTCACAACAGGTAACATAAATATGAAAAATAGCTTGGCAAACATTTTGACGTGATGTTTTGGTAAAATTTCATATACCATATCATGAAATTGCCTTCCTTTTTAAATTAGAAATTGATACTAATTTTCAGTAATTGTTCTTTACCTCTTAATCTCAGCTAAAAGCCCAGGTCCAGCACCCGAAAAGAGTATCGTCGGAGCTGTTGTGGGTGCCGTTTTCGGAGTTTTGTTCCTATTCATCATCGTTGTCGCTGTGTTTTTTGGCCGAAGAAGGTAAAACAGTAATAATTTCTTTGATAATTTAATCCATACTGTTATATGTTGGCAGTGAAGCACATCACTGTTGAAAATTTTATTATAATTCTCAAGAATTTTTGTGTGGAAGTAAAAGTCAGTTTTCAAGCATATTTTCAAATACGTTCTATTGATATACTTATTATTTCCTGTACGACACAAATTAATCATTTTCTTCAGACTTGAAAAACAAGATTTTATGTGTAAACACGTATGCCGTGAATCTTCGAATAAGCCTATTAATTTGAGGCCTTTTTGCATGAGAACTCATTCGAGGGTGGAGTTTATAAAAATCATCAGAAATTTACCAAATCGATAACTCTTTTTTATAGCATTTTTCACTTTTTAAGTTCATTTTGAGAGTTGAAACATTCTGCAAGTCAATATTGACACCAAAAACATTTTGAATATGCTTTGTTTATTTAGCTTTTCGTTGAATATTTATTTACCAAAGACGTAACCAATGTACTGTTGAAATTGGCATTTCTGGGGGCTTATTTGAGGTTGGGGGCCAACAAGAAATTTCCACTTCCAGGGCAGGGGTCTATTCGAAGGAAGGCATCTCGAGGATTCACGGCAATATCAATAGAAAAGAATAAGAAAGGACCTAAAAGTTTTTGCAACAATACAATAAAAGTTTGCATATTTTCTTTAGGATTAAACCTCGGATATCTGTTTTCGCCATTGAAAATATAAATTTGCCATCATTCTCTTATTTAAGCTTTACGCGTTCAAAGACAATCTGTTCGTGATGTCTTATATTTTATTTCTATTCAAACTTTAAAGATATCCAGAGAAGTTCAACATAGTTTCCTGTGGTAAGAAAGAGGGTGACGATATTTCACTCGATGAGGGTGTGGTAAATGATGGTTTCCAATGTAAGTATGGGTAAATTTTTAGATAAGATATTCGTTTCCATTGATTTTACTGTAAGAAACTAATCATTTTTAAGAGGACAAGGAAAGAGTTCTGCTCAGTTCTTGAAATACAATTCTTTCTGACAAAACGACTTCTGATTATCCAAAGATGGTTTTTATTAGGTCGAATCATCAGAAATAACAATTACATTGTATTCGAAATATGATATGATTATTGCTTTGAACATTGAATATATGATATGTATTTCTCATTTAGTATGTAAGTTCGAAAATTATTGTCATAAATTCATGGTAGTAAAGTTTGCTAGTAGAACGTCCCTAGAGTAAGTAAGAGTAGTTTATTTACATGCGTGTAATTCATTTACGTTAATTTTCTTTCCAGCGGATGGCGGCAATGCTCCGATTAAAGTTGAACTCTTTTCGCAATACGTAGAATCACTGCGACAAAACCAGGGATATCGTTTCAGCGAACAGTTTACGGTAAGCCTCGCATTTACATAAAAATAAACCGCGCAGAAGCAATCACCTTTACTTTTATTAGACATGAAGAAACAAAAGCTTACGTTTAGCCAAAACAGATTTGATCACAACCAAATAGTAATTCACATAACATGGATAAAATTTTGCACGAGGTTGATAACTAAATGTTATCCTTCTCTAGTGAATTGGCGTTTCCTAACTGACATCGTTTAGAAACCTTTCCCCCCCCCCCAGAAAATTCTTGTCGGCAAATTTTCTAAAAGTAGAGTTTTGTCGGGTTTTGCTTTCAAAGTTCCCAAAGCAATAGCTTTAGCGAACAGTTGGGATAAGATGAGGATGTGAACTTAAAAAGTATTGCCAAAAAGCCCTCAGCAATTCAAAACAGGAAAATATAGCGATATGGATGTCCCGGAGGGGCAAATGTCCCCCAAAACTTCAAATGACTGCTTTTCGGCAGCCGGAGTCTAGAATCTAATGTCCAATATCCAGGGCAACCTAATTTCTACCTAAAGTTTGGGGTTTAGGGAAGGGTCAAAGTTTATTGAGAAACTCTGAGCGTTGATCCTGGAGGTACTGGAAGCCACTGTAAGCAGGGAAAGGGGGCAAAGTGCCTCAGGGCCTTGAGGTCGAGGGGGCATTTAAGAATGAAACGTAGGTATGCCTTAAAAATAGTTAAAAGTTCTAAACGATTGCAAGAAATGACTGCATGAAATATTTTGAAATGCATTTTAAGACAATCTAAAGGGCGTGGTCGCAAAAATTTCCTTCTCGCTCCGCTCGCTGGGGGACCTCGTCTTTCGGTTTTGTTTCAAGACCTTCGAAAATTAAGTACCCACAGTCACTCGAAAATTGAAGCGATGATTGACTAACGAGAACATCCTCTTGATAAACAAAATCAATTGCGTCAAAATGCCACACCCCCACATTGAAATATCTTAGGCCACGCCCTATTTTGTCGGCAAATTGGTGACTGGCACCCCCTAAGTGAAAGTGCTTAGCGACGGCCCTGCCCACATAACTCTTCAAAACCTGTTGTACCAAGAGATAACTGTTTTACCTATTGTAAACAAAGGAGAGGATGTAGGTTCTCGATATTTCAAAAATACTTATGATATTTGACAACTTTAGCATATGATATTTGACAACTTTAACGGTCTTTCGACTCCTGGCCTAAATCTCACTTTTTTTTGATAGACTATCCAGAACATACCGCGCGGGACGACGGAGTGTAGTGATCACGCGATTAACCGCAACAAGAATCGCTACACGAATATCAAAGCATGTGAGTGCAACACTTCTTCTGTTTTTATATTTTTATACAGGCACCTGAATACTATTGTTCTTAGGATGGCTTATGCCCCTCCAAAAATGATTAGCATCTATAGCTTCCAATATAAAATAGGAAAATTTGGGGCCCATTCCCTTGCATATTTTTTCTGTTTGTTCTGCTGTTGCTGGAATTAATGGGCTAGAAAATCGGACAATTATGTGAAAGAAGCTTGGGGCTGTTAGGTTAGTTGCTTATGTGAATGTCAGGTGCCAAACTCACCCCCCCCCCCAAAAAAAACTCGAAACATTCCCGCGTGTTTGCGCAATTCTTGTTGGCCATTTTGACAAACTTAACTGGAAAATTCTTATGTTCTCATCTGACAGTTTATTCGAACAGTTCACAAGATTTTCTGAATGATCGCAATTCAAGGCCAAATATATGTTCTGGAACAATTCACATTCCTCAGGCACAGTCATGACTAGGCCTTTGAAATGCATTTTTCGCTAGCATCCAACCAGTGTTAACTTTGGTGACTTTGGTGAAATTTTTGAAAATATATTGAAGTTATAGTGTAAGCCCCTGGGCCTGCTCGTCTTTAGAACCCATCAAGTCTTAGCAGCTCTGCTGTATCATATAACTTTAATTTAATTATACTGAATTCTTATTCAAATATCTACTATTAATGTTTATCATCGAAAACTTATCAACGTTGTTTTACAGACGATCATACAAGAGTGAAGTTACATGCATTGAATACTCCTGGGAGTGATTATATCAATGCAAACTATATTGACGTAAGTCAGTTATGGTTTATCTTCTTAATTGTAATCCAAACTCAAAGAAATCTCAAAAAAGAGAATGATCCTAGGTATGGGTTCGAAGGCTACGACTGGCACTCATTCAAGAAGAAACATTGCCACTTCCCAGGGAGCATAAGGTTTTCAGTAGTCAGTAGTTTGTTAGACAACAGCCTGGTATGAAGTTTACAATTTTTTTTGGTGGTAATCTTTGTCTGAGAAAAAAACTTGAAAACCCTGGCATTGGAGATAGGCGTCTTGAAGATGAAAAAGTGCAAAAAATGTTTATCCCTTAGTTTTCTTTGCTTATTACGAAAGAAGAGCTGAGTGCCTGAAAGAACTCTTTGCTTTCTAAAACTATTGAAGAATGGAAAATAGCTGTTTGGTTTACTTGGCATAGCTTACACGACTGAATGAAGAACAAATAATTAAGTTCAAAATCACTAAATAGTTCTTCAGAAACTGAGATCTGACTATTAATGTTCATTTGAATTATTCAAATCCCTATGGTCCAATTATCGCATTTATAAGTATTTTTATCTAAATTTGAAGGGGTATAAGAGGCCGAAGGCATATATAGCATGTCAAGGTAAGTTGGTATTTGTTATACTTGGTTACTATTAATATACATCATTTTCTCTCATTTTTGCCCATTTTTCGAATCATTCTTTTAATCAACCATTTTATCTTGCTTCCCAACCGTTCCTCCTCTCGTCTCCCCAGCAGTTAGTTGCTTCTATTCCATGTCTCTGTCAATTCTCAGGCACTCTGACGCATACTGAGGATGATTTTTGGAGAATGATTTGGGAGCAAGACGTCCAGACTATTGTTATGGTGACTCGATGTGTTGAAGGTGGTAGGGTAAGTTTCATTTGTTATCTTGCAAACTGAACTTGATATATCTTTGAAGTAATTCAGTGTAGACTTTTGAGCCTAGCCTCAAACGATATTTCGATTAGTTTTAAACTCATACCTACTATATCCTGTAGGGTTTTGTAGCTGATACTAGCTATGGAAAAAGATTAAAATGACAGGGTACAGGTATTGGAATATGGGAAATTTCCTAAAAAGATCTGATGATTTTTGGTTGCTTGATAAATAAAAGAAAGGGTTCGCCAGTTTTGGTTGATTAGTGAAATTGTGCTCGGTTGTAGTTGGTCATTTGCAAAGCATTGAAACTTAAGAGAAAGTGCCTTTCTCTGCAGTTTACTTTATCAAATATAGACTTTTTCAAAATTTGCATATTGTAATAAAAAATGAGATAATATCAAAAAAGCCCTACCACCTTGAAATTGTAAACAACTCTAGCAATATCATTACTTTGCAAAGATCCTATTTTTTTTTTAAGGAAAAGTGTTCAAAATACTGGCCTCTCTCTGGATCCAAAAGATTCGATTCAATGCAAGTTTTTACAGTGGAACGGACAGAATTCCCTGGCTATGATATATCGACTCTGAATGTCCTCAACAGCAGGGTACTGTTTCAAGTAGACACTGTTATGTATTTTTTTGCTGAATGGTAACTTTGAATGTCGTTTCAAGGCTGTTGCAATCAATATCTAATATGAAGGCATTATCTTCGCTGTTAGGGCTCCGTTCGTTGGTTTTAATAATTTTATGACATTAAGCTGTACACCTTCAAATGTCCTACTTGATAGTTATATGCGCGGTAGAGCAAATCACAATTCTGTTTGACAAGGATAGAGAATAGACTCTCTCCGTGAGCCTCTGTTTCGCTACTGCCTCACTTAACTTAACTGAGTGAGGCAGTAGCGAAACAGAGGCTCATGGAGTAAGTCTAGATAGAGAAATCATTTTCTAGTATCTTTCCAGGAGCCTGGAAACGAAAAGTTTGTGCGTCATTTTCATTTCCTCGAATGGCCTGATCATGGTGTACCCGAGTCGGCTCCATTGTTGTCATTCATAAGAAGAGTTAACGAAAGCACTCCTGCCGATGCAGGACCAACCGTTGTTCACTGCAGGTACTATAAGCAGAAAACTGTTATGATGTTCTGTTGCAACAACCCTAATTGTGTTCTATTATATTGTATTTCAAAAGAAACACGCTGAAATGATCTTGTCGTGTTGGGAATGCAACAGTAAAAGTAAATTCAATAACAATGGGGCCACAAAATGAGGGCTAGAGGCAAAATTAAATTTTCGTACTCTAAAATGCTCAATTTTCATATTGAAAGTAAGAAACACTTTTCAAAGTTCACCTTGAGCTGTTTGTTTTTGAGAATATTTTAATTATAATTCAAAAAATGGTCATTTTCTATTCATTCTGGATACAAATATCACTGCTTTGTTAAATTATTATTATTATCATCATTATTATTATCGAATATTTATACAGGATATTACTTCAGTAGTGATATGCATATATACATATTTACACTGTTTTCCCAGTAGTCCTGTAAATAAGGTCTTATTAAAGCATATTAACAACATTATAAAAACATGGTCTTATCTAATACTTATCATGTCGATTCTTATCATATTTAAGTTATATCAGTATTACTAATTGTGAGATGGTACTTAATTTCAATGCAGTGCTGGAGTTGGCAGAACTGGCACTTTCATAGTCCTTGACACCTGCTTGAAGAAAATAGCGAATGAGGGGTCCCTTGACCCGTTCAACTTCCTACGACACATAAGAACACAAAGGAACTTCATGGTGCAGACGGAGGTTGCTTTTTTAAGTCCAATTAACCTTCTCCTCTCAAAAGTTTCACCCTTTTTTGATGTGATACAGAGAAGAAGTTTGACCTGGAGTTCTTTTTTCAAAATTTCGGTTTAGGATGTTTCTAGATACATTCTAACATTTTATCGTTCAGATGTGATCTTGTCTTTTAAAAACCTTGTTCAAAAATTGCATTTATGATGATACTGTCTAGCTGTTAACTCAAGGAGAAGATTTTTAGTTTCTTTACATTTAATTTTGCCCAAATTCAGCCTAGTAAAATTTCATGATTTTTGCAAATTTAAGCCTCAATTTTCATATATACTTCTCTAAAGAGCCCAATATTCTAAATTAATAATAAATAGGTTGGTGTTCTGTTTAATTGAATATTAATCACGGAACAAATCTTATTTGTCATTCGTTTTTCCCTCCAGGGGCAGTTCGTATTCATTAATGAAACTCTGCTAGAGTTTATCAAGTGTGGCAAAACTGAAGTTGTTCCAAATGAACTCCGTGAACGCATCAAGTGGCTAAAGAAACCACTTCCTGATGGGGGGATATATCTGGACAAAGAATTTCAGGTTATATTTATTGTATTTCCAGATTTTTTTTTGTTTCATTTATTAGTATAAGATAATTTAAGCACAGCTGCAACGCAACATTAAGACTGGTTTCATAGTTTAAGAAAAATTCAGAAACATTACTTAATTTGTTAATTCATAAATTAAAATTAGATCTCCAGACTCTTTGCAACTTTATAATAAGTACATAGCATGCATGTCTCCATTTCGTTGGTTCTCCATATGATTCCATTTTGTTATGAACTGTTATGAATGAAGTTAGTTCGTTATATTTCATTTTATATATCATTGATATACGAATATCAAATCAGTTATCTGTTTTAGCTGCTGCAAGAGTTTTCTCAAAGTTCTCAAGACTTTACAACAGCAACTGCAGCCTATAACAAGACCAAGAATAGATTTTTGACAATCCTTCCATGTAAGAAGTGTAGCCATTTTAACCAATAATTTTTGAAGCATTATTCATTTGAAATAGTCCAGATCAGTATTCAGTTCCTGAGCTGACACGGATCCATTGCAAAGCACGTGAAATTCAACTCTTTTAACAAAATTGACTTGAGGGAACCTGCTCCCAAATTAATTTGAGCAAATTAGGTGCCCATATTACCGACAGCCAAACTATACTCTGTGTTGACATTCAACGTTTTGTCATTTCTATATAGAAGGTAATCTTTAGATTATTGATATTGCAAATTGTGCTCATTTTTGTCCAGTTGATGTCCTTGCTGTAATATTCATATGTCTTTGTGGAGCTATTGTTCTATCAAATAGAAGAAAGCCACCTTTACCTTATATAGAATTTGCAAATTCGGGAAAAATACTCATGCTTCCACTGATCCATAAATTAAAACGTTAAACTCTTTTCCTTTAATAATATGACCAAAAACAGTTTGGTTGTGATTACTGAAGTTGAAATCAGAAAAAATATCAAATCTGGATTGACGTTTACTCACCTTAATTTTTACTCCTCTTTCAGTTGAGAAGACGAGGGTCGTGTTGCGTTCTATTCCCGGCTTTCCAGGGTCAGACTACATCAACGCAAATCACATTGATGTAAGTCTCTCAGTTCATAAATTATGTTGCTAAACAATGTCTTCATCATAATATGAATGGATTGGTATCTAGAAATGCTAAAGCAATTCCGCATTATAAGATAACTATTTGTCATTTTTATGGATTATATTTTTTCATCTGAAATGTAGGAATAACTTTATTTTTCTCTAGGGATATTCTAAAGAAAAGGCATTTATTGCCACCCAAGCACCTATTCCAAACACAGTCGATGACTTCTGGAGAATGGTGTGGGAACAGCAATCAACAACAATTGCTTGCCTGATAAAAGATTCTGAAACTGCACGGGTATTGCAAATCCATATGTCTTTTTACTTCTGTGTATTACCATAACCTAAATTTTGTTTGTTGTTTTCTACTGATATCTTTCTTAATAACAAGTAGTTTTCTTGCGTATTTTTCCTAATTTTCCGAAATATGTTGTAATTGCACATACATTTGGATCTTGATAGACAAGGATGCATACGTATTGGCCATGTGAAGCAAAAGAGGCACAGAAGTCAGGTCCATTACTAATTGAAATGGTTGCAGAGCACCAGCAAGGCGATTTTATCGTTCGCGAGTTTAAAGTCACAAACTCACAGGTAATTGTACTCTACATCTTCTGAATATTTTGAATCTTAATTTTAGAATGTCCTTAAATACTAATGGTGGGTGAAGATGTATCGGCATCAAATTTTATGTTGGCAGCAGGTAATTGGCAGTATTTTTCAAGGACAAGGGTATACAATTTAGGGTGTGTTATTTTTTTATTTCCTATCAATCATCCGAAGGTAGTTTTTAGGACACTAAAGGCTGTGCTTTGCGAGCAGTGTCCTGGTCTTTCCTCTGGATATAACCACACCTCGTGATTCCTACGCCTGGAAATACAAAGAACTGTTGGCGACTCTTCTTAATAAAGGTGAAAGTTTAGTCAGTTCAGGGGCTCGAACCACAGACCCATGGATCTGTAGTCAGCGCCTCTAGCTACTTGTAATTAAATGAAACATTTTAGCTCGTGATTGTAACTTATAGAGTAACATTTTTTTACAGAGAGGAACCTCGCGGATGATCCGTCACTTCCAGTATACATCATGGCCAGACAATGGAACCCCACAAAACGGCGCTGGTATCGTCGATTTCATTGGACAGGTCCAGAAATGGCAGCAGCAAACTGGCGATAAGGTGATCATTGTCCACTGCAGGTATGAAATACATTGCTTTAGACACTGCTTCACTAGTGCAAGACAAAGCATATCCGCCATAACTATTTTTTTGTGATCTGGGGGAGGGGGGGGAGGGTTAAAGGTTTTGACAAAGTCATCCTTTTGGATCTGTTTGCCAACGGTCCCAGTGAACGATAGGCACTGATAGATTGTACACGAAAAAATAGAGATTAAAATATGGATTTGAATGTGTAAGAGTGTTTCTGTTCCAATTATCCTTTGAGAGCTCTCATTCAAGAACCCAATCCATCACCGATTAGCATTGTATACTCCTGTTTCATTTCTGTCGACAAAGTAGACTACATACAGATTAGTTATCGAGTTTACCAGAGCAGTTTATGCTGCCCGTACAAACCATGCTCATTGACCACGAAATGATAGCCTTTATATTGTGACGTATACTTTCAAAAATACTTGTATTCATAATTTAGCGATTTTCAGGTAGTCAAGGAATCCTATTCTTCCTCTTTTTTTGTATTCTCCCTTGAATTAACATCCGAAACTATATATTTTTTATCAACCCCGGGTATCTCTTTCTTTGACAGCTGCTTACAAAAGTACTTGAATTTTACCAATCACTTATCACCAGCCAAAGTAACAAATTGGGCGAAAAATCCCCATGTCTGTTTATTACCCTGTGCCATTTCATTATCAATTAGTTATTCTTAAGCTTATTTTGTTTTTTTGCTCCAGCACGGGTGTAGGTCGAAGTGCAGTTTTCATTGCTCTCTGTAACTTGATCGAAAGACTGAAAACAGAGAATGTTATTGACGTTTTTCGAGTGGTTTGTAAACTGAAGAAGGAGCGTCCTGGCATGGTGCAGACGAAGGTAATACTGCGTCAGGTTTTTTATGTAAAATATTTATGAAAAGCCAATCTTGAGCATTTCTTTTGGGAGCTAAAGCTGTTTAGTTGTATGTATTAACAAACATTAGAAATTACATCGACTTTTATTTTTTCTACTATTTCAACTCTGATTTACTTTATTGTCCTTTCAATTTTAGGGCCAGTATCTATTTTGTCACATTGCATTGCAAGATTACCTGGCTTCCTTTGATATATACTCAAATTTTATGTAAGCTGTAGGCTACATTTTCATACAGAAGACTTTTGTTATCACGACTTTGTTAAAATAGAAAGAATTAGGCATAAGTTTATTGTAGACTATTAGAAATGCAACTCGTTATGCAGAGTTATTTCACATTCTCGTAATATCACATTAGATTTTTTATTAAAATTAGCCAAGCGTTAGTCGATGTGACCAGTAGATTGGGCTAATATTAGCATGTCATAATACAGTTATTGCTCAGTCAGTCAAGGTGCCCCATTTGTGTCTTCAATCTTGAAAGTGGTTTTAACCACGATAAAAACCACGACCTGTTGCAGAGTATTACCCTATTTATTTGATTATAGGACGACCTTGTTTATAAGCCGCTGCAGGGTTCATAAAAAAGTGTAAGCTGCCCTTGATTATAAGCCCACCCGCAAATACATGCAGAAATTTTTGGTTTGAAATAACGGACATAAAAATTGTGCTTAAACCAAAAAATAAACATTCTAGCATGGGATCATCAAAGCGTCTAAAAGAATTTCTTCCTTATCTTCTTCGTTATCACGCTGAGCTTCAAAGTAGCAGGAAAGCTTTCCAGGGGAGTTCTGGGGGGGGGGCTTTAAAAAAAGGGGCTTTTAGGCTTTTGAAGCGATAATAAAGAGAGGAGATAAACAGACCTTCCAACCGAGCTGAAACTACATAAAATATAATAAAAATTGATTTGTATCAATCTTATATCATGGTGCTTGTGTTAATCTTATACCAATTCACACTTAGTAGCTTCGGTTTTTTTTTCTTTTCAAATATTTCTAATCTACTCATTATCGTATATGACAACATGCTGATGATACTATTATCATAAAAAGATGTGTATTGGTAGATCGTTTTTAGAAAGAAGTATATGATTTCTCAAGTGCTGACTTTATATTTTAAACAAGTTTCTTCTCCTTTAACATAATCATAGCATCAAGTAAATGTGTGGGCTCAAAAATCTCTGTTCCACATTTTTTCTGAAGTAATTTCGCTAGAGAATTACAGTATCACGGATCCAAAAATCCTAAGAATGAAGAAAAAGTGTTCACCAAGGCTTGGCTAAAATTGTCTGGTATTTAAAGAAACCAGTTTAATTTGATATATATCCTTACTGAAACAAAATCACCAAAGATAAATCAACTAGATGAACCCAATTTCTATCTTATATTTAAATGTTTTGTTTTTAAGACTTTATTGAAAAATGTTGGTGATTTCTAATTTGGGTCCCAATCTTATCGTTTTATCGTGATATATGAAAAAGAATTTTGGAGCAGCGTACATTCTATTAACTCTTTCCAAAGCAAGTCAACTTGAAAAATTGCACATCTGTAGCTTCATATTAGTTTAAATTGATGTAATATTTACATAGAATAAGCATCTACGGCAAGGCTAAGTCACTAATTTAGTTTTCGGAATGGACTTATAAAATAAATTCTTAAAAAGTGTCTATGTCTAAACCAGACACTAATGAACATATAAGAAAATTTCATTAATTCAATTTTTTTTTAATTATTCGACTCTCAGCGGCATGCTGGAGCTACTCTTTCATATATTTTTAACATGTCAAAAAACTGAATTACACCTTATTTCTCTAACAGCACTTTCATATAATTATAGGTCAAACCTTTGTTAACCTTTAACCTCATTCAAACATTCACCCGTTGTAGACCAAGGGTTTTGCAAAGTGCTACCGCGCATCTCCTATGCTCCAACAATATTGTGTACCTGTCAAGTATATTGGTGCACCAAAGAAGGCACCGCATAGAATGAGAAACGTGGGGGGGGGCTAAAGCTGAATAAAAAAAGCTTGACTAGTGGTCAATTTCTAAATTCGCTTCTGGCAAAAAATGGGGCTATAGTCCCCCGCCACAATGCTCCGCGGTGCCTGCAAGGGAATGCTTTTAAACAATTTGTGTACCAAACCGTGAGACGATACCTGTAAAACAGTTATGTTATGTTGTTTTTCCACTTCCTTTCTTGATATCTCTGTTTCCATCCCCCCTCCCTTTCACTGTTTGGGGAGGGGGGCGTAAGGCCACATTGATCTCCAAGCACAGAAACCTCGAGTAGATTCCTAATTGTGCGAAATAGAGGCTGTTGATACAGGTTCTCTTTCCGCCTTCTCGTCGATCCTGGGAGTGGGCATTTTTGAGAAAGGACTTTCCCTGCTTTGTAACGCAGTCGAATTGGAAAAGATGATTCTACTGGAAATAAACAATTCAATTGTTGAAGATGCATTGAGACTTCGCTTTGGCGGGTAAGTTGGTAGCCATTTTTTCAATCTTTTTATATCCGGATGTAACTTGTATGTCATGATGGCTAATGGTGGTCTTCTTACCTTGAATATCTATGTAGGGGTAATTTTAATGTTTTGTTCAAACAAAACCTACAGTTTTTATTTGGTATTACTACACTGACGTCAGTGATGATCACTGAAACAAGAGTGATGCGAAACCAGCCTAATCTATAGTCCTTGGAGCAAAACTTCCAACAGTTTTTTACTTGTTACTAATCGATTTGAAATCAACCCAATATGAGCTACAGACAAAATTTAAATTTAGAAATGTACTATTCAAACTTGTTTGAACCTAAAAGCCTTGATTTATAGAACAGGAATATTTCTAAGTTGTAACTTTTGACATTAATGCCCTTTTTTGTTAACTGACAACTTTTTAGGCTTGAAGGTATGTAATTTGGCTAAAAAGATGAATCACTTTCAATCCTGTACTGGCTTGTGCTACATTTCTTTCACAATAAATTTTCAGAACCATAGCATAATTTTCAATTGAAGATCAAAATGGAATTTAGCACTTAAATTTTTCCCTAAGTGTTGACTGTGTAATCTTTTAAAAAATCTCATCTAGAGAAAGTCTGAAACTAGAACTTATCAATAAATTTGAAAAATTTATGAAAACACGAAAGTTATGCTTTATAAAGCTTCTTGTTTATAACATGTTATAAAGCATAACTCATCTAGAGAAAGTTATGCTTTATAAAGCTTATTGTTTATAATATGTTATAAAGCATAACTTTCGTGTTTTCGTAAATATTTCAAATTTATTGATAAGTTCTAGTTTTAGACTTGCTCTAGATGAGATTTTTCAAAAGACTTCACAGTTTATGCAAAAGGAATAGTTGCCATATTTATTTCATGTAAGGACAAACATTTACATTTATAACCTGTGCTTTTTGACAATTGTGAAAAAAACTGCTCTGTAACTGCTGTATTGGTATGTTAAAAGGTGACTTTGCTCAACAAGGAGCAAAAACAAGTATGGTTGGCTGTTAATTATCACAGGTTGAAGCTAGATGTTATTTTATATTCCTTATTGTTTTTCTTTATAAACCTGCCAAGTTTTTCTTGTATTTATTGCTTAGGAAGTTCCATCTAATGCATGTTTTCTTTATTTCTTTGATTTATTCTTTCACTGATGTATAATTCTCTTTATATTTCATGACTGATTCTTGCCCAATTATTTGTCAAATTAAATTTTTATAATCCATTAACCAAACTGTTTATTTGATGAATAAATCATATGCTTACTCTCTTTTCGGCTTTCAGTTTTTGAATTGTTGCCAAGCCATATGCTAGTGCTAGTGAATGTCTGTGGATTAGTTTCCTTTAATTTTGATTTATTTTTTCAACTAGGGGAAAAGCTGAATCCATTGACATAAAAGTTGCAGGTAAGGCCAGAAAAATTATCTCTTGAAAAGTCTATTTCATAACAAGATTGAAGAGAAGGGAAAATGTAACAAAATCTCATAAACCTAGCACCAATTAAAGTAATATTCAGGCCTTTTTGTTTGACGTGAGCGATCAGCCCTCGCGCAAACCCAACCACGCGTGCGTTTAATTGGTAAATGGTAAATTGTGAGGAGTAAATGTCTCATCAATTAACACATTTCTAGTCATCTTTTTTGACCTTAGCAAGTGACATAGACAATACAAAGCGGGTATATCAAAACACAGGAAATATAAGTAAGCTGACTAAACCACATCTCAACGAAAAAATGCATTCGAAAATCAATTCCACAGCGAATGTTTAAGAATACTTTTGGGTACTAGTATTTAAACTACAATAGCACTTAAGACATTTTCTGGGCAGCCAGAGTGTATAAAGTATTTTTTCTGCGAGGGGAATGCCAGAACAATAATTTTGAAATTTGCGGATAAGGAACGTTTCCTATGGAATCGTGAGCGGAAGCAAAAGCTTTGAAGAGACCTTGTATTCTTTGTTTTTTCTTGTTATCAGAAGTCGCATGTTTAAATGGTGGAATATTTGCAGGGAACATGTCCAGATAAATAAATATTGTGCGCAGAATCTACGGCAGATTCTTAACAACATTTTGTCATCATCCGGCAATAACATCCAGCAATAACATCATGATATACATAAAGTTTATAAATGAAGCACATTTGTATGGGATATTTATTCTTTCTTGGAGTGCATTAAAGGTCATCATAACAGTTTGTTTTCATTTGATGCTACTTCAAACAAAAGGGTACCTTTTTAAGATCATTGCTTTCACTACCAGAGCGATCGCTCGCGCAAAAGAAATCATGCAAGCGATTGGCCACTTGCATGTGCTATTTCTTACGAAAAGGCCTGTTTATCATGCTTTACATAGTATTCTAGCAGTAACTTCCCCATTTCATCATTCATACATGAAACCCTTTCAATCCAGTGTTGACAATGTTGGCAAAGTTATATTCACATAAGAAAACTTTTAGTCCCCAACAACAGTTTGGGTGATTCCAAGAATGTGGAAATAGCCATTTCCTTGACAAAACTGTGAATCATGATTAAAGTTGTTTGGCTTGTCTATATTTGGTTTATCAAATGTATTTTTGCTGCATATTGTTTAGATGCTACCAAATAAGTAATATTTATTTTGTTGCTCTCCAGATTTTGATGGTGCTTTGTATCATTTATCAAACCCAGAAGGTGATAAAACAAAAATTCTGGTGAGTGTAGTCATGGTCAATGTTTTTTCATTGTACATTTGACCTCAACCTTTTGGTGAATATATGGCCAAATGTAAGCTAAACTGAGATATTCATCTTAAATCAGAGACTGGAAAGATAAACCCCCTTAAAGGAATAGCCAGAGGTCTTAATTTTCTGAACCTGTGAAAGCACAAGTTCACCTTCAGTGGACATTAATGAAAGCTAATTATTGCTTAAGAACTATTTTACCTAAGCCCTTTACCTATTGCCTAAGAACTTAAGAACAGACTAGGCAGCATGAAGATTTCATTGTCCGTCATTTTGTCAGACAAAGCAGCACACTGAAGATTGGCAAGTAAAATTCTTCTTACATGTAGGCTGTCTCGCAACGCTAAGATCTGTAAATTTGCTGGCCAAGAGGCTAGGCCTCCTTTGAGCCATTCTACAACAAATTGTGAAATATCGCACCTATTCTCTTTGTTAATATATCATCTGTAAGTTGTGATATTGTGATAAAGATAGTGTGAACAAGAGGTGGCGCACAGTGGTATAAACGTTATGAGCCACATACCATTTTGTTTCCAAATGCTGCCCTAGAAAAAACCTTTAAAATTAATGGCCTTTGGGGGATACCTCTTCCAGCCATTTTGTACTGCATTATCACAGTAGTGGAGGCACATAACTTTGTCAATGGTAATTCAAATGTCAGGAAAAAAATTTTTATTGCCTTCTAATCCGCTAATGGATCATAATCTATAGTACTGTTGATAGCAATTGAATCTCAAGGCAGTTATGGCCATGGTATTAGTTTCTCATTTCTCATACCATGATGTCACTAAACTTTTTTCTAAGGGACCCTGCTCTACCTTGGGTTTTTTATTTCTCATACCATAGCCAGTTAAACCATGGCCTCCCAACATTATGCTGAACTTTCGCTTGCTTGCATCTGCAAACTGTGTTTTAATTTGGTTTAGGAATTGAGTATTGTTGGGATGTTTCGAATATTCTCACCACTTTTCAACATTTTTGCAAGAGACTTACCTCACGAACACAGACTTTGCCTAAAAACAGAGAAGACCATGTCCAAAGTTAACCTAAAATAAGTATCATGTGACAATGCATACAAGGAATTTCCGTGGATTTGTAGAGATGTAAAGTAGTACCTACTTTTGTTTGGCATATCTCTTCAAGCGTAACTTATCGAAGGTGAATTCTTTCATGTAGTTTATTCAATATTTTTAAGCTAAAATATAGTTACCGAACTTAACATTTTTCCAGATTAAGTTGTCATGAGGTAAAAAAAAAGATGATAATAAGCATGGGTTGACAGATCCAATTGTTGTGTTTTGGTTTGGGTGAAATACTTTTCACCAAATTTTTCTAGAATCAGCTTTTCGATTTATGGTCCTGATACCCTGACCAGTTAATGGAAATTGCAAGAGGGCTCTAAGCCATTGGCAATGATTGTAGCCGTGGCTCCAAGCTTTTTACTGTGTTCACTGGCCATGGTATTTGAAACACGATTCTCATATCAAGGTCCCCTCAAGGTGGCGATACAGCAAGGCCTTCCCCTATCACTGATATTAGATCAATAGCCCCATAAGTGCAGGCAGTTTGACAGCCTCTTCAGATTGGAAACACAGGGAGTGTATTAACAAAACACATTTTCACAAGAATGAGCAAAGTGTATGTATAGCAAAATATTTGTTATACAGTCATTAGGTAGGGAAGAAGAAGCGCACTAGATTCATGTTCTGCTATTAATAGCTATGGTTTGCTTTAATTTTCTTTTTGAACACAATTTTTCAATTTACTTATACGGAGGCAAAAAATAAAAATGGGGTTCTTTGAGTAGGGGTGTTTGGGGGTATTTTCCTTCACCTACAGCACAAGTATTAAGCCTCTCAGCTGCCCCTGAAACAACCACATATAAAAACCCACAATTTTTCCTTTAAGTTTAAATAGGTTCTTCTGTGATAGAAGCTGTTAGGCAAATAAGGCTGTGTAGGTTTTTACATTGCTCTAAGGTTTAAAAAGTAGCTAAGTACTTTTACTTTGCTCTAAGCAGTCCTTTTCGTTTAGCGCGTGCGATCGCACCCGCACACGCCTGCACACGCGCAAGTTAAATTGCGCGTGCTTTTGACCACACGCGCAAACAGGTGTTTTTGCAGTTTTCTGTTAAAGGGCCTCTCCAGCCAAATTTTGCACTTGCATTTTATTGGCAATTTTTATAAAGAAGTTGAGCCTGCTGATCACGAATTCGTTATTTGTTTTTCGATATTTTTTTACAGTTTGTGAGATATAAGCTCTTGCATTTCGATAATTGAATTGAATTAACCGACAAAAATTGTTGGTTTGGTGACACTGTGACGCAATTTTGACGTCACAGTGTATTTCGGATAGTCTCGCCTCAAACCGAATCGAACGACGGTGATTCGCAAATTGAACACTGCAAGTGATGGTACTCTCAGTTCTGTTCCACCAGCTTTCAGTTTGAGCATTTCAGACACCAATTCTGAAGCCTTTAGTTGTTCATCGTTTCTGGAGAACAACTGAAGTGACAATTTCGATTAATTATACGCGAGGGAAGAGCTGGAACAGGAACTGGAACTGGATGCAGTTATCAACGCGTGACCATGAGTCCTTCGCGCTTCGGTGGAAGATATACGAAATTCATGGCGAACGAGAGCCGCACATTGTGACGTCAGAATGTCACCAAACTGATTCGGCTTTTGTCGTTTTTTTTTCTCGGAAAGATGCAACTTTAAAGCCTTACAACTTCTAAACTAATTGGAATTTTGGAAAAACAATGACTTTGTCATAATACACGCACCAGATGCTAACTTTTAAGTCATTAAAAAAAATTTTTTTTTTGCTGGAGAGGCCCTTTAACATCAATTTCCCATGGTCTCATGATTGTTTATCCTTTCCCTTGTTACTTGATTCGCACTTTTGACCACAATATGATTTTTCCAATTTTCGGAAGTGATGTTTGGCTTTTGACTGAGTGCTCCATTCAACTTAGCGTCTCGTCTTTCAGCTAAGTCGCCATTAGCATGTTAAGTGTAATAACTGATTTCCTGTCAAAACGTAATTAGGCCCTGAAAGCAAGTAGCTGTTGGAAACAATTTTTACTTGCTCTTGTAACTTTGGAGAGTGACGACGACTTTTAAAAGATGGCTGCTAAGGGCAACAAAATCTGTTATGTATTGATTAATTGAGTTTTGCTCTTGCACGTATTCGAGTGGCTTTTCCCATCTTGCTCCTTTTACCAATTTTATCAGGTTTGTACTTCAAATTTTCTTACAAGTGCGATCGCACGCGCAAATTTTTTTACATGTGCGATTTGCCACACACGCGTAATTTTGCTCACGAAAAGGACTGTCTAAGGTTTAAAAAATTGTGTGTATGTGGAGTTTTGATGAAAATAATCAACTTGCCTTAGACTATTGGATCAACACCTTCAAATATTTTTTGTATGAATATATAACATTAAAATTGATAAAATCTCTTAATGTAAATATACTGCATAAAAGTTACATCTAGCTGAATGAATAGGACAAGATTGATCCACATCCAATTCATTTTTAAATTACAGTGAAATAAACTAATTTTAAGCTGAATTTGCATCCAATTCCTCTAGGCACTTTATTCAACATGTTACTATTCTGTGCAGGTGTTTACAGTCTTAAATGTTTCCTCAAGATGATTGACAGAGGCAGTCTTCTTTATTTTTAAGTAATTTTTTATATGATCGTTTCCTTATATGTGTCTTTTTTATGCATATTTAGGTCAGCATTTCGTTGAAATTCTATGGTGAGCTTAGTAAACATGGAGCAGATGAGGTTTGTAGCATCAACTAGAATATTTCTTTATTCACTTATATATTGGCAAAAATTATTGACAAAAAGTTTGGAGCAAAACGATTTTGTGTGTGAAAATATCGTTGTTTTCTTTCAAATTTGAGATGAAAACATTGATAACTTCCTTAAAATTCTCTAGAAATGCCAAGAAATATCTGTAGATACCTTCCCCAATGGTGAAAAACCCTAATAAGTATTTAGATCTTGAACAATTGTCTTTCAAGTGGTTTGCCCCTTAGCTGTGTCTAAAACATCTGCCATAAATTACTTTAGGGTGCTATTACCCACTGCACACCCTTTATTCATTCACTCTGTTTATCCCCCAACCCCCTCTCCAAAGACAACAGAGATTTATGACCCTGAAAGTTTCTTGTATATTCAGCTTAGCTGCTGCTTACTTACAAGCTATAATTATTCAATGTAGCTACTGAAGAGCATATACGGGGAATACATGACACAACCAGAGCCAGGTTAGTTTTAGAATGACATATTGCATCTTCTAACAATGTGTGAAGTTTGTTGTTTCAATTTTCGAACCATTTAAAAAACCATTTTGTTGAATATTTAGTACACTTATTTGTTGAAATATTTAACTCAAAGCCTAGCTAAGTTATTTTATTTGCCATGATGTCAAATCTGTGCTTTTCACATGAAATTGAGTTTTAGCCAATCAATGAACCTGGTAGTTTAATGCTGAGAAATATTTAGCTGAAACAATATGTTATTCCATTCTTTCTTGTTAGACAGTTTGCGAGAGTGTCTCTTTGCCTTGGTTAATCACCTCATGATAGCAAGCCTTTCTCAAAATTGGAAAATTTCAAAGCTAATAGTTCTGTTCATTTTGCAGGCTTCAATGTTTCTTTGCTTTTTGATCTAAATGCATTGCCAGAAGATAAAGGTATGATGCAATATGATAAGCACGGATCAAAATTGATTAGGCTGAGAATATTATTTTACATTAAAGCCTAAGCATATATATATATAGTAAGATGTGTATTTCCCATCTGTTTTCAAGATTTTTTATTAAGGAAACATTTTCAATTCAATCTATGGAGCATAGTAATAAAAACTGTAATAAATTTAATTAGTACTGAATTTAACAGCCTCTTTGATATGTGTAAATAGGCTGTCTTGCCTTTCAATGGTGTAAATAGCTTTTGATGGTTTTTTCATATTACTATCAAAGTATTTTGTATTTACTTTTTTTGTTGGTTTCAACTACATGATCCCTTATTCTCAAGAAAGAGGTTTGTGCATGCATGAAAAAGCAGAAGACAAACCACACGTGTATTTGTTCTGAAATACTCATTGAATTTCTTTGTAGAGGGACTGATAAAAAAGGTTGGATTGCTTAAACGCAACTGCTTTGCATCTGTTTTTGAAAAATACTTCGATTTAGTTGGAAAGGACGAAACACGGGAGAGGGCAGTTATTAATTACCGAGACGATGAAACATTGTATGTTGAAGCAAAGGCTGACAGAGTAACTGTGATCTTCAGCACCGTTTTCAAAGACGACGATGATGTCATCATTGGGAAGGTCTTTATGCAGGTATGTAGTATTATGATAATAATGGCCTCGTTATGATGACCGTTATTATCGCTACCTCATTTGGCAGACGGTTGGATATAAAACCACGTTGTTGATTTTCATGAGATTGGATTTAAAAGACATTGCCTAATTTCTTCTATAAATCTTTCAGGATACAACAAAGTAGACTTTCAATAAATTGTGTTTTGTTTATTCTGCACATACGAAGCTGTCCACCACTATCAAATCTGAATTTGATAGTAACATTCTAGTCATAATGAAGAAGTATAATATATTGCAATTTAGATCTCCTACTTAGAAATCTTCAATGTCTAAAGTCTTGAAACAAGAAACAAATGATCCATAAAGGTTGTTATGGGGCTTGTTTTTGTGAATTTAGATGTTGCTTATGATTTGGTGTATTTAGTATTGTTTTTTTTGTATTCTGTTGTGTATTCTTTCCTCTAGATTTCTGTGTATCCAATTAGCGTTTCTATTGATCAAATCATAAATTTTAAAAGCAGGGACCATTTTAAGAATAAGATTGGGATGTTTTTTGCCTTTATCCAGGAATTCAAAGAAGGAAGGAAAGCAAGCCATGGCAGTCCACAAGTTTTATTCAGTCATAAAGACCCACCACAGGAATTGCAAGGGACAGACGCCGCTAAAGGGGAAAATATTGGTTATATAACCTTTGGTGAGGACACTGAATGACATTCGAACGGGTATTTCAGAGCTGGCCATTATAGACGAGCAATAGCTCCCGCCCCCTCCACCTGTGCACAAAGTACCTATGCAAAAATAGCTCCTCTTGAAGTTTCATTCATTTTCAGGTTCTGTTGATATGTATTTTGAAAAGAGGCACAAATAAGATTGTCAACTTCAGGGTTAAAAAAGACTTCAACAATAATTATTTTATTTAATACTGCCTTGATTTTGCAAATTGTAGGCCATTTTGTATATATTATGTTTGTTGTAGCTCGCCTGGTCAAATAAGGCGACTTTTGTCTATTATTAGAGGTTTTTGTTATTTTTCGATAGCAAGAAATCAATTCCCAGGTACTTTCTGAATTCATTTAATGAAGAATTTAGTTATCCTGTTTAGATTTCAAATGCTTAGTGCTGAAGTAATTGAAAAGCAGGTCACCTTTTGGTTGATAAAGTTGAAATTTGAATGTGACCTCACTGGACCTCACTGGTTTTTGCAGTTTTGGAACCAAGGCACACAAATGAAAAGATTCGGGAGAATACAATAAATCTGATTCACACATTCAGAAACTACCTGCATTACCACATCAAATGCTCCAAGGTGCGTTAATTTTTGTGTTTTTTGACAGGTTTTGCCAATAATTGTAGTCATTGGAAGATGTTTTCATTTTCTGTTTATGAATTGGACATTTGTTATCACTAAAATTTTCCAGTGACCCAGATTAGCTGCTACCCATCTCACAAATTTGAAATTCCAGATATTGGAATGCAGCTTTTTTCTCTTGAATATCTGGTTATCGATTTTTACTTGGATTGCTTATTTTTTATGAAACTTAGGTCAAATTGATAATAGAATTCTGAGCCGCTTTAGAAATAATTTTCGGAACGAGATTTTCCTCACAGTTTTACAAAGATTAGCTCCACAATATACGATTTAAAATGCATACATTTCTATTATCAAGAAGAGTTGTTTGCTGTTTATTGATATTCCAATTGTCATTCGAATTAAAGCAATTTTTATTGGGAATTATCAACAGCATTTTGAGAAGATGTTGAATTTAATGTTTATATATTTCTCACACAGAGCAGGTATATATATTATTAGAATTTTTGCCATCACATCTTTCTTGGAAACCTGGCAAATCTTTACACTAGTTGAGATTATTTTTATTCTTACGTGAATGTTAATGTTTTTTGTAGGCCTATCTCCATTCTCGAATGCGCGCTCGCACTTCCGAATTCATTAAAGTTTTGAATCGTGCCAGGCCAGAAAAGGTTACTGAAAAGAAAACGATGAGGTTTGGTGATATTGACTTAATCTCCTTGTTTTATGAGAAAGTTTGGAAGTCATATTTTGCTCCTGTTTTTCAAGGATATATTCTAGTAAATTTTTATTCTCATGAAAACGTTGTTTGCTCAGAAAAATTATCACAATACCCATGATGATTCATAAGTAAATATTCCATTGCTTTGTATTTATTTGTAACATTCGATAATTATTTGATTTTATGTATTATATTTACGTATTATATCAATGTTTTATCTATGAATAAGGCAGAAACTAGCATTAAATGATGTGTTAATGATAGCCCTTCTTTCTTTTTTGCAGTGGAAAGACTTTCAGCAGAAACTGATTCATTATTGGGCTGATTTTCAAGAACTTGTTAGAAACTTGCGATGTATTTTAACCCTGTGCAACGGAGACTCGAACTGATGAACAATTGATGTCAACCGAGCTTCCATTAATTTTGCAACTTAATCATTCTTGTCATATTTTTTAGATGTATGAAGAACCTTTTTTGCGAAAATGTGGTATCGTTATTTTAGTTTTCTGCCAATTTTACTTTCTTTACTCAGAAAGAAATCTTATCCATTGTCTCAATAATGCTAAAAATTTACCTAAAAACGCATCCATTTTTTTAAGGAACATTTATTATCTAGCTCGAGACAGAAGTTAAGATACAACAAGCTGCAGAGCAAAAATTGCTAACTCAGGAAAAGATACCATAGATATCAGCAAGTCAACCACGAGGCTACGTTCCCACATGGAGAGCGAGTTGGTGCATCGGATCAAGTTGCTCAATCTATCATAAACCTCTAACAGAAAGAGGTTACTAGGGAAAGTCACACAACAACCACAAGTACACTTACGTTCAAAAAGTATTTGAACACCTTCGATAAAGGAACTATGGCCTATGTACCCCCAAAATGTTGTTAAAAGTTGAAAAAACACTTTTGAATCATAACAACTTTTGAATCATAACTATAAAAGCACTGGATTCCTATTATTCCTATAAAATTTTCCTATTGATAATAACAAAATCAGCAATGGAATTGAATGGCCTACAAACGGCAAACTCACAAGGCCTTGGCCATTTGCGTAACAAAAAAACTACAAAGAAAATAACAAAATCAAATTAAGTTTTAAGTAAAGTTTACTAAATCAACGAAAAGGTTAGAATTTTATGAAATTATTGAGATTGCTCAAGCTACTTTGAAAACTGCATGTTACTTAAGGGAAAGCCACAGAACAACTCGTCGGCGAAGCTTAATTTTGCTTCGAGAGAGCATTTTCTTCTTATAAAGCTGGACAACTTGTATTTCTTATGATTTTTATAGCCATGTTTTTGCTTATGTTCCTAGATTTAGCTTCTTTTTACATGACAACATGATGTCTGGTAAGGATTCAAACCTATTACTTTGCAGTTCCCTCAGAAATGACCACTCGTCCCTCGGCGTCGTAAACTTCTTCGGTTTGCCAACTCTTGGTAAATCTTTGACTTTTCTTGTAAGGAAAAACTTTTTACACTCCACAAAAGTTCACTCATTGAGCAACCAACAAGTGATGCAATTTAACTAAACCCATTCGTGTTATTTTCGCAGAAAGCAATTTGCAAGCGCTTATCGTAACTCCGTTCTCGTTTTTTAGAACTTCCATGTCTACGTCTCAAGACCTAAAGAAATTTCATGGTTGATGTTTTTTGAATTGTTTTGAGTACTTAAAAGTCTTCAAAACATCAATTATATCTTGCGAAAATTTCATGAATACAGCTGCTGTAAATTTTTAATATAAAATATTTTCCAAAAGGCTTTTCAAATTTGTTGCATGAAATGTCTTCAACATGTCGCAATTTGTCCCAAAATTTTTTTAGCGTAAGCATATCATTGATATTGGGAAGAAAACATACAAAAATCTTGTAATGAGGTTTCACCAAGCAAAGTGCTATGAACCCATAAATATTCCTGGCTCAACCAAGGGAATAAAATGCTATGAAATCACACAACTTACCCTAGTGTTTAGTATCTATTAAAGTTAAATCCCCAGGAGGTCAAAATACTCCAAATGATTACACAGTATCTTGTAGAAAGGGTACAAGGAAAACTATGAAATCACACAACTTACCCTAGTGTTTAGTATCTATTAAAGTTAAATCCCCAGGAGGTCAAAATACTCCAAATGATTACACAGTATCTTGTAGAAAGGGTACAAGGAAAACATGACGAGGCACAAGGAAGAGACAATCACGAATAGCAAAGGACACAAATTCAAGGCAGATTAATTAAAGGACAAATGCCCCTTGTGAAATTTTCCCTGATTAATTTCATTTATACATAATCAAAGTATTTTTATATATATCATCAAGGGATTTAGGTCTGCTCCAGCCCTTTGTAATCACTGATCTACCAGCTTCCGATGGGCGTGAAATGCCTCGTTATGAGCTGCCGGTTCAGAACGAAACGAAGGCAAACCTCGTCTGGAAGCTCTTCCATTTGCCTTTTTGCTTTGTAAATTCCAAGCGTGGTGAAGAATATGAAGATGAACCCAGCTAATAAGCGAAGGTTACAAAATGTATTTAAAGTCATGAAGACGACATTCCATTGGGGTTTTATTCCATTTGTTGTCTATCTTGGTAAGTAGAAGCATGCATGCTTTCATTCCAACCTGACATGCACGTAATACGTTTACAAAGAACCTGAATGTTGAAAGAAACCTTAGCTAGACGACAAGAGTAGTGCTCCTCTGACAAAGAGAAAGCTATAGTTCGCTTTGGAAAAGATAAGCTGAAATTTCAAATATACTTAAGGGTTATCAAGGCTGATAATCAGAGAAGCGGATCCAGACTACATACAGCAACCTATGAAGAAAGTCAGATTTTTTACAGCATAAAAGCAAAAATGGAAACTATGAAAATCTTTAATCAATAGCTTATTTATCAAATTGGGTCCTAGATCTGCCCCTATCAATGCCAACAGCTTGCGTAAGACAGAGCATATATTTTGCTTACCAGACTGGAAAATTTGTTTCTTGTGCCGATCCTGACTGGAAACTTTGTCGTGTCTGTGCAATACATGGCCCACGCACTCAAATTTTCCATCTGCGCACTTTTGCATATTGGCAGCGCAAAGTCCCTATTTGATTATTTACATTATTAACAATACAAATTTCTTAAAAGTGTGTGATTTCAGGCACGCAGCCATGCAGTCAGGCACATGAACTTGCCTGCGCAATTAACAAAGTTTCCTGTCTGGGCACGGATGAGTTAATTTTTGAAAATTTGCGACTGCACACCTTAAATCATGCACATTCAAAATTTGTAATGATAATAATGTAAAATGTTATCAAATGGGAACTTGAGACAATGTGGGCAATATGCAAAAGCATGCAGATGGACAATTTGAATGCGCTGGCAATATATTGCAGGTCTGCCACAAGGATTCTAGTCTGGTTTGCTGGCTATTTTTCACCCTCTGCTCAGACCAGTATGTAGAACATGGTAATAGCGCACCCTAGATGCAGACATGTTTTTGTTGAAGGCACACACCTTAAAACTCGCTTTATTCAATTTATGTCTTGAAAAATTGATAGAGTTGGCACACTTTGCATTTTGGTTAATTTCAGCACACCTGCACCTGAGGTGTGTGGCTGTTTGTGCTCCCAATATCTTATCAAAACTGACCATACTCTACAAACTGGTGCACGAATCTGTCAGATAGCCATTCTGGGCATTATGTTGTCCTTTTTTTCTGAATCCAGTAGCTTGTTTGTGCCTCAAGAGCCAATCACCACTTGCTTGACCTATGCAAGTATTTTGTAAATTACAATACAGAGCCTATACACATAAAATGAGGGGATGCTACGAAAGTGTTTTTGATAATGTTACTGTGGATACGTAGACAATAAAAGGTGTGAATCACAGTGGCACAATGGAGGACATGATTACATTTGACACTGGTCACTACACAGTTTCCAGTCTGTTGCATTGGTACAGGCAATCAATAGGAATCAGATTTGGCCTGTGCAATTGTTTACAGTAGACCTATGCAATTGTTTGTTGTAACCAATAAAATGGAAGTTGAAAATCACTGCTTCACCCTTGCCTAGGAAGTTCTAGCTAAGTAAAGCATGAAGCAGCAACAAGGTAGAGTTGTAGTATTTCAGCTGCACTGAGAATGCAGTTGCCCTAGTTCAAATCCTGTAGGATCTCATTCTGGCAGTATTTGGATTTTTTTCTTTTAGCTGCAAGTGAATTCAGCCTTCTATCTTTTTGTGGATTGGTTCCCTTGATTTACTTTATGAAACCCCTTATTAAATATCAATAATACTGATGTTATTCAGAAAAATTTGGGTGTTTCCCACAAAAAGGGCTTGGCTTCTCTTTCTGACAACCTTTGCACAAATCAGAATTCAGGCTGGATCCGTGCCTGAATCAGGTGTGTAAGTGTATTGTTTTGTATTTGGCATGATAAGGCCAGTGCCCAGAATCTAAATTCAAATTTGTAGATAACAGTAACAGTAGATAGCAGCAAATCTATTTTAGTACTGTAAGTGATGATTATACATTTGATTTGGTATAAATAGACAGTACAGTATCATTTCAAATCACTGACAAAATCATTTGTTTATTTTTAGGTCTAAGTAAAGGAGGTGACCCAGGTATGCCAGAGCCAAATCTTCTGAGGTAAGGGAAGTAAATATTATCTGTAAGAACTCATGATTAAAGATTCACATCTTTGATTAAACATCAAATCTAAATATATATTTATCAAAGCTGGTATTGCTTAGACTCTTGCATTCACAAAAGACCTAAACACCAATTCAACTCATGGCCTATTTTTGGAAATTTCTCCATACCTCATTGTATGAGGTTTTAAGCTCAGATTTGGTTTATCACCATAACTTTAGGCCTGATACAATTTTTCATATAACATACAATGATAACAGAGCCTTAAAACTTGTAAACTACTTTATAATCTTTTGAAGGATTTCTAAACACTGGCCAGTCCTTCCGTGTCTTTCCCATAATTTTAATTCAAGGATTCAAGCATGGGTTCTTTTGCAATTTATCTTTATTTGCTTTTTTATCTTATTTTATTGATTTTTTTTGTTTACTGATATGAATCATTGTGTTTTTTCATTGTAGCTTGTTGTGGGCATGAGGCTGCTTCGTCTCAGAAGTAAGAAATTATGGACAGTTGCAGTGTCATCCTTTTATTTACATAGAACGCTATGGTGAACTTAAATGAAATAAATACAGTAAGCTTTTGCATGGTTTGAGGTTTAATATTAAGAAGCAAGAAAGTTAAAGGATTCATCAGTTTGTTCAACATAAATGCTCTGTATTCTTTCTGATTAACTGGATGTTATCCTAATATCATCAAGTGACATATTTCATTGTAAAAAAGTGTCATGTTTTCTTATTTGCCTCTATTCATGGCCAAACTTTCATGATGTAAGTGTGTTATTCCATATCAAGTTTACCCAAAAAACCTAGTTTTCACAATGACTATCAGGGATTTTCATTACAATTTACATCAATGAAGATTATGATAGAAAGAGCTTGCATGCTTAATTTACAAACAGTTGTCAGTCCAGTAACATGCAAGACTAGAGAAAAATGTACACATGAACATTGCTCAATATTGAATATAGACTGGTTCCTTTTTAAGGAAGACCAACATTGTGTTTGAAAATAATTATTGAGAAGGAATGTCATAAAGTTGATGTGAACTTTAAGGATGTGAATGACTTAGTGAAGCGGAGAAGATGCATTAAGGCATGGAAGGAAACCCCTAGATAAAAGCAAAGTCCTGACTATGACAAATGGTGGTTATGGTGATATGAAACTAATACTAGGATGCCCAACAATTGAAACTATAAACTATAAAATTCCTATTTTAAAATAAAGAGTCCAAAAGTATTTATTATTTTAATTTTCTTTGGAAAAGATAGCATTCTTTGGATTTTGATATGCATGGGTTTTCATCGTGAAGATCTGCATTTTATTCTTCCAAAAATGCTCAACTTCAAAACAATAAGGCAATTTCAAGTTCTGAAAAAAGAAACCAACTAAGAAACTTTTAGTATTAAAACACCAGGAAGCCAAATTAAGAAACTTTCAGAACTCAGTGTTGATCCAAGTTTCTAATAAAATAAACACATGTAGTAATGTATCAGCCTAACAGTTTGGTTTTGTTTCTCCATTTAGGCAAAAATTAGCTTCAAGATATTTGCAGAAAACTTAAGACCTCATTTGATATTTTGCAGCTTAATGTTTTCCTTTTAAGCATGACTCAAAATGTTGAAATCTCTAAGAGGACATTATTTTCATGTGAAAAAAGGATAAACCTGATATCTTACAAAAAATGCAAATCTATACTTCTGCGAAAAACAAAATTATAAAGGAAACAATTTTTGATCTTAAAATTTAGTCAGAATATTGTCATTTTTAGTAAGGTTAAACTTGAAATTTAGCCATAAGACATCGTGATGTTTTCTACTTGGATAAAAATTATGGTCATATTCAAAATAGCCGCGAAAGGAATTTTGAATGTTTTCAAAGGCCGTAGAAAGCTTGTAAGTGCGATTTGCAATCATATCGCTTATGTTTGATGCTCGGATAAGATTGAAAATAACTACAATATATTTTGTAGTTATTTTTCTATAACATTTGATTTGATTTGTAGTCATTTGAATCTATAACCTGGCCAACTTTATTTTTTTCCAGGAACTGCTATTGCCTTTAAAAATGACTCAGATTTTTACGAAAACTGTCTTAAAATTATAAAAGACAATATGTTTCACACTAAAATGCCTTGAAAAATGAGTCAAAATTTAATGAAAAGATTAGCAAAAGAAAATGTGGTTTAAACGTTCATAGATTGCTGAATGTTTTGGGACTATTGTGTAACAGTATCAAAGGAAAAGATTAAAGACTTTTTCCAAAGATTTCGTTTTTTTGTACGATGGGATCGTGGAATTTATAATTTTTCAAAATACTTCTTGCCATTCTTTACTCTATCTCTAACTTTAAAAGTCACATATTAAAAGCCACTTTCTGAACCTTGTTTATACCCTTTCATTTCTTTCTTGTTACATTTGGGGTCTGCTGAAACGCGCTCGTTTAGCGACTTTGCTAATTGTTTTTGACGTCATAAATAAACGCATGAAGACTTATGTGTGGACGCAGGTGAATGAAAACCATCAACGAAAGAAACGCAGCATCGATAGCATGAATGAAAAGAACAGAATTGAAGACGACAATACAAAAATTGATCAGGTCAGGAATGAATGCCGGAGTTTTATCAGCAGAACACCTGGTCAACACAGGGTATGTCCCCTAGAGCAACCAATTGATATCACGCTTCACTCTGACGCCATTTTATTCTCCCGATCGCCCAATTGCAAACTAGGGAATTCGGACATGTCGTTTTAACTCAAGTATCCCTTACCGTTCCTCAAAGTTAGTTTGGTACATGATGTTGGTAAGAGAGAAACTTTAGTAATATAACTTGGCATTGAACAAAATATAAGGAATACTAACAACGCAATAACTATTTCCTGCACACGTTACAGCACAAAGAAATTTATTGCTCACTTTTTTCATGGAATATTATTCCTACTTTATATCAATAAGATTCTTCAATTTCAGAGGGTCAGTGCTGTTATTGATCGAAAAGTATGGCAAGTGGATACCTTGCGACTTACCGATACATTGGAGTCTTCTGAAGTAAAAAGGGTCATAAAGAATGAAACAGAAAAAGAAAGAAAACGAAAAATGTCAGCTCCGTATGGTGCATCAGTTGAAATAACAGACATGCAGTTTCATGAAAGATGCCGAAGACTGTCAAATGTTCACGAAGATTTGTTCAAGCTCTTTTCCATTCACAATGCATGTACTTTTCCTTCAAGTTTCATTTTCTCGTTTTCACCTTTTCCGATTCATATTGAGTATGAAATCTTCTGTAGTTAGGATAATGACTTAACATTAGTCGCCACCTAGGTGAATGATGCTATGTAATTTGTATGAGCAAAGGAGAAATATGCGTGTTTTGAGCCTGTACTCGACCGTGCCCCCAAAGACGCTCCTAAAGAGATGTTTTTCGACAGTGGAATTTCTTTCGTCACACATAATAACACAAATGAATTGGCTTGCCTTGTGAGGTGAACCATTCTTGCTTCTCAAATCCCTAAGAATTTTTCACTAATTTATGCAAAATGGTGACTTTGTAAAAATAAATTTGCATCAATTTTCAGAATACTTGCATAATATTCAGAGACACTTTTTTGAGCGGCATATTCCACTTGAACGACCAAGAAAAAACTCTTCGGGTCTTTTTTAATTCAAACTGAAGGACATAACATGTTTAGATTATTGAAGCATGTTTTGTTGATCCGGGAAGATTCAAGGGGTGCTTAGAGGTTTCTTAGCAAAATATTTGAGACTTGAGAGCATACCATCATAGAACATCTTATGAACTCAACTCATTTTTTTGTAATGTCTATCACCTACGTAGTGTTGTAGACTTGGCAAGATTTGAAACGATTCTCAAATTTGCTTTTATTTTTCTGCATCTTGCTCCTATAGGCCGTAGTCCAGCGAAAATTTGAGCAGCAGAGGTTGGTTACAGAAGTTAATAAGCAGCTTGTTCTTGAAGAACTACAGCGAAAATCGGCACAAAAGGCGGTAAAATATGCTGTAGAAATCGAAAGAGAACGCAGAATTAAAATTCTTCAAGAGATGGCTCAAGGGAAAAGCGACAATGCACTTGAAATTGCTGATATGAATGCTCGTCTGTCAAAAGTTCATATTGAACTTAAGGATGCTTTTAGATACATTTGGGTAAGCATGTTGCTAGTCACATTATAGAAGGAATTATTGTTAAGTCCTTTTATCAAGTGGAGTTTCATCTTACCTAAACCTGAGACGGTGTTTTCTTAGCATTTACCTGCATCTCTTCCTCTGTTTCTTGCTGTTTCTATGCAAATAATTACCTTGTTTATATGTTATCAACGATATAAGATGGAAACATATGTCATACCTTACTTGTAACACTATAATGTTTACAATCCAATTCACAATACTACATCCTTCCACAATATCATTCACAATTCTACATCTTTGACTTTATTATAAATCATTAAAAAAATTTCATACATCTCTTCACCTTGGGGAAATATTACCCTTGAAAAGATAAAATATCTTTTTCAGATCTTTTTCAGTTTCATGAAGCTGTGTCTGTATGCCTGATGCTCCGGCTGTGTTAACAAAATGATTGTTTACGTGGCTCTACTCAGCTTTCGAATATCAATTATTCATAGGAAGAAGGCCATTGAAGTTATAATTTAATTTATTTAATTAGCAATATCTGTAGTTTTTTAGCAAAGTACATTTGTAAAATTAAATAACTGATTGGGATTTGTGGATAAATATTATGAAGATGAATTGATAATTGGCACTGACAGCCAATGTTAGAAGAATAAAAAGTATTTTAAAAAAGATCTCTTTCTCGTGTCACAACCGAGATTTTGCAGGTTTTGTGTCTCCTTTAGTGATTGACTCTTTACTTAAGTTATAAATTTAGCAACAATTTCAGTGCTACATTAAATATAATGTGGCATTAATTCTAACAAAGGGTTAATATCTATGCAGGAAAAAGAAGGAAAGAAGGAACAGGAGAGGTTGAGAAAAGCCTCGGAGGCTAAGAGGGAGGTGATAAAAGTTGCTTCCGTGGCTCAACAGAGCTCAAAATTGGAAGACATTGAGAAGATAAGAGATAAAGAGGTAGAATCTTTGCAAACTACTGAACAATTCCGAAGGATTGTTCAAGACAAGCTTAAAGATATACAAGAAGAGTTAGCTTCAATATTTGGTATATTCAAGGTAAGTATATACACAGCAGTGGTGTAGTGCTATTAAAATAACAAGGGGGGCTCTTGCTCAAAATGTTGCGAAAACAATAGCAAAAGTAAAAATTTGCCAATCTTTGGCATCAACGAGGGTGCTCAGCCCCCCTGAGCCCACCTAGCACTACACCCCCTGGTGCATAGTTTGGTATGTAAAAATTTTTCTTCGCATAATTTTGCCTCGTGTGTACATAGAAAAGCTATATATTTTCTACGCTAGTTATCAAATCTTTGACACGGTTTGCAGTCCTTCTTTCTAACTGTAACTTCTTCTGGCCTGTTTAAAAATATAAAAAATATTATTTTGGCCTTTTAGGCAGCTTGCTAATTCCTTTTTTGCTGTTAGATGATTGTAACGAAAATAAACACTGAATAAACGATGCTAGGAACGACAGGGATACATGGGTTGGGTTCTAAAGGCTTTGGGCTAGAGGATGAGAGCTAGAGGCTGGGGGCTAGAGGCATGATGAAGCAACCCTCTAATCAGTTGCCTTACCATTTCTATTTCCTTCTTAAAAAAGTTTTAAAACTGAAGCAACAGACGTGGTGCTCCTCCCACAGGAACCCCCAAGCCTTCATGGGTTCCGTTACAACGAACACTTCATAAATATACCCTGTATTGGTGACTTGAGTTGACATGTTTCGTTTCTAAATTGTCACAGGTAGAGGTTATTCTTTATGTCAAGCTTGATTACTCTTGTAGGAAAGAATGAAACTGAGAGTGGTACAAGACAAAGAAATAGATACAAACTTTCAAGATGAAGATGAAAGTGTCAAAGAGTCTATGAAGTCCTAAAGTCATAAGAAGAATATTTTTGTCAGCAATGACGAACACGTTTTTAAGATGAAAAAACTCAAAAATCGTTTACGAACCATCTCTTGAAACCCTTTGACAAGAACAAACGTATTCCCTGTACTAATAAATACAAAATTGGTATTAAAAAATTAAACAATTGTCAAATATATGCCATTCAGTGTCATTTATTGAGTATGTTTTTAGACTTTTTAACTAAAGAGTTAATAACGCCACGGTGTTTTATACGCACAGCTTCCAAAATCGGGCCTTTTAAAATTTTATTCTTTTAGGGAAAATACAAACACCTGAACTATTTTCTTCTCCTTTTAGTTAAATGATATTCTTAGATTTGTTCTCAATCAAAAATTTTGTGATAATTTTCTAAACTACTAAGGGCGTTAAAAACATAGCCTTTAAATATCTTGAAAGCAAAGGCTCGCTAATTCAATAGCGTGCCTCTCTCTATACGAGAAATTCTTCCATCCTCAAATGCCATTCTTGCAACACAAGCATGTATGAATTGCCTTGAAAGGACCACTAGAACGCTCAAGTGTGCTTAAAAGTATGTTCAAATCAGAATTGTGTTCAAAGTGGAAAGCCTCAAAATCTGGTTTTGTCACAAAAGCTACAGTCTTATATCACAGTGCTTATATCTTAGTGAAGAAAACGTCATGTTTAAGAATAACCAATGGTTCGCTGAAAGCCAAAAGCTCTCATTTATTTTTAGAAGCGCGTTTTAAAGCAGCGTGTTATCGAATTTTAAAAACCGTTGACCTCAAGTGAAGTTCGTTCGAGTAATGTATAATCCGCAGTCTTTGCATAAGGCTAGCTAAAATACTTGATCTATGAAACCAGCAACTGGTTCCTTGAAAGTATTCCAGAAACTTTGGATTTTATAATCTTGCGAATTGCAGGTATACAACAGAGTAGAATTATAATAATAATAATAATAATAATAATTAATTAATTTACAGTAGGCGTTTTTTACAGTAGTAGCTAAAACGATAAGCTAACTAAAGCCTACTAATTATAGGAATAAGAATTGAAATATAGCACATGATGTGTTTATCTGATAGAACCTGATCATTTATCTGATAATTAATTGAGGCAATGGAAGTTTATTCTGTTGTAGCATCCGTCAAATGAGGTTTTAGCGAAACAGAGGCGCATGGTGTAAGTCTAGCATGAACTTGGGGGAGTAGTGGAGGGGTGTAGGGGGGCGTAGCATCCCCAATATTTCACGAATTCGTCGGTAAATATTCAGTCTGTCTACAAAATCCTTAGTTTGTCGGTAAAATTATCTATCAGTAGAAGAAATAGCACGTTAATTCCTCTCGATCTATGTCTTCGTCGGTAAATTTTCCTATTGATGATTCTCCATCCCCCTTGTCTGGAAGATCAAGCGACGCCACTGAATGAACTTTCATGTTGGCAGTCCTTCGCACCGACTTGCCTTTTTGCATGCTCTGAATGTCACTTGCTGAATAGATGGGTTCGTGACAAAATTTTGTAAAGGCAATATTCCTTAACGAATCATCCATGAAAAATCAGTGTGCATATCTGTTTTACGGTGCTCAACGTAATACCCAAAACTCTACTCCAAGGCTTTTAAAATTATTGGTTTCAGTAGTTCTGTGTTTCATATTAAATGTGATCACGAGGAAACAGGCAGAGAGCACACAATAACTAACAAATCAAACAAATAAATCAACACAAAGAATTAAAGATAGCTTGTATTTTGCCCTGGCATGCAACAGAGTGAGCCTTTGGGATTCAACAGAGTGAGCCTTTTATTTTTTACACTCTTTTATAAGAATACTATACAATTTCTCAAGCCTCTATATTCCTAAGAACATTTCTTTTTGAGCCTGAATTCTTATTCTTTTTAAAACTGATACGGTTTAGGGTGACAACAATAAAAACCACGCTTGTTGTAAAGGAGACATGTCAGTTCTGCAATTCCCTGTTATGCGTACCAAAACAGGCAACTGCTGAAAAACGAAACACAAAAATTTGAGCTGAGGCTGAGCAATATTCGTATGATATTATAGTAGGCTGTATGCCTCTGAGCCTGAATATTCTCATTTGTTTAACAACATAAAAACCGTGTAATGAAGCAGAATCTATGTTGAAGTCAGCACCCAAGGAATAGGCTGATAGGAATTCAGCTTTACCTAGGCTTTCCTGTCAGACTACGATTTGGAGAAAGTGGCAGAAAATGGAGAAGGTTTGGAGGAGCAAAATCCTCCTAACAAATAATCTGATACCTTCACCCAAAAAGGAAGACAAGAAAATGTCGCTCAAACACACTCTGACACATACACGGCGCTTGTTCCACCACTCAGAATACTTAATTTCCGTCACTGCTTTTGACCAGAGAAAGCAAAAGTTTGAGCGGAATTATTCTCCGTTTCATTAAAGGTGGCTGACATCAGGAGGCTTCACTGCATTAGATACAATATGTCATGTACAATGATATAGAATTGAATTTATACAAGAAACATCTATATTTACAACATTGTTGCTCAACATAAAACGATTAAAACAAGGATACGTTGGATGAAGGGCAAAGGAGCTACAGATCTGTTTAGGCTACTTTGTCAAAACCTTTCAGAAATTTCGCCGCCTGTCAGAATTTGTTTGAAATTTCTATCTTTAGTAAATCCCTCAATATAACTTATTTCCCAAGGCACCCTTTCATAAAAACTGAGTATTAAGGTATTTCAGAGTTTCTGTACTTCTGCAATGTCTCAGAATTCACTGGCACAAACATTCTTTATATGAAATTTGAATTTTCTTTCCATTTTGAATTACGCATGACAATCTCGCTAAACCAACCTAGAATCAATACTCGTAGTTTTGATCAATTCGCTACTTAAATCAATTATCTCAACCTGAACAGGTTTGAGATCGTAAGTCTACAATCCATGCCAAAACTATCGGAATGCTGGAGGAAGCCTAAATTATTCTTGTAATGCTCCGGTTAATAAAACAACTTTCCTTTTTCAACATGTCAATCTCAACAAGCCTGACGGGACACAGAATTCCGTCAAAATATCAGGGTCCCTGCTGTTGTGGTTTTAGAAAAGACACTTTTATTTAAAGGTGTTAATCACAATGCTTGATTGAACACCATTTCTATAACTGAACGTACTATTTCAATAGTATAGTACTTGGATGTTGAAAGTTAGATATGGAAAACGTGTAGTAAACAGTTTTCTTTTTGTTCTTACATGTCTGTTGAGGCGAAAAACACAACACCTGCTCCATAGTTCAATGTCAGGGGTTTCTGCTACACGAAAACTCTTCTTCTACACGCGAAACTAAACACGTGAACTAGCTTAAGTGAACAATAAGTAACATCGTTATAAATAACTTAAGAGTATTGTAATATATCTAGTTGTAATACACCAATAAAGATACTTTTTTTGCTTTAGTGCTCTGCCCAATACTCGAATGAAAATATCAACAACCAATTCTGCTGAAACACTCTTCATAATTAATAGAATCTTGAGCAAATGCTTTCGTCACTTAGAACGTTTCATTTCAGCTGAATGAATGTTTATACGTTACAAATTCTTCTCGGCATGAATTTATTAATCGATTCATGAATTTATGAATCCTAGATGTATATGTGTAGCAACCGAGCTTGGTCTCAGAATCTCAAAAACCAAATGCTTTTCTGGTTTGCAGCAATCACCTGGCCCTTCCAATCATACTTTTTACAGCTCTTGAGTTAAGAAATATCTACTGTCGCCTGCCATTTATGCATATCTTTTTCTACATTTGCTGCTTTCTATTTCTCGCCCATACAGCAAGCACATGAAATGTGGTTGGAAGAGAACGTGTCAAATATTCGTTAGTTTTTAATTTTTATTTGCATTATACTGAACTTACATCAAACTCTTTTAAACTCTGCATAGCCGTACGTAGTTATACCAAAGACATGAAATCTAGGTGACCTTCCACCTTGTTTTAAAGGCCTTTTGAAAAACAATTTCATATTTGAAAGTCCACTGTTAAGGAAATAGTCCTCACATGCTCCGATAGGGTTTTGTTTGAAGTGACCAGTAACCAAAACCCAAGGAGAATCATACGATAAGGGCGTGATCAACCATTCGATTTTTAGAAACAGAACTCCATTTCGTTCATATATTTTAACAGGTTTATTGATAAGTGGCCAATAATGAACAATACTGTAATTGCCAACGAATGCATCAGGATTTGGTGGAAATACGTACTGAAATAAAGAATAAATGCCATCAGCATTAAGATGCAAAGAACTACGAAAACAACGATAACGCTCTAGACATCATTCAAAAATGGAAATAATTCATAACAAAAATGTCAATAAAGCAACGTCTTAACAATAAAAGACCCTCGAAAATTTGAATTTCTTATTATGTTCCTTAGTGGCCCCCGTCCCTGCAATCAATGGTGAGCCAAAACTGTTCAACCATTTTTTGAAACCGTTAACTATGTGATTTTGCTTGAAACAATTTCAAGTCATAACATTTACGACACCAAATTTCAAGGCTCCCTCACTTAACCCTTCCAAGCGAGTTTCAAACAACTGATTCGTCTCAAATAACATAATTCTTTACACAAGAGATTCAATTTTCTCTTTCTATGTTAAGATGAGCAAGTTCTACAGAAAAGGAGAGACCTCGATAACCAATCAAAAGGAAAGTTTTGCGAGGTCTCTGGTTTGAAAAGTTACGCATCCGTTGCAACTGTGTTGTTTTACTTCATGATGAAAAAAAAAATCTTGCAATTTGTCCGTGTCATGTTACCTTAAAGGCAATCTGTCTCGTTGTGGATTGGTTAAAGAGAACAATAGCTGGAACAATAGCCTAAACACTATTCCAGCGCTCCGCCATATTTTTTACAATGCGATAAATTAAAGGGGGACTGGAAACAATAAAAAATCCATTTGTTCTTATAATCAATCAAAGTCGTGACAGATTACCTTTAGCAGTTGTAACGGATGCGATCTTTATAAGCAGGTCCTTAATTACATGTTTGGAGAGTTATTGTCAAAACGAGCAACCATGACAACAACCTTGCCGATTTTTTTAAGGGTCGTAGTCCTGTAAATTTTTCCTTGATGCTACAATATCTCTTATCATACCTTGTCAATGCTATGGTATGTTTACACACCTGAACTAGCCTTTTCCTTGGTTATGATTTTAGGAGAACGAGCCGTCTGAACTTTAAATTAAGCTCGCTTGCCAAGCTGCCTTGCGAGTACCCTGGGTGCCAGAGCCTCAAGAGATTGCGAATCTCCTTCGCAATTCCTTCCCCCGTTCTTCATCCTTTGACTCTCTTGAGGTTCTGGCACCCAGGGTACCTTGCGAGTCAACTATTCAAATTTTAACGAAACGGGTCAAATCGCTTGTGGAAATCTGGCCACAGAACAGGAAAAAGGCAAAAAGGTTAGAATTTCTTAATTCCCCTTTAACCTCGATTTTATTATACGAACTTAGCCATGGCAAATAATCATTTATTAAATTCGATAGAAAACAAATTATGATACATAATTGAATTTGTTCACTATCAAGGGGCATTTGTCTCAATAAATTGTCTACTTTCATTCTTTTTTGAATTTCCCCGACAGATGCATGCTAAGCCTCGTATATATTAACGTATGCGCTAGAATTTTCAGGCTTTATCTGATAGGGAAGGGTCCCCTTCTGTCTAATTCCTATTCTGTGACCCGGCTAGCTCATGTAATTGCTTGACCCGAGGCAAGAACGGGTTGGTGCATGCGCAATGGCATGAAAACCAGGCGGTAGCGCAGTAGCTCTAAAAATGACTGAAATACAAGTAAAAGTATGGTTGAAAATGCAAATAAATTTAAATGGACAGATAGACTAGTAGACTGCATGTAAAAATACCACGTAAGATTGACAGTAGGTGACTGGAATTATATTTTTCTTACCTTGGGTAAATTTTGAATAAGAACTTTTTCTAACGGGTAGATTGCTTGTAAAGGAATCATGAGAAGTTCAGATGCCGCATGTTCTATTCCACCATGCGCAACTAGCGAAAATGCAGCTGTAAACAATTAAAATTCCAAGTAAGTCTAATTCCGTTCAAACTATTAACTCTTCAAAAAATACTCTCCGACTGCACAATAGAGTACCAAACGTATAGATCTACAATATCATGTAAAATTGGTATATATTTATAAGAAAGACATATTCGGTGGTGAACCGAGAGAATTTACAAATTGAATTACGAATCTTCATCGTAGAAGGAAAAAAGGATGGTGTTCTTGAGTTGCATAGCCGTTAGCAGACGCTTTTCTGCTTTTAAAATATTTCGAAAATGGCCGTTCACATTAACTACATTCTGCCTGCTCTCTTGTTTGGTGCTGAACCTTAGACAACATACACATATAAATTCTAAAGATTACAAAGCTTTCATACACGCTTATCTGGAATAGTACTTGATGTCAAGCGGCAAGGCTACAAATTTTGAGGTTCTTGCAAAGTCAAATAAAAAAACTATAAAACTGTCGTAAGAAATAGAAAATTATAATACCCCTCAATGCTACACTGGGCTCTTTTTGTACCAAAAAGTTCCACGGTGCTCTTTTGTTGAAAACGCAACCACCTTTATGGTGGCATCAGGGAGAGGGGTGTTATTTTTGCACCCTATTTGGGGCACAGGTGTTCCCTTTGGTTGAAAGGGCGCTTTCTGACAGTAGAAAGGGCACGACCTAAATTGTTATTAGTTCACTCTCCGGCAGCTGGTGCAGCCGTCAATTTTAGGCGAGTTTCAGAAATTAAATGACAAATCTATTGAGCACAGACCTAGTCTTTAAATTTCAAAAGATTAATGTGAAGAAGAAAAAATCTTACCAAATTTTAGTTCCGGGATCAGAGCAATGTAGCTGCCATAGCCGAGGACCGCTCCACTTTTTATGTATATAAGGTATTCTATTATATTTTTTGTGTTCTTCTGCATTGCTTTTGCAAACCCAGAATTATAGATCTCAAATGCATATCCTACGCCGTGACCAGTGTTGAAAAGGTATGCTGTCAAACGATAAAAATACCAATACATCAGTGGCTCATCGTAACTGAAAATAACGTTCAGCAGATTTTATCTTTGGTAAGCAAGGTCTCAGAGGTTACAAAAAGAAAAAAGAAAGCGGGACAGGCTGTCCCTGATGCTAGGATACAAGGAAATTTGTATTTAATTCATTTTTTATAGTAAAAGTGAGACACCTAATCTGTATTGTAAGAGACATGGTATGGTTTAAATACTCACCAGGTTTGAATAAATTTCTTGCAGTTGATCTGTGTAGAACAGTAGTATCATTCAATAATTCGAACATCAGCTTTGCTACCTACAAACAGAGTCGAAAAACGCTACAGATCCACACCGGTCAACCAAAGGAAGATTATCAAACAACGAGGAAAGCAATGCATAACATGAAGAGAATTTACTTTGGGTACCAGACCCTAATTGTATATAGAGTGAGTCTGGTACCCATGGTAAAGAGAGTCAAGAGCGTGAGAGGAATTCATCGACGTGGCCCAACCTTCCTTTAATGACAAAGCTTAAGACAAAACCATAGCTCATTTCTAAAAAAGTTACATTAAAAAGATACCAGAAATTTTGAGGAAGGCAAGCGGGGCCGAAATTGATCCACAGGAAAGTTAAAAAGTTTTCACTGCCTACAAAATGCAAATTGTAGCTCATAAAAGTTCAAAAAGTCAAAAATGTTATTCAAAATGAAACTGAAGTATAGAAGACGTGCAACTAGCCTTTCATGGAATCTTCTTCTACAAACTAATATCGAAAATACGATATAACATCTAGATTCTTGCGACTTCAAATTAAACGAAATTTGATGACTTGAAGTACCGTTAATCTTCGAATTATCCCCCTGGAGGCTTATTTATTTTTGAAATTTTCGGATGGAGGGTTATTCGAGTGGGGGCTTATACGAGGGAGGAGGGGGGCTTATAAAATCATAGGAGACATCAAAAAGATATTATTAAAGGACCTTGTATACAGGGGCGAAACTACTGGGGGTATGGGGGGTGCTGCACCCCCCCAATCTTCAAAACAGCAGATTTTGTCGGGCAAATTTATGGCTGCCAGTGTATCTGTCGGGCAAATCTGGAAATTTTCTTTAGGTCGCACTTTCATTGCTCATTTTTGCCCTAGCTTGGTTTTTGAATTTGTGGTCTTTTCCCCCATCTTTTTTTCAATCTCCTCCCGATCAGCGCTTTCGTCTCTAGCTCGACACGCATATGTTTATCTTCGCCTCGAGATGAAGTCTGAAGTATTGATCGACAGCGAAAGTATAGACGGAAAGTAAAGTGTGTTTGATGCGAGCAGGAAATGAACACTGTGCATACCCCTCACCTCTATATTTTGCAAAACAAGAGAACTTTTTCAAAATCTTTTGCTGTGATTCCATTCTGCCTCGGAGCCCATGGAACACTGACAGTTTTAGAAGCATCATGAATCAAAGCATGAAGGATATACCATCTCGGAATTTTGTTATGGATTTTGTTATGGTGAATTTAGAGATACGTACTTTGTGCTTGGGCGTCTAATAATGTTGAAATTGCTTCCGGAGCAACCGAAAATTGAAAATGAAATTTAGAAAATGCAACTTAAGCTCTTTTTTGTTGAGACAATGTAATCTGCGTAGCTGTTTCTAAATTCCATGTTTTGTTTTGGTGTTCCACTTTGATAAAATTGAGACCCTACTTCCATCCCCTTTTTTGAATTGCTCTTTTAATAGCTAGGTGATTTAGAAAGTGAAGACTATCTTATAGAAAAGACAGGCCTTACAAATGCTTGCTTTTCGGAAACAAATGTTAATAGCCAACACCAGAAGAACTATAGGCATATTACTTGACTTTAAACAAACAGCCTGAGTCTAAAGACCCTCTCTCGGCCTTCCCGATGATTTCAGCCCTCGAGGCGATGTGCTCTAAAAATTAAGTTCATGCATGACACGCCCTTTCATCAAGCATGCCACGCCCTTTCGTCGGGCATCCAAGCTTCATACCCCCCTAATGAAAATAGTGAAGTTTCGCCCCTGCTTGTATAATCTAGTAGCAATTTCTTTATGAACATTTAATTCATTATTACCAAAGGTATGAATTTTTGGTAGTAATTCAATAAAACGCCAAAAGCAACCTCAGATATAAAAAAACAACAAATCGAGAGTGGGCCGATTCGAGGATTTATGGTAGCAGTAAGGGCTTATTCAAGGGGGGTACGAGTAAAAAGTAATGGAATATACAGCAAAAATTCATACAAATATAAAACCATTTCCATCATGGCTTAGTCAAAAGTTCTTTTATAAGCATTTTCTGCTAGAGCCACGTTTTCATAGAAGATAGAAACATCAAAGCTACTTTCTCTTCAGTTAAATTCTAACAAGCTCTTCCTGTGAGTTCAATAAAATTCTGTATTCGAATTCACTTAACATGTTGGATGCCTTTTGATGTAATCAAATTAGCGAACCAAGAAGAAATGCGCTGCTATACTTTTGGCGAAAACTGGATTCTTGTCTAAGATTTTTTGAAAGCGCCTTGTCTTAATTCATAAGAAGTATATCCTTGATCCTCAAACAACTTAGAAGTTGTCTTGCAATATCTTCAAAGACTTAAATAGCATGGTAATATTTTGAACCTCTTAGGAGCTTGATAAAGGATATTACAAGCAGGGCAAACCTGATTCAAATCGTTGATTGTCGAAAATAGGCCTCCAGCAGGCTTTTGCCATCCCCATTCGACAATCTTTGCGATTGAACCATCCAAGTTGGAGCTGACTGGAAAACGGTGGGCACTTGAAAAGAAAGCTATGATTAAATTAGCAATGACATATACATTATCAAGTAGTTTAACACTTTCTTAACAAATGTTTATCAGCAAACGAATACGTTTATAGAAATTTCTCCTAGAACAAAAGCTGCACTCACTTCCCTAATAGATCAAATCCTGTGTTTTTCATGCCAAGTGGTTTGATGATATTTTCTTTTACCCAGTCGTCATAGCTCTCTTTGGCAACACGCTCGAGTGTACGACCAAGAACAGAATATCCAGCATTGCTGTGAAAAATGAATTTAGGCAAAACAATAATTTTAGCTATTTGACATTCCTGCAACAAATTCATTAAGGAACGTTTCCAAAAAAGTGATTCGAACAATTGGTTCAACATTATAAAAAGTAATGTTTTATTTTGCAGACACCCTTTAATTTACATCAATAGTTCTATAGTACAAGAAAACATTAATTAAAGATGTTTCATAAGTCAGCACTTTTCATGGGTGGAAGAAGATTAAAAATGAATGCAAAACACAATATTAGAATACGTACGAGTACTAGATGAAAACATTAGACAATACCTGTACGATGGGTTTTTGTCAGGTGGAAGAATAAGTGACATATTTGCGATCCTTTTCCACATTTCTGATGAATTGTAAGGGCAAAAATTGTCACCTTCATAAGGGTAACAAGGTGCTTCTCTTGGTAAACCAGACATCATGCAAGTAAGTTGCCTGTGACGAAACATTGCAATGAAAATCAACGATAAATGAATAAAAATCAGTGAAACATGCAAAAAAATCAACGGAAAAATACAATTGTAATCGTTTTTAAAAAATGCAATGAAAATTTATGTGGGAAAGCAATGAAAATTTATGAGAATATTCAATAAACTTTTCTGAGAAAATGCAATGAGCAAAGACAAAATCCGAGGGAATTTTTTTCACAAAATACTAAAAACTTTCAAAAAAGACGATTGAACTATATGAAAATCTCCCAAAATCTCATCTCGTTGTAGACTGTGTAGATTTATGAGGGGCACGTCTCTGTTGCTTTCGTCATAACATCTTTTTGTGCAAAATCTTCAATCTCGACGAATTAATTGAATTAAAAAGGGTAGGAATATATAAATAAAAATTTTCGCTAATCCCATTTTATAACAGCGCTTTACCTCAATGTCACTTGCTCTGTGTTAAAAGGGTTTTTTACAGAAAATTCTGGAACATGCTTTTTTACTGGATCATCAAGGCGAAGCTTTCCTTCTTCATATAGCTTGTGTAACATGAAGGACTAAGAAAGAAATTTTTTAAAAATAGGTTTCTTAAATAATGATGTCACAAAAAATCTATTTTTAGAATTTTTAAATTTAAATCTCAGAACCATGAAAGAGTATCATGAAAGAGCATCACTACCGCTAAACATGCAAAACGTTGTTTAATTTGTTATGAATCAGTTGATATGTCGCCACATGAGTTCCCAATCGAACCTCTGGACAGGCCCAAAATAACAGTAATCCGTTAGCAAACGTCAAATCTCTCATTGGGCACATCTCAGTCAATTGTTGACATATTTAGCTGCTTTTGCATATTTAGATGTAATTCTTGATGTTTTTCTGGGTTATGTGGTCAACATTCTAAAAATATATTTTTATGACGTCACCCTTAAAATAGATGCTTAACATAGAAACGACATACAGTAAATCAATTTTACGCGAAGCTTGTTTAGTTGTAGGTTTAAATCACTTGATTTATTGCATTAACCACATTATAAATTAATTTAAAGCAATAAATTGAAATTATAGATCAAGGCTTTTAAATGACTGAATTGTGGCATAAAAGCGTCCTCCGAAAGGTGTAATTTGCTTTTGGCGTGACTACACTAGCTTCGTGTTATCTAGGCCGTCATATTATACAAATGTATAATAGAACCTTCAGTACAAGTTTCCTAATTCAGTACATAGTAGCTTCATGTGATCAATCTCAGATCCTACGTAAACTCATTTTTTATAAGAAATAAAATTCGATGTTGAATACTCCAGTTTCTTAATGTTCTGGAAATTTAAATACACATTGTTTCTTAAGAGTTTCTTAATCACGATGTCATGAATGATATTATGAAATGTTCGTGACCTTTTTTATATAACGTCAAGAAATTCGCTTCCGTTCTGATGCTGCAAAATTTCGTTCTTCTCAGTTTTATTACGATTAAACAGTTTCTAAATTTTTTTTGCTTCGAGTACTGAAGTTTCTTGATTTTTTCTGAGTGTCTAGTACTCGTTACTTATAGCCAGTTTCTTATAAGAAATGAGTGTAGTATCACATCATTATTTAGGGAATTTGGTGATACCCACTCCTTTTATCATGACCTACACTCTTTTTTTATAAGAACAATTTTACAAGAACACGAGCCTCAAAATTGGTCAAAAGTGAAGAACAAATTAAAAACAAGCTGAGGCTGAGCTTCTGCAAAATGCAATTTTGAACAACGTTTTTTCTCAAAATCGAGGATTTTTAGCGATGTGTGGGTGCTTTTTTGGTGAATATTCAAATTTTTCAGCAAATTAAGGCTGTCTCACTCACTTTGTTGGCAAATGAGGCCTGTACACCACCCTAGAGTGAACAAGCTAGTACTCGCACTGCTTACACCCGGTTAGATTAAGAACAACTTAAAAACAATCCAGCCTCAGATTTTCGAAAAAATTAAGAACAGTCAGCCTGAACTTAAATTTACTGGTTCTTATAAAAAAAAGTGTAATGGCTAAAAATCTAATGCTGTGCTGTAGTTTGTCCCCAAGGTCGTTTTTATCATATCAATTACAATCGGCTTTGGGCATTTAGCACCAGTTTGAACCAAGATGTAGTTAGTTAACATAAAAAATTTAAATGCAAAGGCATAAATGTATTTCAAACGCGAGACGTACCGTGAACAGTTTCGTGATGCTAGCAATTGGATATGGCGTGTCATTGTTTGGTGAAGGCGAGTCGGAATCTGTAAAGTTGAGTTTTCCAACATGTTTAGACCACCAAATATTTCCACGATAGGAAAAAGCTACAGATGCTGCCTGGAAAAAAGAAAAGCTGAAGACCAAACAAATTGAAGACTGGGCTATACTTGATGGGTTATACTTGAAACTTAAAACTTCTTTTTAAAAAGTTGTTTCAAATAATTACCTTGAATTGATGCATTTTGTAAAGATTTTCCACTTGCAAGTCAAGGATTTTGGTCAAATTTTGTATTTCTGGTGGAATGGTTAGCAAAGGATGGGCATCAAAAACAGGGACACATCCAGGAACATCAGGCCTTATCATTGGTGTAATTGCTCCAGGCTACAAAATGCAAAAATACACATTAACAATTTCATGCCAACACACCGTCTACCAGACCGCAGCGCAAACACCTTTGTCTAAAGACAATTCACTAAAATAGCAAAATTTGAAATAAATGCTGATAACTTAGCTGCAGGATTCTCCATTTTTTCAATTAAAAGCATGGATTCAAAACCATGAGATGTTCACAGTTTATTCTTGATTCGATGCACAAATATAATCATTTATTCGATGCACAAATCGTAATATATTTATAAAATAAAAGCTGACAGATTCTTCTCAACGTCAAAAACAAGCAAAGAGCCTATAAATAATCACATCCAAAATTCCTTCTTTCATAAAAGGTTTCGTTATCCTTCTTTGATAAAAGACAGAGTCGTCATACGCATTGACTGACAGTATGAAAAATTAAAATGCATTTTTATTGTTACCTGTTCAGTGGAGACAGTTTTCACCGCTCTTTTTGTCGTTGCTATAGTCCTCGTTGCCGTCGTTGTTGTTGCTAGCTAAATGGAGAGAACTTGAGCATCAATCAAAAAGCCTCTACATGAATAATTTAACTGAAGCAGTAGCGGAGCAGGGGAGGATTTTAAAAAAGGGGCTAAGCCCCCCCCTCCTCCCCTCCATGCACCCCTATCAGAATCAAACAAAACAGAACGTAGGTCATCCGTAACGTTCGTCGGGAATCAGCGGTAAAGATTTCAGCAATCTAGAAGTTATCATCCAAAGAGTAAACTTGCGATGAATTATCTCCTAGAAACAGCTGTAGCAAAGCAAATAATTACCTTCTGCTGGGCTTCAAGCATGGCATACTCTGAGTCTTCTGCTAACTTTATTCTCCTTTCTCTCTCTGCTATGTAAAGGGCTGTCATCGTAAACATCATTGCCACGACAAGTGCGATTACAAGCGTCATCAAAGATTTTCGTATATTTCTGTTTATTTTGCACTTGTCCATTTTCTTCTGATCATTAGGATCAATGATCAATTGAAAAACACTCTCCCTCGCAAAACCTCGTTTCGAAATGTCCATCTCTGCTTGACAATTGCTCCCTTTCCTGTTTTCTGCGTCGATTTCCTTTTGGTCTTCAGCTTGTACTTTTGCAGTTTCAGAGGTAAAATTTTCCATGACAGTCATCTTACCTTAGAAGTAAATAACTTTCAATTGAAAGAACCTTTTAATAGTATTTCAATCTTATATTTGCATGCAGAATAATTATAATCATCATAATAACACAAGTTTACGTTATTCTTTGAATAATAAGACTTGCACTGGTAGACAAATTTAAATAAAAATTTTCCAGTCCAGCCTTTTCTTTATAGAGATATTTTTTTCTTTAAACCGTTTAACTTGAGAAAACACAATACAATACAACAAAAGCAGCAACAACTGCACATCCGATAGATAAAAGTGGATCAGATATATAGCAATAGAGGGTGAGCCCTGTTGAGTCAATTTGTAGGCAGCATAATAAGGAATATTTGTTTGCGGCCATCCATATCCAAATCGAAAGAGCAACAGGAAATGACAAACTTATCAACTTTGGAAGCATTGAAGGTGTGTCAAACTTGATTAAGTTCACGTCTAAAAAGAGCCCTCTCAGTGCCGTAGACACTATTCCGGAATTGAAACTGAAAACTATATTACCTTTATTTTGATGCAAATTCACTTCCGAGACAATTCTCCCATTTGAAGACTTGTATTTGCACAGTAACTAAGCGTATATAAGCAAAAGCTTACGGCTGCGTAGTTTTTATTCAGTGACACATGACACCGGGAGTGACAGCTGGCTTTTCTCGATGACAGGGTATACTGATGACAAACCAATACACAAAATACTATGAAGAATGCACACTGCAAAACCAACTTCAAGTGCTTCTAAACTTAATATTTAGATTAGGATAAGAGGATTCGACCTCTTGTCAACACTAAGAGAAAGCAGATAAAAGGTGCATTCTTTTGAGTGACTTGCTAAGGTTCAGGTTACTTTAACCATGATAGAGGCGACTCCAAACTCATGGCATCTAATTCGTACCATGGCAACAGGTCTGCAGGGCGTCATAACAGACCGGGGATACGGAGGTACATAAAGAAATCAAAGCCAACAAATTTAAACTCTGGCAATCACATGGAAAAGGAAAGCTGTAGTAAGTTGTTTGCAACAAAATAGGTATCTCGTTTGTAGGTACCACTCATAGAGCTGGTCGCACTAGCCAAGGCCGTCGCGAGGCAAGCCTCGTTGGGGGGGGGGGCGTGGGTAGACTACAAATTTACCTGATTAAAATATTATTGGCTGAAATTTTTTAGCTGCTGTCACAAACCCCTGCAATACATTATAGTCTTGTCAAATCTCTATATCTGGACGGGCAAAGGGTATAGTTACTACCTGAGGCCGCACCATGGTTGCAGCCGAAAGAGGAGGAAATTTTCGAATTTTGATGCTTCTACTTCCCTGGAAAATGCACTCTTTTAAGCAAATTTCACTAAAGCAATCCTATTCCTATTGAAAATTATTGTTTTTTTGCAAAAAGTTTTTTCACAGCAGATAAAAACAACAATTTCGCCGTGGTCTTGAAAAATACCAGGTTGTCAGTTACTTCTACATTTAGATCCCTCTCCCCATCTTAGCACGCCTTTCTAATGTTAAGAAACATCTGGAGCTCATAGTGAATTGCAGTTGACGCTTCTACTGAGAAACTTTAGGAGAAATGGACACAAGACACAATTTTACCTAAAAAGGGTCTGGAGTTTTTATTTATTGCTAACAAGCAATCTTCAAATCTTCAAATCATTAGTTTGTTTACCTTCATTCATATCAAAGAAAATCATATTTAACCAACGGAGAAACTGCCTTTGCTCGATCCTTTATTGATTTTATGACATGAAGGTCTCTGAAATACCTAAAGCGTTTCTTCCACCAAGCAGATTTTACCTGAAATTTCCTATTGAGATACTATTGGGTGACACCCCCCCCCCCACACCCCCGGTCGCGACGCCCCTGGCACTAGCTTCTAAGGATGGAGGCAAAGTTTATGGTACGCAAGATGCATTTCGAAAACACGATATGGATCATTCATTCAAATAAGATACATTAAAAGGTGAAAAGGAGATTACTGACGTTTTAGAAGTAGTTTCCATTAGCTTCTATTAGTTTTACATACAGCCAGAACATTGCAAGCATTTTTGAGGTAAACTTAATAATTTTTGTAAATATTCGTTGGCCAACAATAAAAAAGGCAAGAAAATATTTAAACTAGATCTAGCAATTAAAAGCTGACCCAAGCCTGGAAATAACTGACACTCCATTGTTTGCATCTGAAGATTTTTGCCAGGCAGCCAATCACATTGGTGGAAATTGACGAAATCTTGTAGCAATGCGTTTTTCAAAATTTTGTTTCAAATTTTTGTCTCTATCTTTTAACTAGGGCCATTAAAAATCAAAATAACTGAAAATCAAGTATTGAAAACTGATTTAAAGACTGAAAAACTTAAGGAACTTCCAGTGAATGGGTTCCTTTTTGTTTCTTTTGTACGATCAAACTCGTTTTTACTGTACTCTCGTTCTCAATGACCGCAATACCCTACGAGGGGGTATTTGTATTCTTCTAAAGCCACTCAGTCTTCTTCGCAATAGGCCGTTCTTGTAACGTCGTCCCATTCCTGAATTAATGTGTTTACCATTAAATGAGTTTGGATTTTTTCTTTATTTTCAATGAATGACGGTCCTTCTGGTGGGAATACAAAACGATAAAGGGACATGTCTCATCATACATGAAATTACGTCATAGAATGAATAAGTGGGAACGCGAATGCAAACTGTTTAATGAACTCTTTGCCAGGTTAGAATGATCAATTCGACATGAAATGATAATTTGATTTACACTTAAATGATACAGGGCAAAAAATGACCCATAATTAGTGATAACAAGGAGCTCACCAGAATAGAACGTGCAATCAGCGAAGCTGCCACAGCCTCCATTCTTAATATCCTTCCAATCGCGAAGACTAAAACTCAAGATCTAGCAGGGCGAAAAACACCGTATTTGCGACACCAGAGGCAAGATAACAACGAATACCATGCATGGAATTGGAATGTAGGTGATATGTGTGAAACAGAAGCTGAGCAAGCGAAGATAGAATAATGTATTCACGGCAAAGTAACAAGACCTAGGAGCGTTAGGGCTGTTTAACTAATAATTCCTTTAAATTATTGATCGTGTTTCTGTAATCCGTCTTTGGTTGCATTTTTCTCATTAGGAGTTGCGTATAGTTAATCTTTAGTTTTCAAGGTTTACGATCACCTTATTTTGCACTTCCATTCGTATTGCGGTATATTCAAATGTATCTTCAAGGGAGCTCTACATGGGCGTTTCTTCGTGCCCACTAAGCTTGTGATTAATTCCAAGAACTTGTGGAAATCGTTTCAAAAATGATTTTCGCTAATGGCTCCCAATATGTTTTGCGATATCTGAGTTGACTGTCAATGAATCGAGAGTTGTTGCCTGTGATTCTTAAATTTCTCTGCTTTGCGGCTCTGAACCTTGCCAAACAGACTTCAAAACAAGTACCGAGCTAATCTTGTTACTACCAGTCAATAATGTAAGCTCCACAAACTTCGCATAAAACAAAATTAACATTCACAGAAACTAACGTATGGATGGGTATACTTACAAAACCGTTGGGAAGCGAAAACAACTGATAAAAACCAAGCGAGATATACGGCTGTCAGTAACTGAGCAAATTATGTTTGATCTGTTGCGTATGGCTGGAAAGACACCAAGCCGAAGAAATCCCCTTCAAAGTTCGTAATATAATATATAGCAAACACCGATAGATTAACGGTAATTGTTTGCTTACAAAAACCAAACTTTGCGCCTTCACAATCACTGAAATACCACTCATCACTAACAAGGGGGCTCTTGAACAAAATGTTGCGCAAAAACAATAATAAATGTAGAAATTTGCCCATTTTCGGCATCAAGAAGGAGGGCTCAGCCCCCTAGCTCTACACCCCTGCTGATCAGTCTTGCAAAAAGATTTCTCTGGAACCCATAGCTCACCGGCTGCAATTTACCGCTCCTTGTTCGTTAAAGCATACATTTTGCTACCCTGGGTACCAGACTCACTATATATAAAATAAAATAGAGTTATTTATTATTTTATATAGTGAGTCTGGTACCCAGGGTAGCATTTTGCGAGATACTAGTTAACAGTCTATCAATTTCTTCGACACTGTAAATATAAACGTGTAAATCTATTTTCCTCCCACCTAAACTTAACGCTATTAAATAGGAAATAAGATTGCATTTCAATTACGCAACAAAATTGTGGCTAAACAGATGGCCTGACATCTCCAATTGGTTGTATTATGCGTAAAAACTTCAAAACTGCGGTAAAAGAGGCTAATGATTGGATACGATGCAAACAGAATTGTCCGACCTAACACAACTGGCTCTCAGGTGAATGAAGTTGCTAGATTGCAAGGGGTTAAGCTTGTGATGCGCATGGTTCATTTATGTAGCATGGTTTTAACTAGCACGACTAAAACCATGGTCGATTAGCAAAGACGTGTTAAACGAGTATAATAACGAAAATGCATAAAATGACTAGAGTCTAGCAAGATATAGGGTAATGATTACTCACCAATACTGTGGGGCATTCTTAGCAAAGGGTGATTGCTGTCTGTGATCTGGTCTGGCGGGTAGCATGTCTCCATTACCTCGTCCATATCGAGAAAAATGCTTTTGCTCTGAAAGAAGACTCGCTGCGGTGACTGAATCAAAACGCACGGCGTTTCTCGCGCAAAGAGTCACTCCATCTTTGCTAAAAAACTTTTAGAATGCAGCACAAACACACAATGTTAAAGGAGATTTAAGCTCGATTAAAAATCGTTAAAACACTACAAACTAGCGATGGCTAAGATTAGCCGTCTTATTGAGAAAACGAAATGCAACAATTCAAATAGAAAACAAATTAATTTGATGAATAAGCTGACAAACACCCATCTCAGATGACGATAAGCGACTTAGGTTTGGTTGACTGCAAAGCAAAGGTTCTTGCAGCAATCCTAGAGGCGCATGTTAATAGAAATTATGATCTGAAAGCAGCAATTAAGCAGTAATCAAAGGATCTTTCAAAATAACATATGTAAATATTTGAGCTCAATCGCGAGAAACCACCGAGCCATTTGGATTAAAATTCTAGATCTAATTTCCATTTTCTGCCTTTTACTAAACATTGGCAAACAGAAAGGCCAATTCATACGAGAAATGTCGCGTATTTCGTGTTTTTAAAAAGCGCGGCATCGCCAATCTTACAAAAAACGTCTTGCAGTATTTTATTAAGAAAAAAGTTCGCGATCAATATTCAAACATACTACTCTATACTATTCCCGAGCTTCATAAGCGGCTAGTATATTTTAAAGCAAGACTAAAACTGAATAGAACAAAGCAGTATAAAGAAGATGACATTAATTCTGGGCTTGGGAAAAGAGGCAGGGTGGATTGGTGCAGCCTTCTCCTGGGAAATAGGAAAAAATTTATGCTTTTCCTCAGGACCTCTCCTCGTAGCCAAAATATAAATTAAATATCGATGGCAATGCAAATTACAGAAAAATCGACAAATTGATTATAGTAACGACTGAACGCCAGCAGATCTCATAGCCATGTGCAAATCAAATCTCCTTTATCAAAGGTTGATGGGTCAATCCCTGTTGAGTTACAAAGCATTTCCTTTAATGAGCAATTTCGCATTGTAGATTAATATTTTAATACGATTTTATCAGGGTAGAATTCCATTACATTTTCAAAATATAGGCTTAAAACTTTCAACTTTATCAAAGCACAGAAAGACTCTCCAATTTCACTTTAGTGCTTAAATTAGTTTGAAAAATGCAGAATGTTTCGTGTTTCTGATTAGTCTACGCACTGAGAATCAATGCAAATGAATGTTGTCTTATCAATGCAGACAGTCATACAATATTATTGTTAAAAATGTCCAAAATCGACCAGAAACAAGCTGAAAAGCTAAAAATTCATTCACGGTCTGGTCAAGATTTAATACTCTGATTAACGAAAACGTCTGGTCAAGCTGCAAAATGCTAGTGGTAAAAGCATTTGGGGGGGGGGGTGTAGGTAACTTCTAGAAGCTCCAACCTCGACCACACCCAATATACTTGCAAAGACTAATAAGGAATTACTCATTAACGGAAAATCTTAGGTTACCTTAAGGGTTACCATCACGGAATTCGTTCAACTAAACATGTGTTCGCTTTTAAAGGGGAGGGGGGGGGGGTTACGACTCAGTTCAATATCTGACAATAACTGATTCTTTATCATAGGCCTTGTTCCCTTGTACAAAAGCGAGTAAAGTGCATATCCGAAGAATAAAATATATAAAATTCACCACATGCTCAATGGCCAAAACGTGTCCAAAACTATGCAAACAGAAGTTTAGATAACAACTTCCTTATCTTGAGTTCGTTTTGAGGTAGGCTGATCGGTCAAAAGTATTAAAACGGCTTTCAAAGATGTTGACATTTTCGTCAAAATGTTATCTTTTTGGCCAGTTAAAAACTTTCTGGAATTATAATAACAAACATTGATAAATCAGGATAAAAATCGAGATATCTTTTTGTGCCGGTGATTGTCTTGATCTTGATCTATACAGATTAAGAAATACAAAACACGAGGTTAAAATTAAAATGATGACGAAAGTACCTGTGTTCACTGATATCAGCCTAAAAATTTACCAGTCAAATTCGTCAACCGGATCCTGTTCAATTTCTTCGATTTCATCTTCTAGCAAATCGGATACTTCTGACTTTGAAACTTTACTTTCAAGTTTGATATCGTCAGTCAAATTCAACTGTTCTGGCTCGCCGTTATCAAGATTTTCCTCTTGTTTTTTTCTCGACAACATTTCCATGTAATGCTTCATTAGTGGGTCTATTTGGTTTTCATCATCACCTTCCTCTACGTCATCGTTCTCTAAGACTTTTTCTTGCGTAGAATCCATTTTTTCCACATGAATAGAATTTTCTTCCTCATCAATCCTAGTTTCTTTTTCATTGCTAGTTTCATAAGATGAACCTGCCAAGGTTTCTCTCCTGTTTTCTTTATTATTAATAAAGGTGTCAGAAACATCGTCACCATCAACATTATCTGCAGTGGCCGCTTTGCGTGCGGTTTCTTTTGCAGAAGACAGGCTGCTCAGATTTTCCATTTCCATGTTTTCCTTTCTGTATAAATCTTCTATTAAATCGTGACTTGTAACATTGGCTTCACTATTTTCGCTCTTATCTTGACGTAATCCTTCACTTTTATGACTTCTTAAACTACTAGAACAAGAGCTTTTAATTGCAAAGTCTCTATTGTCCTCTTGATGTTCCTCTGAAACAACATCATTATGCAACAAAAAGCGAGGAATCTCAGCATTTACTACCTCACGGGTACCAAGGCAGCTAAAAGCTTCTGCCCCAGACGCGATTTTTGTCTCAGCTAAACCTTCATCTCTTTGAATAACTGCAGACTCAAGTAACTGTTCTGTTAAATGATCACCGTTCCAGGTATCCTGTAACTTTTCACCCTTTGTGTTCCTTTTAACATCTTTTGTATCCAGGCTGAGGAATTTCCCTTCTGCCTCGCTGCTTTTTGTGTGGAAAAGAGCATCATTATGAGCTGCGGTTAATGCACTTGAAGAGGTTCTAATGTCATATTGCTCTGTGACTGTGGCAGCATTCCCTCCTTGTTGGTGCTTAGTAGGCTTAAATTTTGCACTTTCTGAAGGCTGCACTTCATTGTGTTTAACAACTGAATAATACTCCTGCAGCGGTTTATAATCATTTGTATGTGGTACTCCGTATGAAGAAGGATTTCTCATACTTTCCTTTCTTTGATAATTCCTGTATGTGTCCTCCAGTGCACTGGCTTCACTTTCCAGCTTGGCAATGATATCCCTGTTACCCTGAGTGACCAAAGGCCTTGACATCAAGGATGATGTAGTGCAAAGGTCTATTTCATCTGCATGTTCTGGTGTGACAAATTCAAAACTTTTTCTATACCTATCTGTCACATTGGTATTAAAAATAGGTTTCTCTGACTCACCAAGCTTTTCAGTCTCTTTAATCTTACTTGCATGCCAATCATGAGAAACAGCATTAATCTTATTGGCAGCTCTTAGTTCTTCTATATCCCTTCTTAAAGCTTTATTTTCTAGCAAATATGCCTCATTCATATGTGTAAGCTCATTATTTCTAGAAATCTCTGATCTTAGTCGCTGCTCGATCCTTGAAATTTTCTCTTTCAAATCAGCTTCCTTTTCAATAAATCCATTTCTGTCAATTTCAATTTGCCTTTGAATTTGAACAGTTTGTGGATTTCCCTTGAGCATACTTTCCATTAGCTCTTTGACCTGTTTCCTATTTTGCTCTACAATTGACTGTTTTTCTTTCATGACTTCATTTACTCTGGTCTTTAAACAATCTATTTCCTTTTTTCTTGCCACTGATAGCTCTTTAATTTGCAAATAGTCAGAAAATTCTTGCAATTTTTCTTTCAAACCCTCAGATTTATAAGTAAGAATGCTTATTTTTTTCAATGCTGCATTCAAAGAAGCTTGCAGTTGGATTTTTTCATGGTTCAAGTTTGTCAAAGAGGCTTTGGAATTCAGGACAGATTCCTTTTCACACTCAAACAGTACTTTCTCTTCCTGCAGCTTGACCTCTTGTGATCTAAGTAAACTTTCAAACTTCTGTTTTTCTTCCTGACTCTCAATTTTTATTCTCAGAATCTCTTCTTTCAATTTGTTTTTATGTTGCTCTTCTAATGACTGCAAAGACAACTCTTTCGCTCTTAATTGCTCTTCAAGTGTTTTCAACTTAGCTTCTTCTACTTTGATTGTCTGCATTGCAATATCACAAGCCCTTTTATTTTCATATTCCCTCTCTTTCAGCTTTTCAATCTCTTTTAACATATCTTGCCTTCTTTCATAAAGTTCTTGTTCGATTTGTTTTTGCTTTTTAACAAGCATATCATTTACTTCTATTTCTCTTTGCTTAACACTATCTATCAATTCTTTGTAACTCTTTTCAATTTCATTCTTAAATCTATCAACATCAGTTTTATTCCTTTCTCTTTCCTGGAGTTTTATTTCTCTCACAAATGTGTCTTTGAGTCTTTCCTTTTCTAGTTTAAGCTCTTTTTTCTTTTGATCCTCCAGTTTTTTCTGTAATTGGAAAAGTCGTTCTTCAAGTGATAATGATCTATGGAAAAACTCATTTTTGTAAGAAACATCAAGTTCCTCACTGATTTTTGACAAGTTCTTTCCTATGTATGTTTCTTTAACTGTTTCACAATCATCTGTTTGGCAAGCAACTGACAAATATATACTGTTGTCTCCACATGCATTAGAAATAAAATTCCACAAGAAGCTTTTTGTATCATTTTGACTCAATAACAGGAACAAGTCATCATATTTCTTTGTGCTTGGATTTATTCTCATTATCTTCAATATTTCAGATGGTATAATATCAAGTTCTGACGCTGAACTTTCACTTTTAAATATTGATAGAGTGTAATCATATTTTGCCTGTTTCAGATGCTCAGCAACAAGAATATCTGACAGTTTAGCAAACAAGGACTCTGGTTTTGATTTTTGGGCCTTCTGAATTTTTGCACTTTCATTTATAACTGAGGCTAAATTAGCTCTCAATTGAGTCTTGGCACTCTCAAGAACACCTTTTGATCTGAAAGATGCAAACAGTTTCTCACGCATCTGGGCTGATGACAAACCAGCCCCACAAACATCAGTAATTGCCTTCTCCTTTTTATAAAATCTTTTGCTTTTTGAAGTTGTTGGATCGGTATAACTACTTGTTGATGTCTTGCTTTTTATTGTGCTGTTTCTTGATGTTTTTGAGGTGTCTGCTTTACTAGAATGACTTTTAAAAGAATAATGCAAAGTTGCCTTCAGCCGATCTATCTGTTGAACTTCAGATTGTGATACTCCCACTGACGAATTGCCTTCGCCGCTGGCTATACTTTCCATTGATTTTTCTGCTTGCCTCCGCAAAGAAGTTGTGCTATTACTGATGGTGCTCTCTGTGGCGTCTGACATATCTCTTGTTTTCTCTTACAACTAATTCATCAAATCCACTACAGATTATTTACCATATCAACGAGTTCTTTCTACGATAAAGTTTTTATTTTCAAAATAAAGGATAACTGCCATGAACCTCTTTTCCGTATAGAGGCTAAATAGTAAGGGTGACAAAATGGCGTCCACAACTTTTTCAAGGGAAGAGCGGTCATTTGTTGCAGGAGGGGTTCAAGTAGATCTAAGAATAGATGGAAGGTCCTGCACTGATTACAGAAATTTCAATGTCAAATATGGAATCGTTACTAGTGCAAATGGAAGCGCAGAAGTGAAATTAGTAAGTATATATTGGGTGTCTCTAGTGGCGACCTGCCGTGTAATTAATAAATCTGCAAACCATCTTCTGCTCCTGGGCCTGGCTATGCTCGAAAAATGCGCATTGCACTAGTATCTGCAAAATATTAAGTTTGATAAGATATCGTTATTAGTGTTTTATTTGAGGAGAGGTAAGGTTTTGTCAGTACATATAATAGGGCTACCATTTTCGTTGGCAATCTGATTTTGGCTACGTAGGAAATACAACCAAAAGATTAGAAAGAAGTCAGATTAGACAGCCACGAGGTTCACAGATAAAAGATAAAAACACAGGCAGCTGAAACTGGAAGATTTTTAACTTGTTTAAATAATAGAACCTCCATCTTCACAGATGACCATTTTTCATTTTAAGGCGATTTAAGACAGGTAATCAGCTGTTGCCCAGGGTAGAGTGTGTTTTTTCTATACTGTAGATAGGTCAGCAAATACAAGGTTTTCTACCAAGTCCCTCCAGCTTTTCAAAAGTAAAAACCTTGTACCAGATGTGTCATAGGTCTAAAAGTATAAAATCATTACGCAAATTAGGGATGTACCAGGTCAGGATTTTCAAAATCAAGCCAGAACCGGATTTACAGGATTTCTTCGTGGAATATGCGGCCGGATTTTTGCCGATAATCTGGCCATTACTGGATTTTTCAGTAATAAAAAGTTTCATGAGCCACTTTGCAGAAATATGTATAGTGAGAAGATCAAAGAGACCCATTCAGGGTTGCCAGATTGAATTTAGAAGAAGGCTAGACAGGTGAATGACTCAGGCCAAAATGCTCAAAAACATGCCAAATCAAAACCTTTCTCAAAATCCATCAAGCAGGTGCTGTTTATATTTCTACGCTTGTGCCTTTTAAATAATTTCTCAACCCAAATAAGAAGCTTCGTTTTCCCCCAAAAGCCCTTTGCTAATAGTTAGGTTAGGTAATAAAATACAAAATTTGGTCAACATTTTCTAGTTAACTACAAATTAGTCCATGAATGTAGTAATGGAATTAAATTTAGAATTTATACTGAAAAGGCCAAAAAGGTCAAATTTAAGTGGTAAGCCAAAAACAAATTTTCCAGGCAATCTAAATCTTAAAGCCATAATTGGGAGATTTGGCCTAAAAAGGCAGATCTGGCAACCCTGGGCCAAATTGATAAATTATACTGAAGTATTCAGTCTTCCTGTTTTGTGATGACAAGCACTTTCAAATCTGTTTTCAAGGTTCTTGTTTTATCATTGATCTTGTTTAGCTCTGGAAAATCAATTTTTAATCACTGTATGAAGAGAATCTGACTTTGTTTTCTAAAGTCTCTTGCAGCTGCACTGTTTAAACAGCCTTTCTCTGTGATATTCTTTAAAATCTTCTGCTTTAAACTTAGAGGAGAATGACATTCTCAACATACCATGCAAACCATGCACGGAAAGTCCTTTCCTTTGGTGGTAGCAGCACAAAACTGCCTTCCTCCAAATTGCCAGGCTAGCCCTACAATTTTTATTCACACCAGTATCTACTGTTGATTCAGAGCGACTTTTGTCAAAGGCTGGAAGCATTTTCCAAGAGAAGCGATCAAGACTTCTTCCCAACGAACGGTGTGAATTTGTTTTTCTTGCATCATAACCTGGGACGACTGTAGCTTTTTTATGTTTGACTATATTTGTGTTTTACTGCTGTTTGGGATGCTTTTAACTTTTAAATTTACATTCAACTATGTTCTATTGCTTTTAATTGTTGTTGTTCTTCGTTTGTACTCGTTTATAACTTTTATTCTCTATAAATTTTCTTAGCTACGATTAAAATTCTGGAAAATCTGGCAACTGGCCTGATTTCAGAAACGAATTCAGCCGGAACCAAATTTTCAAAAAATCAGCGATCCAGTGCTGGATTATCTGGCCTACCGGATATCCAGTACACCACTAACACCAATTTACAGTGGTGGCTTGTGTATTTGGGCTAGTAGGGCTCAGCCCCACCAAAGATTTCCAAGAATAAGTTTAGATTTATCTTCATCAATAATATTAATAAATGTCTATTGAAATACTAGCACTGTTCAGTAATTTTGTGGCTTTGAGCTTCACTATTTACAAGTTCGTTTAGTTTCTTTGTTAAAAAGTATCCCACTGCCCATGTTTCTTTTGAAAATGAGACAAAAATCTTATCAGAAACAAAAGTCAGCAACTTTTGGAGCTAGCCCTAGATTAGAAAAGACCGCACCTCTGATGGGTCAATATTGCACAAATCTGCATTCCTTTGGGGCTAGTTGAAACTAACTGCAAGTAAGTTGGTATCTTTAAACAAACATGAAAGTCTTTAGTCAGAAAAATATTTTGCTTTTAGGGAAAAACACATGTGATAGTGGGTATCAAGGCAGAGCTTGGAGAACCAGAAGGAGCAACCCCAAACATCGGAATTGCAAATTTTTTTGTAGACTGGTGACTATTTTTGCAATAATATTTTATTTGTTTATTTGTTTGAAATTAAGGAGTTCAGCTATGAAAAGGAATTGGTGATTTCATTCTGAAGCTAATATTTCAATACCCTCCTGTCCCCTCATCTTACACTAATCCCAGGGCTTACATTATTGGCGATGGCCCTAAACATTATATAATTTCTGGCTTTAGTTCAAGTTCACTAGCCTTTTCTTAAGAAACAGCCCACATGGGTGACCCAGCACTCATGCTACTTCACTTGCACAAGTGATCATTCCAGGTAAAGATAACCAATGCAGACCTTTTCGTTTGACTTGAGCGATCATTCACGATTGCATCATCACTCGTGCAAACCTAACCAGGTGAGTGTTTGATGGCTCGTGCAAGTAGTGAATTGTAAGAAATATATGTTTCATCATTTTCCAGTTGTCTTTTGTGACCCAAGCAAGTGAAGCAGACTGTATAGAGCCGAGTATAACAAAATCAGGAAACATAAGTAAACATAATTAACCAAATCTCATCGGAAAAATGCAATTAAATATTGAATCCACCCCAAATGATTCGGAATACTATAGGCACTTATTTTTTAGGTGCTCATACTGTATCTAAACCGAATAAGCCCTTGGAACATTGTCTGGATTTTGCAGTCATCTGGCAGTAACATTCTTAATAAAATTTCTGATGTACATAAAATTTATGAACGAAACACATTTATATTGGGTAGTGCATCGAAGATCATCGTAAAAGTTCCATTTTCATTTCTTGTTGCCTTACACCAAAGTACTTTATAACAGGATTATACGGTTTTAGCCGCTTTGCTAAAAACCTCTATTGTTTATAAAACCATAGTATAATCCTGTTATAAGGTACTTTGGTACTTTGGTACTTTCAATCCATTTTCTGGCACTACAATATCATTGATAGAATTATCCCACCAAGTGCTTGTTCTACCATAGCATTTCCGAAATTTACATAGACACTTTTTTCCTAGATGCTGTAGTATATACATTAGAGCCCAGGCTCTTTATTAATTGATCATGCTCATTTGCAGTAGTTTAAATTTAGAGGTTTTTGTTGTGTTTATTTAAAAAAGAAGTGCATTCTCTGCATCCTCTTTACGTGGGTACAACAGATACTTTTTTAAAAATTCTTCTGATCCTTGAAGAACTTCAATCAACAACAGATATTAATAAATATGCTATTGAGCGAATTGACCTCTGTTAATTGCAAAACTTATCCTGATAGCCCATTTCCACAATGCTTGATAACTATGGGATCGTCTAGCTGGAGGGATTTAAAGTTTTATGGATAACCGAATCAATTTTGATATGGATAGCCCAGTGGTTGTGTAAACGAGATGCCTATTCTGTGTAACTTTTTATCCAGATAAAAAGTTATCTGGCATCGCGTAAGCACAGCAGTTTCAATAGAAAAATTCAAAATTTTATATTCTTTCACATTCCTAAACACTTTTTTCCATGGAAAATTTATGTTTCTACCTTTTTCAGCTCTGCCAATGCATCACCAGCATTTGAAGGCAGAGGAGGAAGTGACCTTGCACTAGAACTCAGAAATGGCTTATCACAGATTATGAACACTAGAACATTTGATTATAAGTCATTGTGTATTGTCCCTGGGAAATATTGCTGGATTCTGTACATTGACTCAATAGTAAGTACAAAGCATTCCATATGCTTGCAAGTTTTTGAACTATCTCATTACATCTTCGTTGGTATTTTATATTTTGTAAAACAAGGTTCTGCCTTGAACTTTTTCATCTCAATTGTGCATTATGTATCACACCCTTCCGGCCTTTTAGAAGAAACCTTCTTCTTATGAAAATTTTTTATACACTTATTGTTTTCCCTTATCTTAATTGTATACCCATGTGGTTTTCAAAACAGGTCTATCAACATGTACAGTAAGTTTTTTCTGATGGATTTGTACAGTTAGAAATGTATTCTAGGATAATAGAGATTTTTTATATAGTTTAGTCCTATGCCTTTTCTTGTTTAGAATTAGATAAAAAATGATGTTGCCTATGCTTTGACATTAAAACTCAAAGAAAGTTTACCATTATTTTCCAGACTGATGCTCCTGAAACTTTAGACTTCACTTTTTGTTTCTTTATTGGTTTATGATAATTGATGTCTGTTTTAGGTTCTTGAATGTGATGGCAATCTTTTCGATGCTCTTTCATTAGCTGTAAAAGCTGCATTGAATGACACTTTGTAAGTTTTTTTCTATCATTTCTTTTATTCCAGTAACATTTATCGTCATCAAATGTATAAATGAATGTTAATAGAGGTGTTTGCCTCTATGCCTAAACACAAAATTATAATTGAGTTGAAAGAATCACAAAATTATAACTGAGTTTGAAGAATACTTAATAAGATATTTAGCAACCACTGTAAAAAGTTTGGCAAATAATAAAATTATGCGGCATTCAAATGTAGCCTTCGTATTTTCTTTCGGGTTAACATATCAATTTTCTTTCTATGGTATGGATGCTGTTGAATGATAAAATTCTGTTTCATATGCAGGATCCCAAAGTTGGTTATCAGTGGCGACTCTGATGACATAGATATTGACATTTCAGATGACCAGTATGACATTCAGTCGTTAGATATCTCAAATGTTCCAGTGATGGTCACAGTGAACAAGGTATCTGCTTTCAGCAAAGTGTTCAAGTCATCCCTTACTAACATGCCAACTTGCAGCCCAAATTTCTCCCCCACCACTGAAAATTAAAACCATTATTTTGCTCGACTACTGGGATACTCTTCGGCCCAGAATCAATTGTTTTTCTAAAATGCTCATTGGATAGGTCCCTTAGGAGGGTTTTCCCCCAGACAAGAACCCTCTCAAGATGCCCTGAAAACCATGCTCGATTGTAAGATGTATTTTACTAAAAAATCTTCATTCTGTGCCAAAGACAGTCGGAATCAACAAAATTATAGATAATGAAAATATGTAACACCTGATTCAGAACTACCTTCTTTGCCTTTCCTAAGGCTGTTGTTACTGTACTCTAAGCAAACTTAAAGAAGAGTAAGTAGAAGAAAGATTTATTAGCCTCACTTTAATTTTGAATTAATAGCAAAGTTGAAGAAGAAATTTAGTCAACCTGTTCAGGTTTTGTGCTGGTGTTCTCACAGTTTTAGCAATGATTTGGGATATGGCTTGATTTCAAAAGTATTTTAATGAAAGACACTTGTTGTTGCATTGCCTTAATATAGATGAAGATGATGAAGAGGTTTCTGAAGAGTCGACAGAAATCATTCTGAATGAGGGAGGGAACATTAGAGATTAGCAATGAAATAGAAAAACTGACAGGAAAACGAAAGAGAAAGACTGACAGAAAAATTAAACAAAGAAATTTAAATTGGAAGGGGGCTCAAGACGAGAGCGGGGCTTGTTTTTCCTATTTCTTCTCTTTGGATTTCTCCAAGCGACCCATTCCAACAGGTCTTTCTGTTAATTGTGATCTTGGTTTAACGTTGCGATTTAACTCGATAAGTTTTATGTCTGTTTAGGAATTTAAAATAAATTGAGTCGCAAGCACTGGGTGAAAAAGTTTTTGCGTTGTTTCTGGGTGTTCCTTTACTCGTCGACGTCATAAAAGTTTATTATTTATCGCAGGTTGAAAATCGCTTTGTCCTGGATGCGTTACCAGAGGAAGAATCGTGCATCGATGCAATGCTACTGGTATCTGTAGATCGGTATGGTGAAATATGCGGCCTTCAAAAATTTGGCTCAGGTGGCCTGGACCCGGAACTGACCTTTGAAATGATCCAGGTATGGTTTATTTTTATAAAATCATTGCTGACACACGCCAAAGCATAAAACGTCAAAGACTTTCAAAAGTGACATATCTAGGTTTTGCCTGTGTTCGGAAAGTAAAAACAAAAGTGTGTTTAGTTATGGCAGTGATTGAAAATTAGTGATGAACGTGATGTTATTAGGCCAAAAAAAGCGAATTCACTGTGTCAAAAATGCATCAGGGTTTCAGCTGCTTCATTTAAAGACAGACAGATAGTGTCCACAATATTTACCTGTTAACCTTGAAGTTTTTGGATGAAGTTATGCCTTTTTGGGGGAAATATGCCCTATATCTACTTTTAGTGCAGCAGTGCTAATTACTTTTTCTTATCAACGTTAAAAAATATGCAGTCTAAAGAGTTGGTGGCCGTGGATTGGTCTATCCTTTAAGACACCTATTCTCAAAGCAATTCTGTTCGAATTTTTACTGAAAGTAACATCAGGAAAGACTTAAACTCGTTGCTTTGCAGATTCTTATTTATTGATCATAACTTTTTATAGCAACGTTTAAACGTATATTTGTACAATTTAGCCTGTATCAGACTTTGAAATTAAACCTCTAAGTGAAGTTTCTGTAAGCCGTTTCATTCTCATATATTGATATCTAAAGTTTGCAATATTGAGTCAAAAATGGATAATGAAGTTACTGCCACTTAAGTTAATTTGTTAGGCATGAGAATACGAGCTGAAGAAAGCTGATCATTCTTAGTTATGATTAATAATAAGAAGGTATAAGTGAGCTCAAACCAAAAAAGTTTACTAGACTAAATTGGAATAAGGATTTATTTTACAAGTTTTGAGATATGTCGTCGTGAATTAAGCACTACAATCAGAATTTCATATGAATCTCTGATTATCACGATTGGCCGGTTTCAAGGGCATATTAATGAAAATGGCAATCTTGCCCCTGCTATTAAAAGGCAACAGAGGCGGTTGACCCCCCGCGCCCCCTTCGCCGGCGTTCCTGCTTTTCAGTGTCCTAAATCTGCCTTCGGAAGCTAGATGGCAAACAATACAATACGATACAATACAATACAATACGATACATTACAATACAATACAATACAATACAATACAATACAATACAATACAATACAATACAATACAATACAATACAGTACAGTACAGTGCAGTGCAGTGCAGTGCAGTGCAGTGCAGTACAGTACAGTGCAGTGCAGTGCAGTGTACTAACCGAAATATCTCACACTCCAATAAAAGTGATAAAAAAGTAGTGATATAATAATGAATTTATTTATACATAAAATTTCAAGTACCACTGGTAAACTTAAAAAACAGAGTTAAAAGGTAGTGGTTTAAAAATTTGAGTTATTTAAAATCCAGAATTCCATCTATGTATGTCAGATAGTATTTCAAAAATCCAAGTTGTCGTTCGAACATCCATGCCATCTTTCTAAACTCATTGATAGATTGAGCGTTCCTTATGTGCTGAGGTAGAGATAGCCAAAGAGGCTTCCCCTTATATTTGGTTGTTTCGGATCTGTAACTTGTTGTTCTTACCATTGGTAGCATAAATTCATAATTGTTTCTCAGAATATAAATAACAGGACGCTCGCAGAAAATCTCCCTCATGAAAAGGGGGTTGATATTTTCCTTCGTTTTAAACAACATTTCAATCATAAGAGTTTACATGAATTTGCAATTCTCGGGGCTTTTTCATGTATTCTATAATTTTAATATTCAAGTGCGTACTGGGGATTATCCAGACTTATCTTGAGGCATGAATATTTTCTGTAAAGGTTGCAAAAGAAGCTGGAAAGTCACTCAACAAGAATTTGGAAAAGACTTTTAAGAAAGACGAATCGATGTCAACAGGGTAACAAAAAGTGTGGAAGAGTGAACATTGGGACACCGTTACAGACAGCGCTAATCATGGCACAGAAAAGGGTATTTCTCATTGATTGTGGTAGCAAAGAGATTAAGAAAAATATCCTAGCTATCGATGGTAGTCTTGAAATGATACAAAGGTGGATTATAGGAAATTCAAGAAATCAAATTTTGAGGAGCAAAGAAACTTCCCTCGAGGTATACGCACTCCGAAACTACATTGATGCATCTATAGTATCTACAAAGTTTGCCAATTGGAATCAAACTCAAAGATATGTACACTTAATGAAGAAACAATGTAAAAAGTTGCTTTATAGCTAATACATGCCAACTGTTTTAAAAAAAATTGCGATGTTGTTTGTGGTGGTCTTTTACCAGAAGCAGGGTAAGATGAAAGCTTGCGGTGTTTGGAGTAACTTCATCTGCAACTGATGCGAAACTAGAGATTGAAAAATATTTCAAAAATGCTAAAACTCGTGTGAAAATTTTTCAGGAACCCAGAGGAAATCGAGATCGCCCAGCTTTTGCTGAAGCTGTACAAATTTTATCTATTTGTTCTGCCTACATCAGAGTGCAGTTCTGTTGTCCTCATAAATGAAATTTGATTTAAGACATTCAAGGCTCATGATTTGAAAATTTGAGCCGTTTTCAGTTGTCGAAAGAAAAGGCATGATTTCTTGTGATGTTAAATCATCTTAAGAATGCTAGGAGCTTTCATGGTTGTTTATATGTCCTGCGCTGTCCTTTTTGATAATCACACAAATCTTTTTGTTGCCTCCTAATGTGAAGACCGGGGCAAATCATCACAAACAAATTAGAAATGGCCACTAGTCAAAACCAAGTTTCTTGTTTTATCTCAAATAGGTGTTATCATAATTTGTTGTAATGTTTGGTTTGTTGCACAGTTTTTTTGTTGATTACATGTCTGCCTCTGGCGTAGTGGATAATGCGATTGCCTCTCATTGCCTGACCTTGAGGAGATGAAAGTTACCATTGCCACGGTCGCCGAATCCAGTGAAATGAAGAGCCCCTGATCGCCATTAATTCTCATCGCTCGAAGATCCGATTTCGATCCCGAGTAGGGATGCTTGCATGGCCTAGAAGTCCAAAAATGGAGAACGCCAAACCAGAAATACTGGGAATATATACCATATAATTACCGTGATTTTTAAAGTGTTTTTTTAAAGGAAAAACAAATTAAATGAAAATTTTTCATTAATCTATAAAAACCTGTGAATTGGATGTGAAAAACTGAACACTGAGTGAATAACTAGCTAAATCAGTAAAAGGCAATCGATTTTGAAAGCCTCTCAGCAACACCTTAGTTTGCTCATTGGAAAGGCGCTGTCAATTTGATTCCATGTGTTCCTAAATTCCAGAAGCAAGAAAACTTACGTTAGCGTGCTCTTAAAGTCAAGATTTTCCATTTTCCGTTTCTTGAGAGGACAATCTAATAGAATAATTGCACCTGATTATATATTGTCCTGCAATTTTCACAATGTTAGCAACCAACCTCTTGGTAGAGTTTGGACAAGGGCAAGCTGACAGTACTGTTATTGTACAATGATTTCTAAAGGGATTGGTAAACCCTGCATTTTTAGTTCAGCTGTATTTAAGCAAGATATATTAAATATCATTTAGTTTCCTAACAACTGGAAAGTTATGTTGACAAGTTTGAAAGATGGCAAAATCCTTCTTTTTTGTCTTTATTCTTGCAAGTAAGTATATTTTGATCTCTTTCGAAGAACCAATGATTTATTACCGCCAGTTCATCATAGTTGCAGTTATATTGCCTCCTAGTCAAGCCTTAATTTGAAGATTTCAAGAGTAAAGTTCGACCAGGTTCTAGGTACCTCATAAAGATGAATTTTAATTTTCCCCTGAAACCTAAACAAAATGAAACTACTTTTAAAAATTCGAACGACATGAAAGTGACGCAGATGCAAAATTGCAAGCAGCTACTAACACTCACGCACCTGATCATAACTTGTTAGGCTGGACATTTGCTGTTGCAGCTCAGAATGAAGACCGACGCGACTATGCTCCTGACTTTCAAAACATTCCGCAGCAAGCTATCCAAGGTAAGTTCATAATTCCCTTGATTGGTTTCGCAGAAAATCTCGTGAATCCCTGGATTGCAAAAATTTAAAAAATTGTAAGTGTTGCCTGCCATCATTGGTGGCGCCAAGGGGAGGTATGCGGGGTAGTTACCTTCAAACTTTGGTCAAAACAGGGTTCACATATTTCTTCTAGCAATTGATAAAAAAGCGTAAGGTAGGGATAAATCATGTTTTTGCATAAGGAAATTTCACCTGGTACAAAGCATTGAAACAAGGCAAAAGAGCGTGACCTCACTGGTCACGCCCGTTACCCTCCCACTTTGCAGTAGCTGGCGCCGCCACTGCCTACCATGGAAAAACAGTTCATTGAATGTAATCCGGAACAGTACCCGGTTAGCTAGATTGCTGATGGTCAACATCAGAAAACTGGTACAGATGGCCAGTCAAAAACAGCTTATAACATGTAATCCTTTTTCTCGAATCAATAATGCTAGAAAATAGAAACACATAATAAAGTTGGAAAAATAACCTGGTAGGGATTTTTCAACCGAAGATGAAATGCGGAACTCTTTCCTATAGGCTGGGTTGCTAGATTGCCAAAATCCCAAAACTGGTAGACCGTCAGCCATAGGTACAATCTGGAACTGTATTCTCCGGTGCTCGATTGCCAAAAAACTAAGAAATGGTACGGATTGCCAGCAATAGATACAAACCGGGACTGTATTCTCTAAGCTAGATTGCTCGATTGCCAAAAATTAAAAATGGCACGGGCTTCCAGTCAAAAATGTAATCAAGAACTGTATCTTCTAAGCTAGATTACTAGATTACCAAACTCTGAAAAATGTTAGGGATTGCCAGACATTGATTAGCTCATTATACAAAAATGTGATAAAAACAGTCTTATCTTATACTAATGATATACACAAAAACCGAGAAGATCATTATAAGAAAACTGAAAAAAAACGTTCAGGGTGAATATATTAATGTTCACTCAAAGATATTTCATAGAAATTTCACTTGCCCGATCAAAATTGCCGGAATACATTTATGTAGAATGCATTCTCTTCTGTCAACTTTTAGCCCCCACAGCTGAACGTTTTTCGCCACTTTACACTCAAAGAGCAGGAGGACCTTCCAATGATCATATGTGCGACCGTGTCACTGCCGTGCCGAGCCATCTAACATTCATTACCAAGTACAGTTTTTACCAGAAATACACGCATGCATACGGGATACCAATCGTTAGTTCACGTTACGTATCCGATGCTGCTCTAAAGCGCGCTTGCTACGTCCTGAGGTTCCTCCTGGCTGATTCATATAAAATCCGATATCATCTATACAAGGTACGTTTTCATTGTTACACACAAAAATACCCTCATTCTCTATATGAAACTGTCTGTAAAAAACCGAACTCTAAGATAACCAGAAATTAAGAAACCATAGCACTGATCACACTTGACCTAAGAAACGGCTTGAAAATTCTTCTTTTAAAGATGGTGTGGAAATGATTCTTTTCGACGATTTGGCACCTTTAATTGACATACATAAATAGGTTGTCTAATTCATGTTATCTGATGTGATGTTTCTGTGTCTCTAAAAAGTAGCTCTTTAGCCTTTGGTATTTAAGGAACCCTAAAGAACTTTTTAGCACTGAAATGAATATATAAATGAAGAAACGTCTAATTTCGTTAAAAAATGTTGGGGAGAGGTCTTTTACGTAAGCAAACGTTAGTCATGTGAGTTTGCAGCTGAAAAAATTAGGATTCCCTTTAGGTAAAAAGGCGTTTTCTGACAGTAAAAAGGGCGTGGCCTAGAATTATTCAATTTTGTCCTCCTCCCTCTCCCTCCTTCTTATGCCTAGTGGCTGGGGCCGACACTGAATAACCCCGCGTAGTTGATGTGCTCAGTAAACCCGGGTATAAACTAAACCAAACTAGGAGAGAGCATTCCCAAATGTCCTTGCACACTAGCAACGAAACTATCGGATCAATATTTAACTAAAATTGTACGTTTCGCCTTCGTCTCTCTCATATGATAAAACACTATTGTATTAATCAAGTAACTATAGTGTGTCTAATGGGTGAACCTTCAACAGAATTACGGAAGAGTTGGAATAATTGGCGCTAGAGAAGGTGTGCGAAGTATCCCGGAGCATAGCTACTTGCCATCTTGGTGGGATCAACGTGCAAGGGGGCTTGGTGGTACCCTTGCGATCCCAATTTCAACAGGGGGCGAAGAGAATCTGCTGTGCTGGTCTACTGATAGGTAAGTTCCCTTCATCTAGCTAACATCTAGCTAAGAAAGAACATTGATTCACTTGCTGGAACAGTGTTTTGGAGACAAATATCAGAAAGTGGTATCGATACAAATAAACTGTGACGAAATTATTTTCGAATTGCTTGTTTTATTGCTGTAAAGGGTGTAAAGAAAATTAAGTTGAGGAGATCTGACCTCTGTTGAAGACAAACATGCAATGTTACATCCATAGTTTTGTATATTTTGGAAGGAACCGATTACCTGAGTGGTATTTATCCATAGGCCATCAGAAAGCCCACGAAAAATTCTTGTTTTTCGGAAAAATAATTGATCTTCAGTTTGTCGGTTCAGTTCGACACCATGCCATGCTGAAAGGTAACGTCTGGGACGTTCCCATGTAGCAAGCGTTTATCTAGCTTTATTTTTTCTTGTCTTAAGAAAGCTACCCTGGGTATCAGTGTTACCAAATGGTAAAACGGCATAAGCTGTTTGAAATCGAAATGAAACTGGGTTTTTTATACTCTATGATAGCTTTGATAAGTAGCTTCCAAAGATTAAAGCTTTTAGAAATCAAGCTTAAGTCAATTGAATGTTGTTACCACCATAGATACAGAGTGGAAGACATTTTCCTGCATGAATTTTCACACGGTATTCAAGAGATCGCAATAACGGCTGGAGCTATCCCAGGATTCAACTCCCGTTTGCAGTCTGCTTATTACTACGCGAGGTCACGAGGGCTTTGGGCAAACACATATGCTATGAGCACTTGGAAGGAATACTTCGCGGAGGGTGTTCAAAGCTACTTCAATGTAAATGCCTACGCGAATCCACCTAATGGAATACATAACTCTATCGATACGCGCGACAAACTGAGAAGATATGACCCCACGTTATATGGGCTTGTTAGAGAAGTCTTTCCATGTGGAAATATCATCACGGACAGGTGTGACAAATCTGGTACGAAAGAGCCTTGATTCTTTAATACATAATATAAGGAGCATCCAGAGGTGTAGTTCTATCAAAATAAAGAGGGGACTCTTGCGCAAAATGTTGCAAAAAACCAAAGCAGAAATTGGCTACTTTTCGGCCTTCGGCATTTTCGGCATTTCGGCATCGCCCCCCCCCCCTCGAGCCCCCATAGCACTATGCCCCTGGGAGCATCCGTATATTAGGCACGGTTACCTTAAAAACTGGTTAAAGTTCATAATACTATTAGCAATACAGGTATAGAAATAATAATTTAAGCCCCCTCTGTTACAAAAGCCATCATGCTTTCTAGGTCCACAAAGTGGAGGTAGCAATGTTAAAGAAGCAGTTGAAAGTACCATTACGCGCAAACTTGATTTTCTGTTTCAAGGTTACATAGTTACTAGTGATTATATTCGTTAGTTTGCATTCGCCACAGCAATTTCGTATAGAAATAGCATCTGTTCAGGTTTCCAAAGCGAAAAGGCATGGCTGAAAACAAGTGTTGGTTGGATTAATTTGCATCTATGACAGAAACAACATTTCTTTCTAACTGCTCATTTTTGCCATATCAATTTAGGGAGGGTAATACCGTTCAAGATGGACTGTGACAGCACAGGTGCTGGGTCAACAGTTGGGCCCTCTACAACTTTCACACCCATTGTCAAAACACAACCAAATACAACAACAACAACAACAACAACAACAACAACAATAACAGAAACAGGAACAACAATAACAGCAGAAACAACAACAGCAGCAGCCACAACAGCAGCAGCCACAACAACAATAACGACTACGAAGAAAGCAAGTACAGAATCACCCACAGGTATGTTGAACCAATCATATGCATAGTGGTGAAATTAGTTTGCGGAAGAGACTTTGAACAGAAAGAAAGTCACGAACAGCAAAGACCCTGCTTATAAGCAAATTGTAACAAATATTGAAATAGTTTCAATCAAAGTTAGATTGAAGCCATCAACCACTATCAAATGTAGACAAGCCTACAATGTTTCAGGAGGGCTTGTGACTTGAAAAAGCTCCACAGCACGAAACACCATTTTAGGGTGTGATTAGCAGCGCGGTTGCAATGGAAACCACACTACTACTTAATTTCAATTTTTTTACTAGAAGCGGAAAAGCGGAGTCTTGACAGGACTGGAGAAAACTCCAAGGAACGCATTTGTTTAATCTAGTTAATCTTCAAAAATTTGTAATGCCTCTCGGTTGGGTCAAAGCAGGCGTCTCATTATTGAATGATAGAAATGGACTAAATTTCCCCTAGATGCGGTATTTTTGTATAAACAGCCGAGTAACAAGACCAACCGTTTGAAATAGCTCTATTTGTGTTATCAGATCAAAAATGCCCTAAAGAAACACATTCGCAGCATATTCATATATTAAAATTGTCTTGATCTTGATACATTTAAATATCAACTCGTCTAATTGCAGCTTGTTCTGATAAACACTACTACTGCTCTAGCTGGGCTAGAAATGGTGAATGTACAAGAAATCCCATTTACATGCACGTAAGTCTGCAAAGCAACAGTAAGTATGTACAATTGAGCTTTGCTTTTGACATCTCTTGATTATTAATTTCTTCTTACATAAAAGGTTTCACTATGAAGTAACCAACCCGTTCAAACGTTGAAAAGGAGTTTAAAACCTCTACTTTTAAAAAGGCTTTCGACTGAAAAAAATTCTCATTTCCATTTAAACTGTAAAACTTTTCATGTACTAGGCTACATGCCCAAAAAGCTGCGGGAAATGCGGAGTAGGCAGCACCTGCTTCGACTCAAATGAATACTGCCAATTATGGGCCAATGCGGGACATTGTCAAATAAATCCTGGCTGGATGCTCCAGAATTGCAAGAAAAGCTGTAATGTTTGTTCACAAACTCAGAACATACGATGGGTTGTTAAAAATTATTAATCGAATAAATGTTTATTAAATAAAAAGAGCAATTCATCAAAAGGATGAAGTTTGTTGGTTTTATTTTTCCTTGACTCTGCTGCCTACCAGCACGTTTGATTCATCTGTCGGCATTCGAAACTCGGGGAGCGAGACCACAAGTTGCGAGTGTCCTGACAAATCAACACCACTAACATTGGAAGGTATGATACAGCTTATGATCATGGACATGTTTCGGTTCTGCCGTCAATTTACCTGTGAACTTTTAGCTTTTTCCAGAGCTCTCAAAACTATGACCAGGCAAAAGATGGTTTTTGGCTTTCCATAAAACAATTTGATACTGGCAGGCTGTGTTCGATTTCACGTTTCTTTTGTATAAGAGGGTATTTCATTTGATGGGACATCAAACGTAAATAGTTCATAAAATTGAAGCTCCTTGATAAAGAATTGTTCAAAATGTTGTTATTGGTTGGAACATCATAACGCGAGCGCAAGCTGTTGAGATGTCTTGCTTGTTGCCTTTTTTGCCTTCTGAATTTAGCACGTCTGTTTTGGAACCAAATCTAAGAACATAAAATCAAAGACATGTTTATTAACAATATAGTTGCTATATCCTTACGTTTTACGTCTTTCTCTTTTACGTCTTACTGCCTTACGTCTTACGGCCCTACGTCTTATTGTCTTATATCTTACTCCCTTACATATTACGGCTCTTTGTCTTAATGCATTACGTCTCACAGTCTTACGTCTGAAAGCCTTATGTCTTAAAATTAAAAGTCTTACATCATAACGTCTTACAGTATTACGTCTACAAGCGTTGAACGTTAAATCATAACGTCTTACAGTATTACGTCTACAAGCGTTGAACGTTAAATCATAACGTCTTACAGTATTACGTCTACGAGCTGTCGGTTCTCGGGGTAGAGATACTGGAAAACAACGTTTGCCGTTGCTACTGGTCATACTCCCCTTTGTATGTAGTGAAACAAATTAATTCAGTTACGCTAACATATAACTTAAGGAAAGCTTAATGAAAGGGTTGAAAATTACTGTTACCGGCCTATCAGGAAGTGCTTGATGTCGTATGAGTTGAACTGTACATACTTTTGGCATATAGAAAAGAGTTCTAAGTTGCTACTCCGTACTTACACATTTTCTATACATCAAAGCATAAAAAAAAGTTGGATATTAATCTTCGTAGCGACTAGCAACTTGTCATCTAACCATGAGGATTTAAATTATTCTGATGCAATCGAAAAACGGACAACATAATTTGCTCTTTTAATTTTCGAAGCAAGGACTTTTCTTTCCAAGTTCGCACTCATCAAGGCGTGTCGAAAGATTTTCACGAAAGTGTTGGAAAGCTTCTTGAACACTTTTTAGGGAAAAAGGTTTTGATGAATGTCACAATTTTCCTTACCTTTATTTAACAAAATACCGAAAAGAAAAAAACTTGTTCCGATGTCTACGCAAGTACCCTCAAAAGGCAATTATAACGGAAAAAAAACCCAAAGTCATCGCGGAAATAGCAACTTTGCGATGATCCGATGTTGTGTTTATTGGTAGGTAACTTTTGAATATTGGGTTCCAATTCAAATGCAGCAACAAATGTGATTAAAGTGCGGAATTTTGTTACCGGCTTCAAAACGGGACGAAATTAGACGATAGACTTTTCACCATTCCCCTATAAAAATTAGGTATATCAAAGGTATAATGTTTAAGTCTGTTAGACGTAAATAAGTTAAAGCAATCTTCACCTGGATCTTTGCCTCCGAGACCTGCATTTCGAGGGCCAGTTGTCGCCTTGTGCTGGTGTCGGGGTATCCAATCGTCTCTTCAAAGAGTTGCTCCAGTTGGCTCACCTCTGCTGTTGAGAAACATTGGCGACTCTTCGTTGGTGTATATCTGTTGCGCTTTCTCTTTGCTGCCTCTAGAAAAACAAGTTTCATGTCGTACTTACTACAAGGTGCTCATTCAAAGTTGACTTTTATATATAGATCAATTTTCATTGCCTTATGTTACCAGATTGGGGAATATCCTAGGTTTATATGCCCTTGAATCGTACAATAATATAATCATTCGACGGTGAAGGTACAATGACATTCGAAATACACTTTAAATTTCTAGCAGTGATCTTGCTTTCTGAAAATCGTGGCGTTGTTCCATGTCTACACATATTACAACAAGAAACTCGTTAGAAGTTGTTTTACCTTTCGATTTTACATCTGATTTCAAGAGTGTTTTATCAGCACCTCTTTCCCCAATGATATTACAGATCTCTCCCCTCTGTTTCGTAGTACTTTTGAACCTATCTTTCCCTCTGTTAAGACCCAGAATGTCTTCCACCATAAATGAGGTATTTCTTGGCTTCATCATTGGTCGTACAAATCAAGTATTCTTTCGCGCGGCTATTTTTCTAGAAACATGTAAGGGTACCACACACTGCGCTGTTGGCTGTCACATTACCAAGCACATACATTGATTTAAATAGCCTACGCTATAGATTTATTACGTTCAAGAAAACAAAGACAAACAATTACAAGACAATTTGTTATCCCTCATCCTCTCCAATATCGCTTACGTGTTTAGCGAGGTGGCTAACACTCTAATTAGCAGAATTCATTTCGCTCATTGTCATTTCTGTGATGATTTCATTAATATGTTGCTATAGAAAACCCGGAAGCTAGGTTTTGTGACTGTATCAAAATTTGAACACTAATGGGACAGTTCGCAAATTAAGAGCAGTTTAAAAATGAGTGATAGCACTAACATTTTGCATCTAAATTTCACCTAAGCTTTGAGATTAAGATTTGCTGGTTTACGAGAAAAATGATATTCTAAATTTTTCAATGCAACATCGATGAGGCATTATTAATATAAATATGAGTTCATCGTTTTGGTAGACAATTATAATTGTTGTGGTAGATAATACAAATTGCAGCAGGGTGCAGTGTGTCCGGGCAAAGGGAAGCGTTATCCTTCAGCATGGCTCCAACAACAACTAAAATGGGCGGTTGAAAAGGTAAATCCGGCATCTCACTCTAAGGCGAGGAGCAAGGCATGAAAAATAGCAGAGTTTCCGGAAACATGTTTTTGTTTTGAAAAACAAATGTCAAATTATAAACCAAAAAAGGAATCTAATTTCAGGTGACATCTATATTGCTTGTCTGCATTGCGTTCTTTGAAAAAGAAAATATAAAGCGATGGTAAGAGATAAACTGTTCTCATTTGCATTCCGTGGAGTAATTTACTTATAGACACAAAAATATAACGAATTCAAGCTAGGTTTGAGCAAGTTAACTCAAATTAAAAGATACGGCTTACGGCAAATACATAAAGTCTGATTTGATGCTTGGGTCGAGGGGGGTGGAGGTGGAGGTGGGGGAAGGCTGTGTCTGCGAAACTTTGGGAATTTTAGGCAAGATATGAGTTCTGACAAGGCACATAGGTAGCAGTAGGAAATTTGAACCTATGGATATTTACTCATACTCAGATTTGGAGTTTAGATTAACAGAAGTTCTGTGAAAAAGCGGTCACCCTACCATTACCCTCTCCTTTCTTTATAACAGACAACAGGAATGGATAACGTCAATTATTGAGAAATCACTTTAAAGATATCTGTTTCATAAACTTCACATTTACTATAAAATATAAAATTCAATAACAAACATCTAACATATGTGAGGAGACGTTCAACTGCAGGTCTTGAATGACGGGGTCATATCCAAAAATCAAAGAGCATGCGCAGAACAGATGCACAGCAACAACAGCGGGTTGGTTCAGTTGTCATAACACCTTGCAGCTGTCTATCTCCACAGCAAATATCATATTCCGGACCCAATAATAATAGCTATATTTTCGTAGTTCTGTTACGCATAACAATTACAAGGTAGCTACTGTGTTGATCTGGAGACGAAGCTCCGCTGTTCATTTCCGTTACAACTTAATCCAAAAGTCATTAATTTGATATGGCAATCTACTCTGCCATAAAGTAAAAGAATTTGTCTGTTGCAAACACATCAGCATTAAAACTCCACCCAGACGGAAACAAGACCTTTTCTTTTGCTTGATAAATTGCTTGCTTGCTTAATTGCTTGCTTTCTTTTTGTTCCATGTAATTTTCCTGCAAAACTGTACGACAAAAAGCTTCACAAATCGAAAAGATGGCTAGCTCGTTTAAGACAAGGTCTTGTGAAGGATCGAATGTCATTAATTTAAATCTAATCGCAAATTAAAAGGTACGCTGAGTATGTCGCCAGCAATCAACATAAATGGTCCTGTGCATCCTACAATTATTGTTATCATAATTATCAGTATTTCCGTCTATTACTTGCCTTGTTACATTCCTCCTTTACATGATGCACCAAAGAATAGTGCATCACAGCAATCGTTTGTCATAATTCTTTACATCGCCAGCATCAAATATTTCTTTCCGTCCATGTAGTTGGGTATCTACCCTTGAATTATCTGTCATAGGGTCATACAATATTTGCACCAAAGCAGTCTCTCGTTTAAACGAATAAACTGTAGAAAGCATTGATATCAAACTTTCTGTGGCAAAAGCAAACGGGTTGCTGGTTGCCTACAAATGTTGACAGCGGCGGTTCCAAAATGGTGACAAACTTGACACGAAAGGTGATTTTGCAATCAAATTTTTTTCATGAGCAAAATGCGCCACTTTGGCCTTGTTATTCCCATACATTCTCACATGTTTCAAAATGATATCACAGAATAGGAAAGGTGTCCCGAGAAGAGTGTCTCTTCTGTTTTTCTTTTTACATGGCCAAATCTTAAGTCTAGCCCGAGCGGTAAATCACTCTAAAAAATCTCGTACACCTTTGGTGAAAATCCTATTGTTTTGTCTCAAAATCCCCAGAAATCCTTTTGTTTTCGACAAAATCTCGTACGCTATCTGCAATAGTGAATTGCCCCTCGGTCTAGCCCACCGAGCTGTTGACTTTGAATACCCCTAGGCGTGGATCACATTAATTAAAAAGTTTTTCAGAATGGAGTACTTGTGGGATCGCTAATATCATAGATTGAGAAACGTACATGTTGTACAACATTGAAGCATCACGAAGACGCAAGTAATATAGAATCTGCTGGTTGAGCGCTCTTTTTTTAAGCCAAGAACACTTCTACCATTTCACTTCAGGATTCTTCTGATATTGTCTGTATTCTCCAAGGTTGAAAACTGATATCTCCGTCTCATTTTCTAAGAAAAAAAAAATAATTAGGACCAGGGGCACCGAGAAGGGGATTGCTGGGGTGATTACAACTTGACCCAGGTCAAAAAAGCGACATTAAACAAATGCTTAGGGTAACGGGTGCCTAGCATCAATCTCAGTTTTCCTCGGGCCTGAGTTTGCTATCAATGCCTCTGTTAACTGCTATACAATCATAGAAAAACACAATTATCAAGTACTTCAAAATAACAGGTAGGGGTGGTGTATGACAATAGAAAACTTCAATTCTACCTTAGGTGGTTTAAAATACTAAATGAAAATATTTTGTACAAAGGGATTGTTTAGTTTTAGAAATATGCATGATGCGATTCAATCTAAATAATCGACAATTTCACGCGGTTTTTACGATTTAATCTGAATCCATGAATTTTTAGACCAGATGTCATCGCATATAGTCAGTAATTTACCGCTGACGTTAAGAACAGCAATGACAGATAAGAGATAATCAACTTTGCTATGCGACGCAAACACAACAACAGAAAGAACTGTCGCGAATATCGGTTGAATTCTCGGTTGTTTTTTAGCAGGTTGTCAAGAATTTGAATTAAAGCAGAATTTGAAAACTGAAGATCTGAGCAATAAAGCAATTTGCTACTACTAAAAGCACAATTTCTGCTTTACTGCGTTTAACATTTTTACTAGCTAAACGGTAAAGACCTTTTGGGCACCAGAAGAGGACCCAAAGGGTGGCCAACTGAAAAATGTCCTATTGTAGCAAGTTGCTAGAGAGGCTAAGAAATTCAAAATATCACTCACCAACTCCGTTTTCTTTTAATGTTTTATTCAGGTCTATGAAAAACATTTCATCGTTTTCCACGTTTATCACTGGATCAGAAGACTAGAATAAGAAAATTAAAGAATAGAGGACTCCACATTACAATAAATACCTAAAACCGTTTTGAACACTGTGGACTAATTTTGTTAAATGTTTTATTACAATTTCTTCAATTTTGGATGACAACCCGTAGAAACTTCAAGCCTGTCTTCAAGGTTAGCGACAGGGGGGAAGTAGAAGATTGCCCCAGCTCCAGCTGTGAGGGGCCCCACAAAGTTAAAACGAAAATCCGAACAATAACAACAATAATAGCCATCACAACAATAACCAATGACGTCATAAAAGGCCCAAGCTTTCTTTTAGCCCCAGGCACCAAAAAAACCCTCGGCGGGCTTGCCAATCCTGATCTTGGATGGTAGCAGATCCCAGCTCAACACTATTTCAAAAGGTGTGGCACCTGGAGGTAGGAGGGATACTGTCTCTATACGGCTTTCTACACTTACGTTCAAAAAGTATTGCACCACCCAAAAATAGACCCGGTGTTACCAGTTGCTATGCTCAGATGCTGTGAAACATAATCTACACTGAAATATTTCATTTTATATTATGTATTGCACTAATATTTTTCAAAGCGCATCTGAGTATGTGTGAACCACCTCATCTAGTTTGACTGATATTGGCAAAGCAGCTATATTCATATTTCCCAATATTTCAGCCCTGAGACACACTGTCCAAGGTTAAAATGGCTGGGTTACTCTCCACAAAATAACAACACTCTAAACATAGGTCCGTTTTTACAACAAACGCTTCGAAAAATCAGTTCAAACACTGTAAAAACTAAATGCCTTAAGCATGACTCCGCATTTTTTACCGAAAATCTTGACTTACTACGTATGTACAATGCAAGGGTTCGCTCTTGTACTTCGTATAAAGAGTGAAGACAACAAACTATACTTCAGAATTTTGGCAAAGTGCAATAAAGATTTTTAATTCGTATCAAAACTAATCTGATCAACAATAAAAAATGAATTACTTTAAGACATTAAGCACGATATCATGAGATTTCATCTCCTTCCTTTAACTGACAATCTCTTTAATACTTCTCACAATCTTAACTCGTCTTGAAAAGTTTGTTTCCTCTTAGTCGTTGTAAAACGTGCATTCTTGAACACCTGAAGATCCTCATTCTTTACATTCAAAGACTTCTGAAGGAATTGGCAATTCTTTTTAACCTGATCAAACGTCAATTCAGCTTTGTGACCTTCTTTCCTCCTCGAACTTACGTAATCCACAATTCTTTCTTCAATTGCAGAACTATAGGACTTTTGAAATTCAACTTCCCATTTCAGACCATCAACTTTACTACCTAACAAAGAAAGGTCTTCAAAATACTTTTGATTCATAAACGCAAGACTTTCACATTGGTTTTGTAAGCTTTCAATCAGCTGTCTATTGTCTGAGATAGCCGCATACAGTTTGCTGTTCTGTTCAGCCAAAAAACGCTTTTCCTCTTGAGCAACTTGCAGTTTCGAATGAAGGTCCTTAATGACATTGGCATCTCTCCTATGATCTTTATCTTTCAAGCATTTACGTATTCTTGATACTTCTCTTCTTAAAGAGAAATTTTCTTCATCGAGCTCATTGACCATCCTCTGTAAATTCGCCTCGTTTCCAATAAAGCCTCTATTACCAAAGAGACAAAATTCCCTTTTAGTATTTCCTGAATCCATCAATGGCGACTTGCTATTTTGGAATTCATCTTCGAATGCCTCTTGTCGCTGTACACAGACTTCATTCCCGCTCATGCATATATTCTCATCTTCTAAAGCTCCCTTATCACCAATGGCCTTATCGTTCTTTAAATGAATTTCTTTACCTCTTGTACAGATTTCTTCTTCAAATCCTTTCCTGATCCTCAACTTGTCTGATTTCGGTTGTTGTGTTGCTTCATTGCTGCAATACATGCACTTTTTCTTTACTTGTAATGTATCAAGATTACAGTTAGAAGTCATGTAACATTCCAGTCCGTGCCAATCCTCATACAATTCTTTGAGTTCTAATACCATCTGTTTTGTTTCTATCATTTTCTCTCCTAAACATTGCCAGATAGGTTTTTCTTTCATCTCCTTAGCTATTTCTGTCGTGCATACTTCAAAATGCGCAAATTTCTCCAGAAATCTCCTCACTCTTCTAAAAATATCACTAAATTTTATATGACATATATCCGGCAAACCTCCTGCTCCTCCGTGTGACCAAATCGAGTCCGTAAACGCGACATCCCCATCACCCACGGAAAGCTTTTCAATCTGTAAGTTTTCTGACAGTAATGAATGTCTACTAGGGCTTTCAATTTCACTTGCATCAATATCTCTACCAGTACAAGATGGTGGCAACGTCACTTTGATCCTATTGTGTGATCCGCGCTCAATGAATGGTTTAATGCCTACCGCAGCCTTCAGTTCGCCATATCTATCAAGCACAGATTTCTTCTGCCCAGAGTTATCTTTTTCTGCAGTTTTTCGATCTTTTCTGTAGTTTGCAGTCTTAGCTAAAAGGAACAAACAGGTTCCAATGAAGATTTACGAGTTGAGCTTTATTTCCTAAAACCTAGTCAATGAATGACGGCTGTCACTGTTGTCGCTGTTTTTACGTATTATTTTGGAATATTATTTACAATGTTATCAAAAAATCGTACTTGAACTCGAATTTATTTGAAACTTTATGTAGTTCCGTCCGCTAAGTACAAAATTTGAACACAAAACCAATGGCGAGCTAAAAAGCATCTTTTCTAACAACAAGTTGATAAATATTTGAAAATAACTTACATCCAGGCGTCCTATTCCGACTTTTTAACAGTGATACAAGAGAGTGCTCTCCGTGTTTCTTAAGCACGTGCCATTCAAGCTCAACGCTGTTCTGAAATTTCTCATACAAAAAACAATAAGGGCAGAAAAATGCTGCCATCAAAAATAACGCACTTGATACGAAAATCTTCTATCAAAGCTCTATAAAAATACCCACAGCATGTGCTTACAATTATTATTTGTTGCAGAAAAAACGAAGCAGTTCTCTCTAGAAATAACAGTTTATGTTATTTGACGTCAAAACGTCAAAAAACGCTTCGCAGAAATCGTCAACCCATTGAATCATTCGCTAAAAATCATTCTGCAGCTACAAGTAACTCAAAACCTACCAAATGTATTTCAAGAAAAGCAGCAAAAAGAAACTTTCTAGAATATTGAAAACGCTTAGTTCAGTCCTTGTTTCACGAATTTTCAAGATGAAACGAAAATTGGAAAACAGTATTTGTCGTCTAACATACAACAGAAATAAAACGTTGGACAATGACAAAAAAGCATTAGCATCATTTCAGCCACTTTTGCAACACTTAATAAAAAATTGTGTAGGAACTTCATAAAATATATAAGGGTAGAGACCAAAATCAGGAGTTTGATTGAAAAATAAAGTTATCCAAAAGTTTTCAAAAACTGATCTCCAGGAAAGAAACAAATATTGAAACTCTTTAAATTTGGAAGCTAAACTCGCAGTTTGCAGACTAATGGTGGTAAATAATAAAGAGTTTGTTATAATACATACTTTATAACCATGTGCCTTATGTTGGATTTTCATAGCATCTAAAAGAAAACATAATAATTAGGTATCTATTTAGCCTGCATTAAGTAAATAGTTGCATAGGTTCACAGCAATGAAGTTAACTTCGTGTGCAAAGTTGAAATCTGTCCTTGGGTTCTTTTGAAGAATGGCATTTGTTCAAATAGCTGAATACCGTATTTACTCTAATATTCTTGCTGCGGGATTAGCATTTCAACCTAACAAAAAAAGGCGGGATTATTTGAGAGGCGGGTTTATTGGAGAGGCGGGATTATTTTTTCAATGCCTTGAAGTCTAGTTTGAGGATACTGCTTCAACAAAAAAGTCTCTTAAACATGATTGTGGCAAATCAGAGAAAAAATATGCGATTTCAACATAAATAGGGGCTTAAAATTAAATGGGGGATGGGATATTTATTTTCACAGACAAGACAGCAGATATTGTGCTTTATAGACAGTAGTACAAAGTCAAAGAATCAAACGTCTTTTTATGCTGCGAGACTTGGATGTTTGATAAACTTGCAAAATAAGACAGCTCCCTGCCCTCTCCCGTACATTATCGTGTGATTTAACCCATTCACTCCAAGCATAAGTTTCAATCCTTGATTTTCAACCCATACAAAGTGTGTAAAGAATAGCAAATGCCAATTAAAAGTTTCAATCCCGCATGCAGGATTATAGGGGAGGCGGGATTATTCTTACAATCTATGAAATACAAACGGGATTACTAGAGATGCGGGAATATAAGAAAAGCGGGAATATTAGAGTAAATACGGTATCTGTTCAAATTTATAAGATGAAAATCTACTAGAAGGGATCACAAAAGATGTTACAAATGGGAAGTGGGGAGGGGGTTGGAAGAGCCTAACCTGCTAAATACAAAGGGCAATATGATTTCTTGTGTGATTTTATTACATTGTCGGATACATGGTGGGGCTACACCCCCTAGCATCTGCAGTCCCCTACTTATGCATAACCTTAAGTCTTAAGTGTTTGTTCACAAGTTGCCAAGCAGTGTGAAACAAAGCAGCTTGGAATTGTAAAATTGAAAAAATCAAAGCCTGCACATATATATAAATATTTAGATAGACTAAAATAAGTAGACTATTTTGACACAACTCTGAGTTTCATGTGTGAACAATCATCTAATCGCTCCGATAAGTTGAGCACTCTAGCCAGCAATATGATAATTACTATAACATATAAATATGTATATTTATATTTTTATATAGTTACCATAAACATGGTTCTTCACAGGAGGTGGCAATCCTTTGCGGCTTTTGATGTCTGCTCATATAAATAATAAATATGCTATTAGATACAACTTAAGTTCCTTCAAAAGTGAAAGAATAATTTAAGCAGGTACAAGGTTTTTCTCAATGTGAAGTCAGGAATCTTTGGGACATTTCCTCTTTGTTTTCCTTATTCCTTTGGATTATCCACCTGTGAAAATAACTCACATCTAATGGCTCCATTGAAAATACTTTCCAATTTTCCCTGGTCCACTTCTTTCCACCTTGTTTGTAAATTCAACCCAAATTTACAAGGGCTTTAGAGAACTGAATTAAAAATTTTCAGCTCACAGGCCAAATCTATTTAGAGAGCTTTAGGTAAATTAGAACATGAAAATTGGTATCACATGTAACCTTCTGTGATACAGTTAAGTCCCGCTATCTCAAACTTGCACAGGAAATGAAATTTGTTTAACATGTGGGAATTTGAGATATCTGGACTCTGGATTTCTTTGATGAAAAAGGGGTCATCTGTGTTTAAAAGAAGAATATGAGCCAGGGAAAAGAACTCATTTGTGTCCAAAGCTTTGTTAAACATTAAACTGAACTAAAATAGTCTATTAATGAAGTTTGCTTTATATTTTTGAGTGCTTCTTCATGGCAAAATAGCAAACGACAATGGTTTTGTTTCTATTGCTGGTGTCAAAGTAGCAGTAACAGAAGAAATACCCATTATAAGCACAACTGAACCGGAAGTGAATTCTTTTATCCAAGGGTACCATGTTTATCATACTATTTGGCAGCCCAAGACTGGAGAGGAATTGAAGATTGTGATGGAGCCAAACACAAATTTGCAGTACTCTTGTGTGCTTAATTGTAGGGGGGTCGAATAAAGAGTGGGTTGGACAATTTCCTAGATTTTCATAAAGCAGAGGGGTCATAATAAATGAACTACAGGGAAAATCGTAAATAAGCATCTAAAATGGGGGGGGAGTGAAAATAAAATGCGGGGTGAGATATTGTAAGTTCATGTGCTTTTTAAACTGAGTACTAGTTTGAAGTCAAAAAAGACAATTTAAATATGGATGATGACAATGAGTAAGCGCTTTTGAAACTTAAAACTCTGATTTATTTTCTCTTAAAAAGAGTTTTGTATGGAGCCAAACCATTTCTTTTCTGAGAAGTTTAAAATGTCTAATATGGACGGTTGATAATAAAATTAGGGGGTTGGTCGTCCATCGATATTTCCATAAAATGGGGGGGGGGTCATAATAAAATGCTATGAAGGGTGAAAAATTTTGAAAATGCAATATGACCCTCCCCCACAATTAAGCACACAAGAGTATGTGTACAGAAAAATGAAACTATTGTAGGACCAAAAGGAATGACAGGCAGATTTGCAAAGACAATCTTCTTCTTTTGCAGGGCAGATTTGTTTAATTCCTGTGTGGCTGTGGTGACTGGCAATTGTGTAAACTTTTGAGATGGCAAAGGAGTGCAAGTCCCTTGCAAGTTAATCATTGTTGGACAAACTAAGTTCACTTCAATTTTAAAAAATGAATTATCATTGCTATGATAATTAATAGCTGAACATTTTTGTCACTTGTTGTTCGAGCTAACCGGGTTTTTCTTTCAAGGGTAAAAAACTTTGTTCAATTTGTATTCCAAGTAGAGGATATCTTTGTATATACTTTCATCTCTGGTTAGGTATCCTTGTTTTTGACTGCTTTGGTTTGCAAAACATTTAATAAATCAAAGAAGAAGTATCTACAGATACCAAAACTTTGCAATCTGACAGCAGATAAAATTTCAGTCATGAAATAAAAGCTGTGGATTGCTTGTTAAATTTTTGCTGTTTTGAAACCTACTCCCATGGCCCTTGGAATCCCTTACCTCTTCCGTATAAGGGGAATCACAGCCGCTGTAAAGGGTAATTTTCAACATGCTGAATTGACCTGTGCCAAATCACTTTCATATGATATGAAAATTATTACTATCATTAGAAGTGTTTAACAGGCATATCGATCTCTATCTCTGATTGATATGAAATCTGAGAATTAAAAGAAATTCTTACTTACTTTCCTTTACAAAAGATAGGAAAAGCGACCCGTTTTGTTCAATGTCAACTGCATGGTATACAAAATTGTGAATGTTTTTATACTCGAACGAACGGATTAGTCGAACAGTAACGCAAACTTGATCCGACATTTTATCGTGTTCTGCAACCTCGTTCACGGGTCATACATAGTACATAGCAAAACATAGCAATCATTGAGTTCATAGGTCCCTAAACCTAAACCACACAAAACCACACAAAACCACCCGAAACCACCCGAAACTATATAAAACCACCACAAATGAGTCAAATTTACCAATTTTAGCAAAAAATTGTTGCTCAGAATCCCAAAAGACCTTGATAGATTGAATGTTTTCCTAGATCATATTAAAAAGAAGATCCAAGTAAAAATTGAAAAATTCTGCGACCACAGGCCTTGAAAACCTTCGAGAATCTTGATTCACACCTAATTCCAAAGAAAAATTTATCACTGTACATTTTGATGGAAATAAGTGATTTTTGTGCGAATCCTTAAAGAAATATTTGCTGGCCACGCCCTTAAATTTAGTAGCTAGAAGAACCGGCCAAATGATTTTTAATACCAAAATTGAGATCTCATCGAAGGCAATTGGTAATTGTAATTTCTTCAATGTGAGGTACATTTTCTGTTTTTTATCTTTTCTTTCTTTTTTCATTTTTCATTTTTCTTCTCAGTTTCATTGTTTTCTTCAATGGGAAAATAGCATATTCAACATGACTTTCGAACAAATAGCCTCCTGTAGCTCCCTAAAACCACTTTCAAGAGGCGACAAAAAATGGTACACTTTCCAATAAAGAATTTTGGGATCTCGTAAAACCTTTTCTTTCAAATAAAGGTGGACTAATAAGGAAGGAAAATTCCTTATGTTAAAAAAAGACACTGTTATATCAATGACAAGAAGCTGACAGAGATCTTCAATGATTACTATGTAACCATAGTTGAGAAATCCAGTGGTAAGAAGCCCGTTTACCTTGCTAATGATACTGGAATTTCTGATGACCGCCAAATTGTTCGATTAATTTTCGGCAAGTATAAAAACCACCATAGCATCATAGCTATCATTCAAAATCATGAACAAGTATCAAAACACATTTTCGTTTCATGAAGTAAACAATCAAGAAGTTATAGAACTATTAAAATCCCTGGACGGAAAGAAATCTACTGGAGAGGATCAGATACCACCGTATCTCTAGCTTCGAATGAACTCTCAGCCGCATTAACTATGGGAATAAACTGCAGCATTCGAAATACTAAATTCCCAGACGATGCGAGGAATTTCCGTCCATGTAGTGCTCTTAACACCATTTGCAAGATATACGAAGAAGTCCTGAAGCATCAACTGGCTCAACACACTTTCTGTTTTTATTGCAGCCTACAGACGAGGATATAGCACCCAGCATGTCTTAATACGGCTGCTAGAAGACTGTGCTAGGCCGAATCCTGTTTAATTTCTATATTAATGACTTATTCCTTTTCGTAAAACAGGCAAATTTCATAATTATGCTGATGATAATACTCTCGCTAATTTCTCCACAAGCTAAAATGCTCGATCTTATCAATATTTCGGAAATAGAAACCGGAGTTGCTTTAACCTGGCTAGAACAAATGAAATGATTGCCAACCCTGAAAAATTCCATGCTTTATTGCTCAGAAAAAACCAAAAAAATACTAGTGGAGAACAGATGAACATTAGAGGTAAAAAAATCAAATCTGAGGAGACTGTGAAATTTTTTAGGAGTCACTTGATTTCGACCCACATATTTCGTCTCTTTACAAAAAAACTGCAACATAATTAAATGTTCTCAAAAGATTAAAGACGTTTATTAGGTTTCAGGATAAAAAGATCCTAGTTCAGAGTTTTGTATTTTCGAATTTCTATTATTGCCCCTTGGTTTGGTACTTCTCATCTTCCAAATCATTGCAGAAGATAGAAAAATAACAAGAATGCGTCATAAGGTTTCTCTATAATGATCATAAAAGTTCATATAATGATTTGCTTCTAAGATTGGGTGATTGCACAATGCACGTTGCTCGCCAAAGACTCCTTTGCATAGAAATATTTAAAGTACTGAAGCATTTGAATCCACCTTTTATGCAGAGCACTTTCGAACTACACTCTTCAAATTATTCTTTGAGAAATCAAAATTTTTGGCCCATTCTAGGCCTAATCAAACAATTTTTGGATCAAAAAATCTTAAATTTATTGGGCCCCAGATTTTGAATGGTTTACCTAGTGAACTGAAATCAGCAGAAAATCTGAAAAGTTTCAAGATTTTGATGTCCCAACTGCAGATGTAGTGCTTATACCTGTCTGCCAACTTAGAAATTTAATTCAGGACTTGGAACTTGTAAATTTAGAAAATATTGTTTATTTATTTTTCTTTGCTTTGTATATTCGATTTTGATTAGTTAACTTGTATATATTAAAATAATGTATATAGTGTGAGCTATTTTTGCATATCGAATGAAAATAAAGTAACACACGATTGTTTTTGGGAACAACGTTTTATCATTAAGAGGAAGAATTTTGTGGAACAAGGTATCACACGTGGAAAAAATGCTTACACGCATACACGCACTGCAAGCATTCGAACTCAAAATTTCTCAGTGCATGTTTTCTGAAACGTCAGCTTTGCTACTTGAGTTGCTAAAAAAGACCTTAAAATTGATACCCAGGGTGCTAAGCGGTAAATTATCATAATTTTGAACAACTTCGAATATTTTATTTATTTGAAACATCGGATATCGAAATGGCGATTGCTGGTGGGCCTGGGCCCTTGTGCTCACAAAACATGATGAAATCAAACTGTACTGGCCATATCATCAGGGAGGAGAATTAGTCAAGTAAGATCCTACGTAAACATCTTCAGTCAACAAAGGCCCTATTCGTTTGTTTTCTTTTCAGTGATATCAAACATAGGGTGTTACGTTGACCAATGAATTCAACGGACGTTGGACCAAATAATAAGTAAAGTCATACCAACATTATTATTGACATATGACTTTCTTGATTATATTTCAATAAAAAGACGGGGGCTACGTCTCCCATAGCTGGCAGACTCCCGAGTATGAACCTTTTTCTCGATTTTTACCAAATTTAGATATTGCGTCGCTTAAGAATGATGTTTGGAAAGACCACTCTATCACGCTCTATACTAAAATTCGAATTTTCAATACCCTGGTTTTCTCGGTAGCGACGTATGGCTGCGAATGCTGGGTCATGAAGAAATCGGACAAAAATCGGCTCATTTCTTTCGAGATTTGGTGTTACAGACAAATCATGCGAATCAGTTGGAGCGCAAGAAAAACAAACGAATGGGTCCTGCAGAAAATTGGTAAAGCTACCCTTCTAAACAGCATCAACAGAAGGAAGTTGTCGTTTATTGGACATGTCGCAAGAAGCGAGGGCTTAGAAAATGACATTCTTTCTGGAATGGTCAGTGGCAAGCGAAGGAGAGAAAGACCACGGCGAAAACTCTTGAAAATGATGTTGAAGAGGTCTTGGGAATGTCAATGTCTGGTCTTCTACGAAGCGCAAGAAACAGAGACACCTGGCATACGACCATTGCGCGTGCCACGGCGGGTCAGCACTGACCCATCCGTTCCTGATTATGATGAAGAATGATGTAAAAATAATTGTAGTTCCAGAATCACAAATAAAAAATTGTGTATTACAGAAACAAAATGTCTTGGAATGATTCAAGTTTAGATTAAAATGTTCAGCATATTGACTGTTTAATATCTCATTTAGGTACTTCCTTTCGTGTGGTTGACCCACGCCTGAAAAGCCTGAAAAGTCAGACCCTATACCTGACACGCCTGACCTTTTTGCTCACAATCCTTTTGACAAACTCCCCGGAATTACGTGTATTTGTAATGGCAATACTCAATGTTACTGTGGCACCTGGAAAAAATAATGTTGGTACCAATTTCGGTGCAAAGATTTATCAGAAGTTTACTTTCTTTGGAGCATGTCCATTGTGACTTATCATTGGGTGCCCTATCATAGTGACTGGTGCATGTAACCTAAGGCTTTCCTCACACCCTTATCTAACTTTCAAATAATGACACTTGTTTTTTTGCACTTCACATTCAAGTTAAACTTTATTTATTCTATCAATTTGAAAAAAAAATTATAATCATGTAGTGCATAACATTTACCGCTCGTGCGATCGAAATGATTTTGGCATCCTTTACATCTACATCTAAAGCAGATATTGTAATGCAAGTAGTTTTGTATTGTATTTGTATCTGCTTCTACTTGAGAAGATTATGCTTATCGAGCAGTGTCCCGGTCCTTCTTCTCGATATGACCACACCTCATGATTACCAAGTTTGGTCACGCCAGGGACTCCAGCCACGGACCCTTGGGTCTGGAGACAGCGCCTCTAGCAACTGAGCCATCTAAATTGTTAGAATTTGAAAATTTAGGAAAAATTACTTACCTATGTTCTGCTATCGAAGAGAAAAATATTGTAAAAAAGTTCTTCTAGTAAAAGAAGCTATTGAAGTTTTCACCCCGTCTCCCCATCTCCCAGAAGATACTTTCCCCGTGTGCCTCTCACCCTCCTTAAAAGATTCCGCCCCCTCCAAAATATGATTTACAATCATTGTAAACAAGAAAACCTCTCCCCCGGGAATATAAAGCATGTTTAGCGCAGTATGTAGAAACAGTGCTTCGATCCACACGGTAGAAGGACGTCTTTACATCTTTAAGCAACAAAGTCTTTTCTTCAATGGATACATTTGTTAATGGGTCTAGTCATATGTTAAGGCAAGCCATTGAAGAGCGAGATGGTATAATAAAACGACAAGCAAGAATTTTGGAAAAAATGAGAGCGGATCGCGGATTGCTATATTCTGAATTATTGGAATGGCAAGCCAAATGCGAAAGGAATGAACGGACTATCGACAATTACAGAAAGCAGCTGAATAATGCAACAGATACAATTAGAAAAATGAAAGGAAACGAGGGAGAGATAAAACAGAGAATAGATGACGAATCAAAAGTTTATAGACAGAGCATTGATAATCTGATAAGACGAAATGGAAAGCAAGAAACTATATTAAAGTCTCTCGCTGAAGAGAACAAATCTTTGAGAAAAAGTCAGAAAAGTAGTAACTTCAAGCTTCCAATGATAAAAGCCTC